AGTTTTCCCAGTGTACTTTTCATTTCCTTTTCTTGAATCACTACAATGTTTAATTGAAACATGGCAGAAGTATTCTTCTTAAGACAAAAGGGCAGAGGAAGAAATCATAGGGAGTAATATCTGATTATTGACTGAGTGGAAGGGCCGGGCGAGAAATATTTGGTTCGAGATCATGATTAACGGACCGAGCGCTACGAGGTCCGTGCGTCATGAGCGAGAGCCATTGTTTTTCCTGTCCAGCCCAACCTAACTCGATAAATGAGCATTTTATCATATGACCTCTAAGTGTTGAAAATTTCGAACATTTTGTTTCAACCCAAATAGTACATACTCAAATACAACAGAAGGGCGCGCATTTGACAGCTACTAAAGAGATTCTACCATTAAAAACCTTCCTTTTTTTTCTTCGAGTCAGAACAAGAAACTCACAGTTCATCGATACATCGACTCAGTCCCTGATCTGATTTATTTTATCGTGAAGTCCACAATGTCAATCCACGTTCTCGGAAAATGAAAAAGAACCGTTTGAATGCAGGGCCGGACGGGTTTTTTTGCGAACCGGCTCGCGTCAACCCGTCTGGCTCTACACACGTCAGCTTCCACTATGGTTTTCTATTGGATAGTGCGCGCGGGGGACCTCACGTGACGTAAGATAAAATTCCTTAACCATTGCAAGCTACACGTGTTTGGAGAATGGGTTGATTCTTCTCAGTCCGTTCATGCCTTACGTGACAGAGGAACTATTTCAACGATTACCGCGTAGGACTGAAGACTCACCGCCAAGTATTTGCGTCACACCTTACCCAGAGGAGGTAAGTGGTGATTGAGTACAAGGTTAGGGAAGGCAGGGAAAGCGTGCTTTTTAGTCACAACGTATTCTTATTAATTCTTTTCACTTTTACAAGACTGAATAGATCCGAGGATAAATTTCTATCGAAAATAATTCTGAAATATTTGTTTTTCTTGGAAGGTTACACAGTTAACGTGTAGTTCTAGAGATCCCTCTATGTTTCTAAGGTGTTTCTTGCATGTTTAGCTTCCGTGGAGAGACGCAAACCTCGAGGACGAGTTGAATCTGGTGCAGACTATTGTGAAATCGATCCGTTCCATTCGTCAAGAGTACAACTTGACACGTGCAAAGCCTGAAGGTATTCACCTATAAAATTCTTTTGTTTTAAATGTGGGAGTGAAAAAAAAAATTGTTTCTCACCATGGTGTAGTCAAAGTTACTGATAAGGGTGAGATCGAGGTGTTTCAAATCTGAAACTTAAACCCTTTACGCTCCAATATCAGTATGTTATTGTATGTACTGATTTTATACATTTTCCATGGTATTGACAAGGAGAATATTTTTACTGATCAAGAGCTTCTTAAGTTGGAGATCATTTCTTTTATTCTCATGACCTTAATATTTCACTGAGTGGTGATACTCCAAGGAGAAATTGGACGCTAATCACTCGTAGCTGCGGGTTTACTTTTGTACCTTGAGCTTGATTACGTCACAAGCTGGAATTTCGGGATTCGTTCACACCGAATCCTTAAACAAGTTTAAGAACTTAAAAAATCAATCTTTCAACGCCTTCATAATCGACACCTCTTATCCTTCAACTCTCTCGATAATATTGTTTTTTAATTTTTTTTAGTGTATGTAGTGTTCTCCGAACAGTCTTTGGCAGGAGCGGTCAGCAAATACGCAGAAACGGCGTGCACGCTTAGTTCCAGCGAAAGGTAATACTAAAGTTCAATTGCGTGATCCTTCATAGATTTTAGCGGCGCGTATCTTTAGATTCACAGCTCCATTTCGGTTAATGGGCCGGCTGGACTCCCGACCGAGAGTTACTTTCTCGAGTCAACAAAGAGTTTAAATGGGTAACAGTCAGTTGTCCATGAGTCCCATTCAAAATGCAGTGAAGGTATCAGCTCTTTGCGCTGCTCTTAACTGGTTAATTCTAATATTTCCTGTGGTTTTGAATCTGTTTCCTCACATGGCTGTTCATGGCTGTGCTAACGTACGATGATGTACTTTACGTTTTTAAGACTCGTAGCTATGACGAAACTTTACTTCATAATATACACCCGTCCATGCGGTTGAAAAAGCTATCATTCCTCTTAATAATCAGCAAAACGCTTTTCGACTGAGTGCGGTAAAACCAAAACTTAAGTAATCCCAACGGCCAATCAAAAGAAAGGAAATTACCATAAGAACCAATGAGAACTCGAATTCAAAACAACCAAACTGCCCAAAGCGCGGGAAAGCGCGTGCGGTCAAGTCGTGATTTGTTTCAGTTTTTGCATCCGATTGGTTGATGAAGTGATGCGGTTTTCTGGATCAATCACAGAGCGAAGTAAAGCAAAACGTGAGCAACCCTGGATCACATTCGACACTCATTTGAAAATTGCCCTAGTGACACTGAGATTCCTAATTAGTGTGACTGTTTCTGTTTGGCAGGATTCATGTGGTGTGCGAGGAGAAGCCTCCACGTGGATGTGCTGTGGCCACTGTCTCGGACAAGTGTGAAGTGCATGTGGTTCTCAAGGTATTTAGCTGACATCCTCTCATGTATCACCTTTTGAGTCATTTATGCGAGTGCTATAATGAGGAAACAGAAGTCGTTACACCACCTGCATAATATTTTACAAGGTAACCCTTTCCTCTGTAATGGTTTTACTTTTAGGGTTTGGTGGATGTAGCTAAGGAAATCACAAAGTTGGAAGGAAAGAAAGATAAACTAAATGGACAGCTGACGAAATTAAATGAAGCCATGGGAATTGCTGACTACGCCACAAAGGTATGATGCAATAAAATGGGCCAGCTTGATAAGAGGGGGAGTGTGGGGAGAGCAAGGTGTCCTTTAACATCCCTCTTTAAACCAAGCTAGCTGGTGGTAGGCACCTTAATGCCCACAGAATGGTCTTTTGGGATCGCCCTACTGGAAAACCTGCTCAGACCTTGTGGAGGAGAGGTGATTCCTCTCCTTTTGTTCTCGTTCAGTTATCTTGTGGTGCTCAATTTATCATTTTCGAGTTGCTTTAAGCCTTTGCATGAAAATGAAGCTTAGTGAAAATGAAGCTTTTGATGGTAATCAACATTTGCTGTTTTATGTCAACATTTCAGGTACCGGAGAACGTTCAGCAACAAAATTCTGAAAAGGTAAATCTTTTGTAATTAACCTTCAATATATTTAATTTTATCAAATGTACAAGATTCAAATTACGAAGTTGTAACGAAATCAGGCGGGAAAACTACTCTCTTGCTTAGGTTAGGTTTAAAAATGATTGTTGCAGGTGATTGTTGCCAAACTTTAAACGGTCATTTCCAAGATCACTAAACCAGGACGATCACACCACAAGATTAACTTTGGTTTACGATTCTCAATCAAGAAGGGCAGAAGTTATAAGCAGTAGCTCGATTTACCTGAAACACCTTCAATTTTTACCAGGTTTGGGGAGGGTTTTAACTAACTTTCAACTCCAGGCCTAAAACCGTTTACTTCAAAGGTAAATTCTATGTGAACTTATCTTGGGTCATGTGACATGACTATAACTTCTCAGAGATTGATTTTGGCTGTTTTCCTGTTTCAGCTCAAACAATTAGAGACTGAGCTTGGGAAGATCGAAAAGGCGATTGCTTCCTTTAAACTGGCTGAATAATTGAATTCAATGCTCCTGTCGAGAATAATAGTAAATGAATGGAATACCAAATAATTTTCTGCGTCTCCGTTGGTATCAGAACCTGCGCAACTTTCTTTGTTCACCTCGCTCAGTCAACAGGCCCTCGCGGTCTGGCCAATCCTGAACCCCTCTATGGGCCGTGGTCCTCAACTCATTCCGAACTTCTCTTGGACAACAGCTTAAGGAAGAAACCCGGAAACTCGGTTGCTATTCACCTTCACTGTAATGCTGCGTGCGTGCATGTGCTGTTCGTGGAACGCGATGAAAGGTTCTCGAAGAGTGAGTGTTGCGTTGTTCGACCTCTATTTGCACCTTCAAGTCACGGTCAGGCTGTTTAAGCGGCGGTCTCGTCCACCATCTACAATGAGTGGCAAAAGTTTTGGGGCGCTAATTCTCACCTTGTTTGAACGGTTTCCAGTTTACTCATTTTAGGGCTGGATCTGAGCAACTTTCTTGGGAAATGGGTGATGGGTGATTTGGGGGGGGGGTCGATGGCAAAAGTAATAAGAACCTCAACAATCAGGGGACTCCCTCTAAATTGTGATGTTGATTTTATTCGTCCCCAGTACTTCTGTAACTCATTGCAGTTTTTCAAGCGTTGGCTCCAAATAATTCTATGAAATTACTTGACAGAAAATAGCTTGGAGCTATTTCATTTGGATAATCAACTAAACTGATCTTAAATTTACTGCAAATTTATCTTTACTGTGCGAAATATTTTTTTTATTATGTGTGTAGGAACTTCGACGAATCCTTTTTTATTTCTAATTAAATCAAAATATTCTGGAACTTAAGAGTGCTGCTTTACGGTAGCAGCAAAATCTAAGAGATAAAAATTTGCGGTATTAAAGAAAAGGAGTTGAAATTACCATCGCGTTATCACTTGATCTTGAAATTTTAAACTCTGATTTCAACCCGGTCGTAACAAACGACGACTGACCTTGATCTTCCGAAGCTTCCTCCCAAGCTTCCTCCCAAGCTTCCTCCCTCCCCCCGCTTTCAGCTTCCCACAGATCACAGATGCAACTTTCATTTTACATACTGAAATAACACAATAGAATATCACTGAATAACAAGGATCTACTGTTATGAATACCCTTTAATTCACCGCCTTAAATATAACCATGTATCGTTTTTACATTGACCAAAATATAACTATTATCTTCCGATATTTTTTAAGTTCCCTTTCCGCTTTTAAACAAGTCACTTCTTATCTTCGTATTGCACGATATACGCTTCTTACAAATTAGTTACAAATCATTCTACTCAAGTTCCTAGCAACGACACAAAGTTCATTTTACCTTAAATCTTTATCGAGTATTTTTTTTCATCCACCCACACTTGTGATTTATTATTATTGCTGGAATATAACCCTATCCTAGAAAACTAATAATTCAAAATTTTCCTTAGTGTGACCCAATCTTCTTCGTTACAAAAATAACACTCTAAATAAGCTAACATTAAAAATCGCTGGGTTGTCATCAAGTGCACTGGTATCAAAATTCTCTCGGTGTGGGGGAGGGAGGAGGGGTTGGAAAGGGGCGTTCGCCCCCTCCTCAACCAAGACCCGAGAGTCTTGAGTAGCTATCGCAAACTGAAGTTGGCTTCTCCACAGCGGCTCATAGATTCAAATTAAAAAAAAAAAACCTCCAATTTTTTCTTTCTTGCCTTTTAGCCACTTTGTAACAAACAAAAAACTACAAATTCACATAAAATTGCAATTTTACTTAAATACAAATAGATAAATTCCAGTTGTGGTACAGGAAGACAAACGACTGAGTGCACCAATATTTTCCACATTTGTTCTCACCCTGCAATTTTGAACGAAATCAAGTATGACCCTGATTAAGATACATAAATAAATGATAAATAACAATATTTTTTGAGCAGTTAAATATTTTTCGCTTGTTTTCTCGACTGTGAAGGAACCCGGGCGATAGAAGTCATAAACATCATCAACAAATTCGAAAAACAATGAACCACTAACAAATGATACGTATAATTTTATGGGAACTTGAAACCATGAGAAATTTACCAAGCCTCGCTCATCAAGATCAGAACTGTCTGCAGCTTCAAAAATTCGTGGAGGCGCCAAAAGAAAGGCGTGCCTGCAAAATTACAAAATAGTTTTACAAAGTGAAGAAAGCTACCTGTTGCTACAAGACCAGTCTCATACCCAGACCCCCATGGGTATGAGGTTACTAGAAGACCATTCCCCGCTCACTTTACCCAAAATAACATTCTTAGAAGGTAGTGATCATAACTAAGACACTTTTCATAGATAACCATTCGCAGATGAAAACGGGACCAAACTCACCCGGTCAGAGAAGGTTACTTGCCAGGCGTCATCATCATCATCATCATATGCCCCAGGCTCCCCATCTTCCTCTTCCAAAGCACTGAACCGCACCTCGTCAGACCAAATGTCTCGCAACCTCTCCGCACGCCTGCGTACTCTGAATCTCGACCCAGTCCTTCCAGTCGACAATGATTTGTCGTCAAAATCAATTTCGTCCGTTTGTTGACGGGCAAAGTTGATAAAAACCTGGGAAAATTGAACAAGATTTAACAACAAGATAGCCCATAAACCTAAGGGACAGGAAAGATAGAAGAAGCAGCCGGAAGAATTACTTACGTTATCCAGTGTTGTCTGGCTAACGGAATAGTCCTCGATTTTCAACACTTCATAGGATGATTCGATATGACCAAACACCTCGGAGAGTGCCATGACACCCGAGGGGAGCTGGTACTGAACCATGTTATGATGATTTTCCTGAAAATGAGTGAATTTTTCGAGAGTAAGTGCCAAAGGAGTTACACTATGATTCTTCAAAATAGTGTTCAGGCGTCAGAGAGAATTCCCTTTTATCAGAGGGAAACCTTAACATAATAGTGTGTTCGTGCAGAAAAAAAAGGGGACAAGAACAAACGATAAAGAAACATGGATTTTTTTTAACTGTTTACAATTTAACAGTTTCACCAATTAGATTTTTCAAAGCTAAATACCCTGACACTCAAGTCTACCATACCATACCGTCTACCAAACATGTACTTGGAAAATTGCGTAAGTCTGTTTTACCTTCAACGTTGCACGAGGGAACTTTTCGGAGAAAAACTGGTACAAAGGCTCCAAATTGGGTAGGTCTCCCTGAACACGGACAGTGATGATGTAGCCCTCCCCGAACCTGTCAAAAATTGAACGCGTTCCAGGTAAATCGAGCTTCTGCTCACAACTTCAGCCCTTTTTGATTGAGAATCATTAACCAAAACTAAAGTACTCGCAATGGATATAAGTAACTCTGCATATAAGTAACTTCTCAAAAGAAGCAATGATAAGTAAAAAAAAAAAAAAAAAAAAAACACCAAAACTGCCTGAAAGTGCAAGAAAGGCTAACAGTCAAGTCTAGCTCAGTCTGGTGGTGGCGCGAAACTTTTGGACCAATCAGAGAGCATTTTTAGACGAAAACATTACTATTCTGGATTATTTTTGACACTCTACTGAAAAAGGGGTGGAACAGGATCCAAAAACAACTCGAAACTCTCCTTTGTGGATATTCGTGCGTACAACTGACCTGTTTTTCAGGTGTTGACAGCTTCCAAGGCACTTAAAACGGCCATTGACCATGATAGCCAAGCGAGTGCACAGTGCTTCACATTCCTCCATACTGTTGGACATAACACAAGCGTGAGTTTAACAGAAAAATACTGATTCAAACTTACGAGTAGTTTTGTGCTAGCCGTTGCTAAAAACTGACCTGTGTGAAGTCAAGATAACTGAGCGGCCGTCCTTAATGATATCCAGAATCAAATTCCACAGAAAGCGACGAGCATGTGGATCCATCCCTGTGGTAGGCTCATCCTGAACACAGGAAAATAAAGAAAAGGAACATTGTGATCAATCAAGTCAGAGGGTCTCACATATCCCGAATCAGGACTCAAGGAATACAAAAACTGTCTTTTTTCGAAGTTGTTAATGCTTTGTGAAAACATGAGATACATATTCAAAACATAAACAGAGGAACACCTGAGTGCGGAAAACCATAACCAAACAAACGTATTTCAAACTGAAGCTCACATTTGCTTTGAACAACCCCTCCAAAGTAGGGTTTACTTGATTGAAATTTAGCATTGCGAAGTAGATTAACCTTGTCCTTTTCTCGAAATATCGCATGTAACGGAAAGTTGGTTAAAAAAAATAATCTCTCTTCGCTAACTGTCTACAAAAGGTTTGTTGGGATTTCGTTTTAATTTGTATAATACTCAAAAAACAACAAATAACACGAATTAATTACCAAGAATATTATTGGCGGGTTGCCAATCAGAGCCATGGCGGTTGAAAGTTTCCTTTTGTTTCCACCGCTGTACGTTTTGCTGGGTCTCTTAGCAAAGCGTGACAGTGAAAGCTTCTTGAGCGCCCACGTTACAACCTAACGATAAATACAAGATTCCATCACAACAAAAATCTATACTACGTAAGATAAACGCTAGAGAGTGAATTTGTAAAAATGATGCTCGCGGGTGAGCGAGACCTAAATTTGCAAACAAAACTTTTTAACCCTTCAACTCCCGCGATTTGATTAGAGGTTCTTAATCCTTATATCAAATAAAACTCTACAACTAAAACGTTTATCCATTTTCATCTACTTTTAATCGATGATGTGGTGAAATTTTGAGAGAAGTTAGCACTTTAGATTACTTCTGAGCCAAACAGGGATATTGAGTCCCCTTCACTTGTTTCACGGTTCATTAAGACATGGTAGCTTGATGCGTGATCCAACTGAATTCTCATTTTGGGGGGCAAATGGGACAATGACCAAGTTTTTATTAAATTTTCCACAACCAGTTGTTACCAGTGACACAACATTTAGGAATCGTGAAATTTAAGTACAGAACGTTTAAAACAGGCCGAAACTAAATTTCTTTATTTCCTTTTAACTACTATTTTCACAGGTTTTGTCTCAAAGTGGCATTCAATCTCAAAGAGGGTAAGTTTAAAATCTAAAATCGCAAGCGCTACAGAGGGCTACACAGATGGTCCATGCTACTTACCGACTGCAATTCGTTTCCAGGAATTCCTCTAAGCCGTGCGTAAAGCGTCAGATGTTCACTCGCTGTCAGTTCATCGATGAGAGCGTCGAACTGAGGACAATATCCCATGCACTTATGGACCTTCTGCATCTCAGACACAATACTGTTGTCAAAGAAAAAACAAACGTTAATTAATTGATCTGTCATTTCATCGGTAAAACAGTCCATACTTATGTCTATCTCGTCAATGTCTGTCTACATCCGTCAGTCTGTCTGTCTGCCTGCCGTAACAACGTCTCTATAAGCATCTGTTTCTGTCTATAGGTCATTGCCTCACTGAGTCTGTCAGTCTGTCTATCCGTTTATCCATCTGTCTATCCATTAATGTGTCTGTCTGTCTGTAAATGTGTCTGTTTCTGCGTCTGTCAGTTCGTCAATCTACCCATCTGTCTCCCTGTCTGGAAGGCCATTCACCTATCTAAAACATAATTACACGATCGAAAATTCGAATTATCGATGAGAGGGCTAATTAGAGCGACAACTCCAAGACTGTCCGATAATTTCCAAAGAGGGCGGATCTTCAGATTGTTTCAAAGCAGTCAAATGTCCTGACCAGATTGGTTATATTGCAAGCTATTTGGTGTTCCACTCTAAGCTCCTTTTCACTTATCCATCGATAACTGTTTTACCACATTGGGGTGGACACCAGAGGGTCGAAGGGCGAGAGGAAGACCAAAAACCACTTGGAGAAGGACTGTCGAAAGAGAGAGAGGCAAGGCAGGATGGAAGAGCTGGAATTTGGCCAAGGCAGCGGCACACGACAGGGGGGTTGGGAGGACAATGTGACGGCCTCATGCGCCTACTGGCGCAACGAGCGATGATGATGATGATGATGATGACTGATAACTATTGCAATAAGCAACTGCAAAACTCATTTCAGTGAACTAACCTTCGGCTCATGACTAACCTGTGTGTGTTTAGGTAGGCATTTCCCGCCGTCAATGAGGTGTCTCCGGTTAACATCTTAAATGTACTCGTTTTTCCAGCTCCATTAACACCGAGCAAACCAAAACACTGCAAGGACGAAGGATAACCTTAAGAAAATGCGCTGTGAATTTTCTACTAAAGAATCTTCATATGAATTTGCAAATCGGCTCCAACTGATAGTGTAAAACTTACCTCTCCCTTAGGTACCCCTAAACAAAGTCTATCCACGGCCAGATGCTTACCACGCTTTCTAGAAAAGTAAACCTTCGAAGAGAAAAGGACGATAAATTGGTGACAATCCCGAAATTTATTGAAAAGTCGTATTTCAAAGGCAGTTATCTGTTGTTTTCATTAGCAATAACGCTAAGAATAACGCCACTGACTTCGATTAAGCAAACGAGGCTGTGTTACACCTGTATCTACTGTGTAACTGATCTAAATCCATTCACCACTGGATCTTCGCGGATCGCAACGCCTCACCTTTGTTAAGTTTTCTAACCGTACAAGGTCCCTTCTGGCGCCTCCACTCAGAACCCTGTCTTTCTCAGCTGCTACGTCCTCGTCCAGGCCCTCCACTGGTTCCTTGGACACGTGCGTGCGTCTTAAGAGAACACATCGGTATAAGTTATAACAACTATCATTTCGTGGCGTTCTTCCTTTATTCCTGTCAATCCTGCGATCTAAAATCAACTCTCTTACTACTTGCCAAACATATCTTACCAATTTTAGCTCTAAGAATTTTTCGTTAAAACAGTGAATATTACCCAATTGCAAGTTTTCTTTTAACCTTATCAATATTTTGCTTGAAAATATTAACATTACATGTAGAGATTCCTTCTGGTTTTTCTTGCAGGTGAAGGACTTTAAAAGCTCACCTTCGCTTTACAAAGAATCTGAATTCTATCAGCACGGTGAAAATAAAGAACACTATTCCTTCCACAGCCATGCATGCCAGGTTACGTGTTGTGAGGAGCCATTCAAAGGGATCCCTAATCTTATCGTCCTCACCTGAAAACAGACAAAAGGTCTAAAACGAAGACGAAGCCAACTGCGTTGGAACTAAACCACTTGGGAAAAAACTTAATTGTCTAAGCTTTTAGCCTGATAACTGGGTTGTCGGAAATATCAACCATCTAGGAGTAACTGTTTTTCTCCCTTTGTTTTGGTCAGATTCATGAAAATGGTTATATCAGTTATACCTATTTATGTCTAGTGCAATTTCTAATGTGCTCTAACAACTCGTAATTGATTTTACTCCATACATACTGAGATTTACACTGCGAAGTATTATCATTCGTGTCTCTGATTGGACGAACGATGTATTTTCACAGTCGTTCGCTTCCAGTCTTCGAATTCAAATGTGAAAAAATATGGGAATGTTTGAAATAAAAACATCATACCATCAAAAGTGCTGGAACGACTTTAGGTCATTCGTTGCAATGTATCAAAAAAATCACTCGTTCGCGGCGCTCACTAGTTCGTTTTTTTGATGCATCGCAACTTGTGAATAAACATCTTTCGCGCGCTCTTTCCATGACATAATCTCCATGTTATACCTATCTGTGTGTAGTACTCTGTCAAATACTGATTGTAAGCCAGGTCCATAAGACCATGTCCCAAACAGTAGTTCGGAAATCCAAGATTGATAATTCTCAAGGCTTCGTAAACTTTGGTTAACAGCTGAAAAAAGAGCAAATAGATTCAATCAGGAACTTCAAAGGTGAGCTCACTATTGAGGGGAGTCACCTATCAAACAATACAAAATATTATCCATTGACATACTATTTCATAGGAAGCAGCATGAACGATACTGAGAACAAAAAATGTCTTTCTCACGTGTATCATACATTCAAATTGGTTGCTTGCAATCCTTAATTGTGAATCGTCTCTATCCTGAATCATTTTCGTGCCTTTATGGGACATTTTCCCATATTGCTGTCACTCTCTCTGACAAATTAAAAATTTTCGATTTCCCTCACGTTCAAGGTAATTTTGCGTGTTGAAAAAAAGATCCTGAAAACATCGTGTGATAGTTATAACTCCGCCAGTTTTTTTTTTTTATACTGTGTCGGCGTTAGTTTGCTTAGCATCACCTCTAACCAAACGTTGCATGCTAAGAGAAAATTTAAGTAGAGCACGAGATTTAAGCACACATAAAGATTCTTTTAGTGTAGTATCTTACCACATCATCTGGGAAAAGCTGCAGAATGAATGTAGTAACGGTGGCAGTAACTCCAACAAAGAGGTTAACCACTATCATAAACACGTACGCGGAGCTGGCTTCGCTGAAATAGAACGCTCCTGGATACATCATGGGAGTAATGGACCATCTGCAACGAAACGTCAAGTGAAAGTTAAGCGAAAACTAGTTTATAAGAGACAGGAAAAGAAATATTTTTAACTACGGTACAACAGCAGGGTGAAACGATCAGATGGTGGGTGACGGTAACCAAATCACCAGAATGCACCATAAAACAAAGAGAAACCAATCAGTGATTCATCACAGCGCAATTTGACTGAGCGCCGTAAAACCAAAGCAAAGATAAAATTGTCACAACGCCCATTTTGAACGGATTAAAATATTTCAAGACTACCAAAAGCTAAAGAGTATTGGAAGTAAACTCAAGCAAACTCCCTGAATCATGGGAAAAGGCGGGTGACTAAGTCAATCCGCCGTTGGGTTTAACCCTTAACTCCCCTAAGTGATCACGACAGAATTTCTCCTTACGATATCTATACAATATCAAGCAGACAGGTGATGAGAATAAATAAAAATATCATTTAGAGGATCATTAGTTGATCCAATACCAAATTCTCAAAACTAACACCACAAGAACTGTATGGCAGAAAGTGAGGAGAATTACTGATGAGATCTTGGGAGTTAAAGGGTTAACTTCTATTTTTAACTTGTCAGTGATTAGTGGAGAGGGTAGTGCGAGTTTTATTGACAAATCACAGATCCAGGTAAAACAAACCAGAGCAATACCGGATTATTTTGACTTTCATTGGGTAACTGTCGATCCGCTTCGTACAAGAGAAACAGTTTGTGGTCATTCATTAACTCACCCGTAAAGCAGGAAGAGGCAGACAACGGCCGGGAAGTTCGTGTCTGAAGAGTAGGCTGGTACTTTAAACACATGTAGGAGAGTGATACAGGCACACGCTGGGATTAGGTAGTTACACTGTAGGAAGAGTCACGGTAACACAGTTTTCGTTTATAATGCAGCTTTAGTTGTCAATCTACTTGCTACACGTCTTGAATAACCGCGATTGCTGAAGACTTTTTGCTATAGAACGCTTTTCGACTTAGAATCGTAAAACCCAAAATAATCACAGTAGCAAATCAAAACAATCATATAAATCACCAGAAATCACTCAGAACCCAAAAAAGCAAGCGAGAAAGTCGCGATTGACTTAACTTTTGTACCTCTCGGAGTACTTTCGTTTACTGCACTCTAATTGTCCTAAGCTGAACTCAAACTCAAAAGCGGACAAAGTGTGAGACAAAGGCAAGAATTTGTCTAAAAGAATGAAAACTCTTTACTTACCAGATCCCAAACGTAGTTAGAAAGCCAGTAAATGACGGGGTCGACGCCGCTGACAAACTGCAGATGCTTAGCTTTGGAAGCTCTCTCGGTTACAAGAAATACGACAAAACTCGCCGGTACAAACGACATGGCGATTATCACAAAGATAGCAATCACTAGATCTGTTCCTTGACGCCTGCAAAATAACATAATAGCTCCATCAAAGAACTCTTCCTAGATGTAATGCAAAACCATCGTAAGAAACCGACCCAGTATTTTGTTTATGTTTCGTAACAGTTCACCGGTACTCATTTATAAACCTCGGGCTGGTTGTTTAAAAAGAAGCTCCGCGTTAATTGAAAGTTAAAATTAAAACTTCGTTTTGGTTTTTCGTGAGAGAAGCATATATTCGAGCTCGTTTTTTAATTTGATTTCATCTTGCTGTAAGCAAAATTGAAGGAAACAAAATGTGAATGCTAAAATTGTCAGGAAGAGCTACAGAAAAAATTAAATGAAACATGGGTAGCTTAATCAAGTTTTGAACAACCCGGCTGTGGATATGGAAGCGTCTTACCGAAAAGCACCACATATTGACTCGGCCAGGGTTCGACCCCAGACCTCTCGATTTAAAGCCCACAGTGCTAACCCGACGTTAGGCACAGCGTCTCCTATCCTCTTGACAAAGTGGATAAATGAATAATCTGAACAACTCACATGTATCTGGCTGACAGCTGATTGGAATCAGTTTTATTGAAGGGATGGTTAAACACTGTGATACCTGTCAAAGGAAAAAGGAATTTTGTTAACACAAAAGTAGTAGGAAGCTTTGTTTATGTCCCCCTTCACTATTATAATGATGATGATAAAAAGCTACCAAATTGAATTAGGGTAATTTCTTATCATGTGTAAAATTGTCTTCCTTTTTTCTTTCCTATGATTAATAATTGGTCTCCTCTACACCAACGAGAGACGAAACTAAAACTAATCGCGACTTAGTTACTTGAGTTCAAGCGCGTTTCAGACGGTTTGCTTACTTTATTTTGAAATATCGTTAGCTCCTCTATAAACTCTCCTTTGTTCCAATTGGAAGTTGTGATTCCTTTGGTGTTGGTTTGAGGAAATTCAATCGAAATGTACAACACGAGAATATAAATCAAAACAAATGAATCAAAGAGGCGTTTACAAAAGACGACTTTGAAGATGAGTGTAACACTTAAAAAAATAAGGAAAATTTGGAAACACTGATATGTTACGAAGGGCAACCTACACAGTGACCCACAAATGAAATTAAACAGGGACAACTTCTTGGGAAACCTCCTATAAAAAGTAGCTGTTAACATCGCTGTGTCTACGTACCATAGGCTGCAGGATTCCCCTTCTCCTTTGCCAGAGAGGCTCGCAGAATAGCATTGTTCATAACATTCAAGTACGTTGGCATGGCATGGTAGCCCTTGTTATTGTACCACGCCTACAGAAGTAAGAAGCAAGCCGGGTGAGTATGCATGCAAGTCTATATGAAGACAAACAAACAAATATATATATACAAACCTTGACAGCTTCTCTGACAGCTAATCGTCTAACAGAGGCTATTTTAACTTTGTCCAACTTCTGAGGCACGAAACTCACAACTTCACCGAAGGAGAGCGCACCATATCTATGGTACGGAAAGATAAAAACGCCATCACGTCAAAGAACTAAAAATTGGGAACGTTTACCCCAGACGCCCAAATGCTATACTATAAAATACCGCTTAAAATCCCTATCTAATTGTTACCGACACGTTTGCTCCTCTAAAAGAAAACCCTACCCCTCCTCCCCCGCCCCTTCCACTCTCAACAGCTTACACCTTCGCAGCTAAAATCTCCGGTTACACCAATCAAAATGATATCCCTTCATAGGCATCTCCTCCCCCGCCCGTAAGCTTCACTCCCTAGGACCCATCAAGAGACCAGAAGATCCAAATAAACATAGTTCAATTACATTGTTTACGATCATTACCTGTGAAGCCTAAAAGTCTTCGTGGTATACAGGAGATATTTTGAAATATTTCTCCCCGTGATGTTCTGTAATGTATCCAATGTAATGGTGACCAGTTCCTTAGGATGTCGCCCGGCCGCTCCCCGGTCGCACACATACGCCGTCCTGTTAGCGGAGCACCGGCACCCCCTGCCCGTGTCCTTGTGAGTAACTGCATGGGACACATTAGATCCGTTTGTGTAAATGAACCCCAGGTTAAGGTTGGACGGTTTGAAATAATCATCAGAAACTTCGTCTATCGAGACCGAACACGAATGATTGAACAATTGGGCTAAGTTCTCCTTTGAAGGTTTAGAGTCTGTGGTAGTTAGATTGATTGAACGCAGACAACAAGTCGCTCCCACACCAGAGAGGAGAGTCAGTGTTTTGTCCAGTCGCGACGCCAAGCGGTTCACTCCCTTAGCCTCGTTTGCAAACGGGATGTAGTTAGGCCGCGGGAACATGGATGGAGTTAATTCCAATGGAGGTTGATCCGGGGTCTTGGGAAACGAAAGGGCCATAACCATAGCAATAGAGATAAAAATGGCAGGTAAAAGGATTTGAGAGATGACTCCTTTGAAGTTTCGACGTGCATGGTGGAAACGTTTTATCAACAGCGCGTAGAACTGCTGCAGTTTTAGAGGAGCACCAGTGAGTGTGCGAGAACCAACACCTTGGAATGCTGCATTAAACGGCGTCTGATCAGCTGGGAGGAAAAAGCGTATAGGCCTGAGAAATCGTATATTCCGACGTTCGAAAGCGGTCCGAAAAATTGGTTAAATGCATTACGTCGAATTATACTAAGTCAAGTAATTTTTCACGAAGAATATATTTAAAAACACAACAAGGATTTCTTTTATCTCTTTTTCTTAATTTTTCGCTTAATATTTCTTCTTGCATGACAACTGCAGTCAAACGTGAAAATATGAAAACAAACTTTTTTTTGTACAAACATGGTTTCCAAAGCTAAATGAAAGATCCTTCATCATTCACGATCTACGTACAATCTCGACTCCTAAAAGCCAATCAGCACTTGTTCCGGCTAAATCGGTTTGAATGTGTACTTACCATATTGATAGCCGGCCTCTTCCTGGATCTCCGGGCTTAACAGTTGTTCTCTCGCATTGTATCGAACCTCCGAAAAGTCGCCGAGTTCAATCTCTCCTTCCCTTGGTAAATCTTCCTCCCACTCGTCACCTGGTCCAGAGGGATCGCCGCTGAGCATAGTGCTCGAAGACTCAGCATGGTTTGAGGAGTTTTCAATGATGGAAGAATTGAGTTCTTCTGTCAGGCGCAAAATAAAGTGTTATAAGATTTGTGCCGGTTTGGACGCCTGGATGTTTCATTAGCCTTAAGAAATTTTAACTAACAATTGATTTCTAAAAGTACGAGGTGACCCTCAGGGCTGTCACTAACTATTCAAGTGGGCGGGAGAACGAAAAAGGTAGCCAAGGTCTGAGATTTTTCAGGTTTCAAACTGCTCACGTCAGGAGAGGGGAGGTTCAGTGGGGAGGTTTACGGAGAGGCACTGATTTTTTTTTTTTTTTTTTTTTTTAAATTTTCATGCCACTACTGTTCCTTTTCTTCTACGCAATGAACAAAACTATGAAAGGTTTTAGACAGTGATACCCTGGAGTATTACTTCTCTCTCTGGGTTGGATATCGCTTTCTATCCCGAGCAGTCCTACGGTATTTTTGAAAGGTTAGTCAAGTTAGTATGCATTATACTCGCAGCTTAACAGTATTAAACAAAACAACAGTAGAGACTTAACTTCAGTGACATTAAAATTATGAACACAACGATGATTCAACTCCTCGTTCACGCGAGCCTCGAACGGCTTTCATTTAACTCTTCCAGTTTGATGAACCATTATTATTTTCAACACTATTAAAGATTTGCATTTTTGATGAATACGATATATCTTATTTTTCCTTTGCCTCCCCTAATTGCAAAGTGTACAACATCAACGGCAAATTTTGCGGATGTTGGTGTCCGCTATAGAGGCAGTTCTTAATAAATCAATAAGGTTGTCAAACCTGATTCATCTCGAGATGAAACGTCGGTTACCTTCAGGAAAACCTACAACAGAACGAAAAAAAAAACATCAATAAAGGAGGAGAAAGCTTTGCCTTCGAACTTAGACTACGAGAAGTTCCCCTCTCCCAGCGTATCCCGTCGCACCATCCAAAAGGAACTGATAGGCTGAGAGTTTCGCGCGATTAATCCGAACCAAACAATTTTTCAATTAGAAAGTTGCTTGAACAAATAGTAGTTTAAAGTTACTTATTATGGTATCTGAAGGTTTTGCTCTATTGCAAGTTCGTCCCCTACCTTCTTTTCCGGTTCGCCCTCAGAAATAAAACGACATCACCCCTACCAGTTCGCCCCAAGTGTTTCGACTCGTTCTTTATGACAAAACATATTCCTTTACTGTCGAAATCATAACATTTTGATTAACATGCATTTCTTTTTTTCAGTGTCAAACGCTAGTCCACGAAGGCACGCTAAAATGGGGGCGAACTTGTTTTACCGTAGGGGGGACATTTAATGGGGCGGGACCTCCATAAACCTCATTTCAACTTACAAAACAAATTTACCAAACTTTTTTTAATTCTAAAAATACCTCCTCCAGTGCGGTGTCAGTGAGTCCAAAACTATCAATCCCCAGCTCAGATTGTTTCTTCTCCAAATCACTAAAGAAAATTTCAAATCCTCCCCGTTTGACGGAGTTGTCAGGCAGGATAAACGTGAGTTCCTGTTGAGTTTTCTGTTCTAGCCTGGCTGCTGGCACGTGAGATTTGATGAAATTTGTAACCTTTTTCGCATGTTCTTCATCACTGCTCAGATGATCTGCGTATCACAGAGATTCCAAAGATCAGTGTCTGGATAAATTTTGCTTCGGTAAATACAATTTGGGCGGCTGGAATTATGTAGTGGTGAGCTCGTCTACCCTATAACGATGAGTTCCGAATTCGAATGTTACACTTACCAGAATGAAGTGTGCTGTTGCTTGATCTCGTTTCGCTCGTTTCCAGTCCCTGGCTAGATTCCGCGGGTGTCATATGAACATTCACTATGGACCCCTGAAGAGTTCTGTCGTGCTTCTTTACCAGGGTAAGATGGTAACCATCTCCAAAGTGACTCTTCAAGAAAAGTGGCGAGCCTACACAGCGGAGCTTGCCGTTTGAAATGATGGCGATACGGTCTCCTAACAAGTCTGCCTCGTCCATAAAGTGCGTGGAGAGTAAGATAGTTCGACCTGGAAACAACCACGCTCATTTTCTAAGTCTCTTGAATTAACGAGTTTGAGTCTTATAAAAAGGCAATCTATCTACTGTTATTTTTCAACACGAGTGATGTAGGCTCGAGGGAATAATGTTAAGAGTACCCTGCATGGTGCGTGAATGTTTAGCAGTAAATAACTGAATAGATGGGCTCGGAATGACCAAATAAGCTAAATTCTCGGAACAAGATTGTTGAATTCTAGATCCTCTCGGGATGAATGAAAAGGTGAGGTGATGTAAGAATAACTTGTAAAGGATAACCGCGAGGGAAAGGTGCACTTAAGGGATGCCAGTCTCTTAGCTTAATCCTTTCTAAACTCAGTACTGTATAAGATTTGGAAAGTAGACAACTTCCAGACCAGAAGAGCGTTCGACTATCCCTCTTAACAGAAACCTTCGAATCAACCTGTAATGCCTATAAGAAGAAATCGAAGGCTGTAACAACATAACAATTTCATAAAAGCCCTAAGAACTGTGTACTTTGTCCAGTGGCACGCAGCGAAACTCTAACCAAGGTCAGTTAGTTCAGAATGGATTGAGGTCTCCGATGCAACCTTCTATCGATTTGACCTGAACTGATTTGTCAATCTTAGCCATTATTTAAATTTGCTTACCTCTCTTGTACTTAATCAAAAGGTCCCATATGGCCCTCCTGGCGTAAGGATCCACACCAGCAGTGGGCTCATCTAAGATAATAGTTCTTGACCCAGCCGCAAAGGCCATGGCCACAGAGAGCTTTCTCTTCATGCCTCCACTCAGGGTTTCCACGGCGCAATGGCGTTTCTTGGGTAGCCCTACGTCCATGACAAGCCTGTTAAAGTAAGGTAAAGGTACAGTAAGCAAACGGGCCGATGAGTTAATTGAGCCAGAGCTTCTCCCAGGTTTCATGACATAGATTCGTAGAGTATCTCTACTCTTCTACCCAACTCTTCCAAATTACTGAAATGTTTGTGCACCATAGAGGGCCCCATACATCAGGCTCCCCTGACAGTTCAGCGTCACCCATTTACACTCCTGAGTGGAGAGAAGCTCTGTGAGGGTAGTGTCTGGGCTCCAAACACAGCAAGATACCTTAGAGGACAGTCGATCCCAGATCTCAGCTTTCTCATTACAAACGAAGAAGGGTGTAATAGAACTAGCGGTTAAAGAGGCAATAACTACAAGCCAAACAAAACAAGAAGACAAACATTACAGCTGTAAGAAGAGGAAAATGTACAGAGGTTTTGAGGACCCGTCACACTTGACATAATTGTTACTACGAGAGGCACATAATTTTAGAAAGTGTAGTGCGAGGAAACTTTAACAGAAATCCTCTGTAGGAAATAAGTGTTAAATATTGATCTAAACCTCTTCATTTCTCTAAACTTCAAACCGTTTGTTACTCATTATAATGTGTCACAGTTACTTACAACAGACGAAATAATATACTTCCTGATTAATATCTCGTTTGATTCATCTATCAGTAAATTACAACTAAGGAATTTATGTACTTACTGATCCATCTCCCGTTGGACATCTTGCTCTGGCATTCCTTTAAGTCTTGCATAGAACCATAAATGCTCATCTACTGTCATCCTGAACATCCAGAATCAAAAACAAAAACGGAAACTCTGAATACCATTTCCAATTCGACGATAGCGTGTGGCAATTCTGACTATTGAGTCAACAGTATAAGTTGCGTCTGGGCGCGTGGAACTCAATCAATAAATGAGCACTGCAATAATTTGTACCAATATATAGAAGAAGTTTTCAAACTGAAATTTCTTATTCTTCGTCCCAACAATTTGACCTGCACCCATACGGCTTACGCAACTATTTTTTATCACTCTATGAGGTGAAAAAAGAAGACAGAACATTGCCTATATTTACACCTGGCTCTACCAGGACCAGCAAAGTAAATAAATACAGACAGAAATTCTGCTTTTTAATTGAGCGGGAAATACTGAAGTGCACAACCCACAAGAAACCCGTGTTGTTCTTCAATTCACCGTTTAAAAATTGTACACTCAATTCTTACAAATCAGCGACTGAGTTAAAAGTTGGCCTTTCACTACATATCTTGTCCACAAACCTGTCAAATAAAACATTGTGCTGCGGACACATTCCCAGGCTCCGCCGGATCTTATCCATGTCATTCCTGATGTCACAGCCATAGATGTATGCAGTGCCAGCAGTGGGCGGGAATAAACCTGTCAAGATTGACATGGTTGTTGTCTTCCCAGCTCCGTTGTGGCCGAGGAAAGAAGTGATTTGTCCTTCATAAAGATTAAGCGTTAGTCCGTCAACCGCTAGCTTTTTGCCTTCTTTATAAACCTGTTGTCGAAAAATTTGAATTAATGGCAACGTTACAAAAACAAGAATATCAGAAATTTAGAGGATTAAATTCTTGGTTTACTCATGATGAACTAAACATCGAACAGACTATCGTACTACGATTTCAATCCCAGGGGGCTAATGACCTCTTGAAAATTTATCTTTGGGCTTTTTTTTAAGGTTGTTTACATCTAAACCCCGTAACAAGGCGGGCAAGAGCGCTGTCACCTTTGCCATCCAGAACTCCAAGAAGTCGAAACTTTACAAAATGTGTCAAAAAAGACAAGACAAGACCATATTTTACATACCTTAACAAGGTTTTCTATTGTAACACCCAGTGATAAGTGAATAGGTTCTCTCTCGTACGCCAACAGTCCATCTGCCTGAGGCGCATCCTCCAGCTCATCCGATGTCATCATTTGAAATGTTCGACGGCTCATCTTAGGACAGGACTGCGTGTTGTGGCCAAACCAGTACGAAGGCTGAAAGACAAAGTACCAGGGCCGCGGAAGGCCGTAGGAGCCTGGGTGAACAGCCTCTATGTACCACACCATGATAGCGTAGATTACAGCGTCCATCAACATACAGTACAGAACTGTCAGCAGGTTGAAATCATCTCCTTTGATCTGGGGTCAAAAACGGTGGAGATCGACATTATTTTCAAAGTCAGAACAGCTGGGGTTTATTTAATAAATCAATATTGTGTAAATATTGGGAACAAAGGTATTAATGACTGTCCTGCGAGAGGAAAGTTAGTGCAAGAACTCAGTCATGAAAAAAGAAAAAAAATGGAAATGAATCCCTTATTCTTAAAAGTGACGTATAAATTGCACTGCATCAAGAGCTATCCCTATAAGTACAGAACGTCTTGTTTTAAAAAAGCTTCGTCCATCTGCGACTTCATTCCCACGCATGGATCAGAATTAATGTGCGACTTTGGAAGTGGAATGCAAATTTATCAAATGCAGCGGTATCTTCGACTTGAGGTTAAGAATATTGTTGAAAATTAATGCATAGTAGCCTCCAATACGAAACAGTTCTAAATGAGCGTTACCAGACTGAAAGACGAACGTCCTGGGACACTTTGTGGTGAAGAAGTCAACAAACTTAGTAAATCCTGAATTAAGTAAAGTATGTTATGTAATAAATAAGAAACCTGATCCTAGTTAAATTATTTCATGTAAAACATACAGGTGTACAGGACTCCTTCCTAAGCTATGATATGTCAAATATACGGGGATCTTTCCTGCGCTTTGTTATATAATACATACGGGACTCTTTCCTAGATTGGACCACTGCACCCCGACGCCTTCCTCTTCGTATATGGCAAAGTACCTCGCTCCCAATCCGAAAGCGGAAGTGGAGAGCAAACTAGCAGCCATTTTCTCTTTGCCGGAAACGTTACCAAAACCAGCCTCCTCTCGGATGGAAATAAACACATAAGGAAGGTAGGTCAAGAAATATATTATCCCGCCACAGGCAGACGCTAACTTCGCTTTGGAGAAAAACACCGAGATGAGAAAGCAGAATATAATGGTCACCACGGCAAACGTCATGAGGAACAACCAGATAATAACAGGATCGCTGTAGTACAACACCTTGCCGTACTGTGGACATAACAACAAGACTACACGTTAGTATTCCTATGGAAATGACTTCATTTAATCCAAAAGGCAACTGGGGTATGCAAATTTCCCGACTGGTTAAACGCAATAATAACTTCTTCATATGCACTCTTTCGCACCAGACCTATAGGAACGAATTTTTGAGGGGGCCCCCATAGGCAGCAATGATTAGGCTGCATTGTTTTGGACCGGAGGAGAGTCCATAAACGTCCATCCCAGGAAAATTTTTAAAATTTGTACAAGTTTTAGTGTCATTTGGTAAATTTTGGGAGACTTTTCGAGGAAATGTTTTATACTGCTTTCAAGCAATCTTGTAGCCAGTTTTTTCTTCTTTTTTTTTATTTGCATAATTGTGTAAACGACTCGAAGCTAGGCGCACTGCATTTGGTGCCAATGCGTTCGTTCTCCTCCTTCCTTTCATCCAGCCCCCACCCCCCCCCCCCCCCAACCCATTACTACGAGGCATGTAATAAGAGAAGGCACTCTTTAGATCATGAGGTCAAAGCCGACCGCTATATTATAAAGAAAATTTCGATAAAGTATCGTCAAACTAAAACCACAGTAATCACGACGACCGATAAGAACAAAGGAGTAAATCGAAATTAGCTAATGACAGCCAAGAATCGAAACAAGTAAACTGTAAACTGATTTATGCGCGGGACAACGCAAGTTCCCAAGCTGCGATTGTGTTTCCTGTAAAATCTGGAAACCAGTGCTCCACGCAAAGGGAAAATCTAAAGGGACGGCATGTAAAGCCACTTACCTTAAGGATTATAACCAGAAGGCCCACAGTAATGGACATGACACAGAGTGAGGTGATAAACCACGCCACCCAGTGCACAGCATTAGACAGACCCATCATCTTCATGACTTCCTTCAGGCGCTGTTCTTTTTCGTACACAATGGCTTGTACAGCCAGAGCTACGGTGTAAATCCACGACACTGTCATGCAAAGAGGCATCATGTGCTCGATGATGAACATAAAACTGGAGAAGAAAAAGCAAACAACAAAATTCGATAGAGAGTTTGTCATGATTTGTAATTTAAGAGAAATCTTAAACAACTGTGGGACACACTTTTTTATTTTATCTATGTCAGTTCTAATGCTTACACAACTGTGACGGCATATAAATATTTTACGAAAGATAGTGAATTGTGAGCCTGGTTGCGAAAAGAAGACAATTTTTTTCTTTGTCTTGTCACGAGTGTGGGAGAAAGAAAAAGTTCTGAGTACCCATAAGGGATCGAACCTCAGACCTTCGGATTCCGCGCTAGGTCGCTCTACCACTGAGCCTGCAAACTTTATGGATCGTATGTGATACGCTAACCGCATACTGCTAGGATCCGCGAAGTCGAAAGCCTCGCGCGAGTTTAGCCCAATACCTTATGGAGACTCGGAATAATTTCTTTGTCCTCACGCTCGTGACAAGATAAATTCTTACTTGTCTTTCACATAGCACGGATACGGCATCTCGTGGAGGTAGACAGCTGGTTTGATGACTTCTCGCCCAGCATGCAGATCAACAATAGCCCTCTCTATCTGGTCCTGAAGCCAGGTAAATCCTAAGTCATAGTAACGCTGATTCCAACTCTGGGGCCCCGGCATCCAGTAGCGATCACGGATGCTGTCGGTCGCGGGCGTGAAATAGGAAGCATTCATCCGAATCTTATATTTAACGTGAGGAGGCAGGCTGACATTCACCTTTATGTTCATGAACACGATTCCTGGAAGAGGTAAGATGGTTTAAAACTTCCTATCTTACTGTTCAAGTGCTTAACCCTTCATATCATAACATCAGTATGCACATTCTCCCTACTGTTCCCTATGCATTTCCCAAAGTGCTAACAAGGAGAATTTGTTGAAAAATCAAGATCTTCTTTAGTTGGTGATCACTTCCTCTATTCTCGTTAACCTTAGTGTGCCATTCGGGTGTGAAATTGTAAGAAGAAATTAGATGCTAGGCGCCAAAAGGTTTAAGGCCAAGACAAGACAAATTATCAGAATCGAAATAGGTTTCATTTTTTCTTATAGTATTTTAAGTTAGTCTTTAAAATAAAAACGGGTGGGCCTACTAACCTGCAACGACTTTAGAAGTGTCTCCATTCTTAGAGCCGTTGATATTTAGGGCAAAATTCAGCAGAGATCTCTCATCTTTAAAACCTTTGAAGATATTTAGGTTGAGATGTGAAGCCATTTCCAACCACAAGCGAGCCACACTATCAATCATGTCCAGTTGGGTAATTAATGGGTTAGTGTTATCGCAACTGCGGGTTAGGAGCTCATCAAGTCCTTCGTATTGTCTGAAAAGTCAGATACAAGTGAGAATAAAAAGAGATTTAGAACGACGTTTATGATAACGGAAAAGGGCAGAACCGAGTTTTTCTAGTGTTAGTAGTGCTATGAATATCATTCATTGCGATACAATTTTTGGAAGGCCTCTTTAATCACCTGAAGTTTTCGCTAGGTTTGTGCCCAGTTAGGTTGTAAGCCTGGTTGTTATATCGATGCAGACATTTATGTTTATTGTTCAGCAGAAGTCCAAGGTAGTACTGTGAGTCATTTTGCTGTAACACGCCACGGATCCTCTTTGAAGTGTTCAACCATTCCTCGGCGAGATGTATCAGTTTTTCAATGTCTGAAAATGTTCTATTTGCCTGTGAAGGTTACAAAACCAAAAAAAAAATTTCCATAAGATTTCAAGAAGTATGATCAGCTTTTATAACAAGTTCCTTGATTAAATGAATAATAACCTCGGCGAAAACACATTTCTTCCCAACTGACATTCATATCCGCCTCGTACAGAAAGCCCACATCCATTTTATCAAAAGGAAAAAAAAAGGAAAATTCAATTGATTTCGAAAAGTGTGGACGTTAAGACACAGATGTCTACATCTATGCAACCAAACGCTACGGATTCAATTTTGCCCCTTGGCTCCTTATATTTTTTGGAATTACATGTAGTTTCCATGATGTCTGTGTCCTGGAAGTCCATTGTTCAACTTCTCCTTCCTTATTCTTCAGTTTTCCCAGGCAGATCGCTAGTATCCATTCAGTTCTACTCGTTCTACTCCAAGGCCCAGTTATTCAAAGGGTGGATTGCGCTATCCAACGAACAAATCGCTATTCAGTGGATAAATGTGAACAAAACATACTGCGCCATCCACCAGATAACGATTTATCCACTGAATAACGTTATTCACCTTTCCAACAACAATAGCGTGGGTAAACAGAGGAACTGCCAGCGAGAGTTTAGTGGATTATCCAAGAAAAATGCGACAAATAACATCCCTCAGTCATTAACCTCGAGCTGGACGCTGGATCTTTCAATCCAGAGCAACGCGCTGATCATTAGGGTATCGCCTCCCTCAAACGATAGCGCCTGAAAAATCCTGCGTTACCTAACTTACCGTGCAAAACAACAAATAGTCTGCGAGCAAGCCCTCATACGCGTTGCTTTAACCTTTTCCACCCAAACATCAGTATGCAAGTTCTCCATACTGTTCTTTATACATTCCTGTGGTACTTACATGGAGAATTTGCCTAACAATCAAGAGTTTCTTGAACTTGCAATCATATCCTTTATTCTCATGGCCTTAATGTTTGAATCAGGGATGACCCTATTCAGAGAAATTAAGAGATGCTTGTCATTCTTATGGGTTACAGGGTTATGAGTATCCTCACGAGCAGAGCTTATGAGAGCTTGCGCGCAGGCTAAACAACAAAAGCCTTATATTGAGTCAAGTCACCTTTTTGATGATTTCATCAGCAGCTGTACCATTGGGGGAGTAAGCTATTTTCGGATTGTGAAGTAAGAGGTACAGCATAAGACGCATGGCTCGGGTTTTGCAAGCCTTGGTGCGGCAGCGGTAATCATACATGTGATCTATCACTTTCTTTTTGGGTTGTGCATCCGGGTCTGGGCCGCAAATGATTGGGCCGAGATTCTTCCACATCTCACGTAGGTAAATTTTGTTTCTCTCCCACTTGGTCTTGTTTTGGAGGTGATTTGTGAAGGAGAGATTGACACGCAACAACTGCGCAAGCTCCACCCCCTCTTGTACCAGGTGCACAAACTCGGTCAAATTCTTCAGCTGAAAGTTGAACACACAGTGATAAAGAATAAATGTTCCCATGCAGGACAACTTAAGTGCTGAATAACGAGCTCTGCAAATAAGTAAAGCTCTGCAAAGTTTTGGGTTTTTCTCAGAGGGGTGTAACTCGTACAAAAAATAACTAAGAGAAATGCTACCAAGGGAAAATCTAACACAATGTCTCAATCCATTTGCTCTCAAAAATCATTCCAAGTGTGATATTCTCTGACATCTTTCTGATCTATCAAGCAAAGACAAAGAATTGGCTCTAACTTCAAGGAATACCCTAAGGACCACCCTAACCGCCCAAGGAACACCCCGACCAACGACTTAAAACTTCAGGCCACAGAATGAATTAATGACTATAAAAGCGATCTCCACGGTAATGAACAATACTTAAGCAGTGATGAAAATAACGCCTAAAATAATGTACTACAGCTTATTAAATAAGTAGTGTTCATTACTTTCACATTCATTTCTTAAACCGCGGTCGTAAATGATTTTCATATAATCGCAGTCATAAAAGAATTAACGTGTTTAAAAAGTAACTCTTTTCAAACTTATAGTGTTTTAAGTACTTCTTCAGGTAAAGTAACATAACTATAAAGAAAAACCTTACATCTCCTCGCAGTTTTGTGTATGATTTGTTGTAATCCTTCAAGTCTTCACGGGTTACGTTCAGCTAAAAGGAAAACCATTTACATTCACATTATAATTACTCTGGTATAAGTTGTAGATGATTGATTTCACTGTTCATCAATAAAAGTTCATTTAATTGACTAAATGAACGATTTATTCACCTTGTTGATGTAAAACACTTATTAAATTATAATATGACAATAATAATAACAACAATATTATAATAATGATGTTGTTAGTAATGATAATAATGATGGAGATGACCATGATGATGATGATGATAATAATCATAATAATAATAATAATAATAATAATAATAATAACAGTACAACATCATCATCGATGTGCTCGGGGGCGTATCAAGAAAGACACTAGATAGTATTAAAGAACTTGTAGGTGTCAGGGCAGATAAGATCTTACTGGATATGCAAAAGGCAGTCATCTCAAGTACCCTTAACATTGCACGGAGTTTCAAAGTTCTCACTGCACAGGACCTATGAACTGGCCAAACTTTTACCCATAACTTTTTGGGTTTCTAATATCATTTGAGAATTTCTTTATTTTACGAATTATTTTAGGCTGTGGTAATGACAAGCTAATAGGTTGTCAAATCTTATTTAAGGCATCCTTACGTTTTAAAATAAATAATAATAATAGGTCAAAAGGCCACCAAGTATATATGAAAGGATAATTTTTTTTATCAGTTTACTATAAACCACACAAACTGAAAGTTCATAAATACCCTCTTCCCACAACCTCATTAATCCAAACAAAGGCTGGCTACACAGTCAGACAAGCAGGGCTGTTAAGGAGCCTCAATCCACCCTTCTTGAGCCACCCACTATAATGGGTGGCAAGTGAGTGAGAATTAACACACCACTAAAAGCAAAGCCCACCTTCTGCATGGCAGCTGCACGGTCCACATGGTGCTGAAGATAGCCAGCTAGAAGCTGAGCCTGTGACGGTGTTAGGTGGCATAACTGTTCAAGTGCTTCCTACAAACAGCCACATGTAAGTTGTATCAGCCAAGGTTACTTAAACTACAACATGATTCATCTTGTGAGCTATGCTTGCTTGTCATGTATAGATATTATTTCACCCCACTTTCCTTTTAAAAACCTCTTTCCACACATCCTACTCCCTATGAGCTAAAAGGGGGAAAGAGGGACCTGAGTTGCTTGTAATCCCCTCTGATTAAAAAATATTTTGAAAAGCTGTTCACATCTACTTTTTACACCCACATAACCCAGACCACTGAAGACCACTGAACCTCAAGGTAAAAATTCCTCTTAATAATGCTACATGTCATATTCATCATTATGTCTTTCTTCACTTCTAGTGCAGAAAAGGAACTGGTTGGCATCAATTTTACAAAGCCACAAAGCACATGTACCTTTTGATTGGACGTCTTGAGTACCAAAACCTTCTCTAGCTCTGTAGTATTACATGAAGAAGCATTCAATGGCAGATTAGGAGTGTCAGAAGACTAAAAGAGAGGGAAAAAAAAAGACAACATCAGATATGCAAGTAAACATGCTAAGTAGCTGAGTAACTCACCCACTTAAACTGACTCATTGACCCAACAACTGACTGAAATTCTGACTCACCCACACTGAATTACCTTTAACTGACCAACAAGCAAACTCATCAAATGACCAACAGATCTCAATCTATTGAATTCCTATGATTGGCTGAATACTTAACATTAATGGAAAGATAGATTAGCTGCTCAGCTTAAAGATGATTAGATTGTTTTCAATTGATTGACTGATTGATTGATTGATAAAAAAGTTACTTACAGCTGAATGTGGTGGAGCAAATGGCATGGTAAAAGGATTCATAAGTTTGCTCATAGTACCAGACAGAAGGAGACCAATAAGGCTTGGTCCAGAAGCAGGGTTGAGTGGTAAAAACCCATTGTTAATGCGCTCTGAATTGTTTTTAAGTCGAAGTGACTGCTTGAAGAGCTCCTTTTTATGAGTACTGATAAATTTTGCAAGCTGTAAAGTCAAAAGTGCACATGATAAATAAAACACACTACTGCAATGTAAGACTTGGGTGAAATCGAGGACTGAAAGAGTGATTCACAAAATGCTTCTGGTTTGTATTAACCCTCGAACTCCCACAAGTGACCAAGACAGAATTACTCCTTACAATATCAAGACAATATTGAGCAAACAAGTGATGAATACAAAGAGAAATATCAGTTGAAGGTTTTAATAAATAATACAATACCAAATTCTCTGAACTAACATCACAATAATTAGTTGGAAGACAGTAAAGAGAATTAATAAGAGTAACTGAGATCTTGGGAGGGAAAGGGTAAAAAAAATTTTACTCCAGGTGAGGGTGAGATGTTACAAGGAGAGGACTAGTGAGCAATGAGTCCTAAGTGGTGCAAAACTGACATGCACTATCGACACCGTGGGTGCATGGGAACAAATGGTAACAAATATTTAAATACGGCACTCAAGCCAAGTGGCCCTGATGTAGCTAGAAACTTATCCCAGTTTTCATAGCATGAAGTGATGAGGAGTAGTTCTACTCCCCCCTGGATGGAATGCCAATTAGCCATTTAAACAGATGCAGATAGACAGAGGCACTGTGAGAGCAGAGTGTCTTGCTCGCCAAGAACACAACAAAATAACCTGGCCAGGTCTAGACCCTAGAGTCCAATGACTACCAACAACACAGCCACCACCTCTATCAGTAGTGCAATGCATGTAAACATCTAAAAAATCCATTAATAAAGAACCCACCTCTCTTGAATTAACTGTTGTGTTTAGTAACCCTTCTGCCATTGCTGGTGCAATAGACATGTTCTGCATAAACTGCTGAGCTTCTTCAGGATCTGTAAGTATTTCCCTTATTGTGAAGTCTACAAGGCATGACAAGGAAAAAATATCACTTAACTTACATGTGTAAAATGATTCCAGTTGATTTATTAAAGAAATTTATTGATATAATTTGGTAAACGCCATTGGGAACTGAAGAATGTTGCAGCCATATAGTAATGTTCTGGGTTTGTAAGTAGTCAAACCTTGACAACTCTAGACTCTCATGAAAAATTAGGATGGTAATAAGTTATTTATTGCAGATGCTTATTTCCCTTGATGTGTTGTCATAAAATATACTAGTTGCCCATAAAGGAAAATTTCCTCTAGGCTACCGTTAGAATAAACATGAGGATAGAAGGAGCTGGATGAGTGAAGTACAATCACACAATGTAATATAAGCAGAAATTCTAACATATACACTTCTGATAAGAAATTTATAATTACTTGACTTGATGATGACACATCTTTCCTTCTAATTTAACATTTACAAGGGCAGTATTCAAATAGCACTTATCAAGTTGTTTACTTTCACAAGGATTGAAAGCTCGCTGTTAATTTTTCCTATGTCAAATGTAGCTTAATTTGTTAGGAGCTGGACTAGTCTAGGATAGAATTTTAATCTATACAATTTACAATAATGTCCCATAATAATTGAAAGTACTAACTATCAACATTCTGAGCATGTGAAATAAGCTTTTTGAAGTTCCTAGTAAAGTCTTCATAATCCTGAGGCAGTGTTTTCAAGTCATCTGCAGTGGACAGACCAGGAGATGAGAGAATGTCTGCAATATGATCCAGAACAGCACCAATACTGAAAGAAAACAAAAGCAAGCCATGGAGAAATAGTAAGAAAAATAATAATATTATTCTATGTTTAATCTGCTGCTCCTAAAATGTTTTCTCATCCTAGATCTCTATTCTTAACAGCTAACAACTGAAATGTGGTATGACACCAACATAACTGTTATGAGTGATTCTTGCTGGCCAGATTAGGACCAATCATCCATAGATAGAATACTACTGTACATGTTTAGTCTATTACAAGATAACCCCTCTCCTCCCCCAACCCTTTTTTAGGCTTCCCTTACAGTTTCCCTGTTCCAACTCACCATCATAGACAGACAGGAACTGTCAAGGTAGAGAGTTGTGTTCAACAACATTATAAAATGACCAAGGCTCACACTCAGATCATTTGACCTAGAATATAGTGCACTTCCCACAAAACCACTACATCTTGTAATATATCAGCACTATGCTACATGCAAGGCTTGCCAAATTAAAAAGATCTTCTTGAAAGGGAGATTTCGCCATAGACTACAACTTTGAAAGTCATTGTTTAATCCTAACCATGCCGTTGTTAATGAAGGAGTGGGAGACGTAGTCACTTCATGATTGGTGGACAAAACTTTGGATGAAAAAGCTTGGCTTTAACCGTTCAACTCCCAAGAGTGACCAAGAGAGAACATCTCCATACAATATCAATACCATATTAAGCAGGCAAGTGTCATGAGAATCACAAAAAAGATAAATTTTGGAATTAAAAACCAAATTGCATGGCAGAAAGTATGGAGAATCACTTAAAAGACCCTGGGAGTGAAAGGGGTAATTACAGGCCCTGGGCATAGTCAGGTTGTTGTAGAGAGCTTTTAAGAAAGAAAATCTACCCTCACAGCCCCTTAAGAATGACCAGCATCTAATTTCTCCATACAATAATACTACTAAATCATTCTTTAACCCTTTAACTCCCAGATCAGATTTATAATTCTCTTTACTGACAGTCATACGATTCTTATAATGTTGCTTCAGAGAATTTAGTATTGGATCAACTAGTTATCCCCAGATTGGTAGTTTTCTTTACTCTCATCACTTACCTGCTTGACATTGTATTGATATTGTAAGGAGAATTCTGTCTAGGTCACTCATGGGAGTTAAAGGGTTAACTTCATGAGCATTGTTGAGTAGAGACAATGTTTTACCTTTGAAGACTTAATGTTTCAATAACCTGATTCCAAGGTAAATTATACAAGTACAAGAGCAAGATACAAATATGAATGAAAAGTAAATATCAACAAAATAACCGCAAAAGATGTACACAAAACTATACACTATAAAATTATCCAGATTCCAAGTTTGCAGAATGTCACTAGAAGATTTCTTAGCACAAAGTATTTTAATCCCACAGAGTATTTTAATTATGGTATACTATGACAATTAAGGAAATGATTGCCAACCCAGGAAGATTTGATGGTTAAACAAATTCTTCAGTTATTATCAAAGAAAATGTATAGAAAAGGGTATGGTCAATATGGATATTGATGTTACAGGGTCTAATGGTTAACACCCTGTAACCTGTAACCCAATAGCACCATGTCTATGGGACAGCCAATGCATGTATTGTGCATGTACCTTGCATTAGGATGTAATGGGAAGCCATGCTCATCTTTATCTTTATTATTACAAAACTGTTGAAGCAGAGGGATGATTCCTGCTGAAGGAAGAGCCCTCACTGGAAATACCTCTGTATAAAAAGAATTGGACACAATACTTAAGAATAAAGATGCTTGTGAGTTGGTTAATAAGCTATGTTTTCACAGACACAGACTCAAGATGATGAATATAGATTATTCACTGACAGTACAATATCTTATATGGGAGATAGCTTGGTAGAGGAAAAATTAAAAAATATGTGATGGTGGAACCGACCATTTCAGAGGTTTATACCTTTGATGGCAATTACACACTGATCTGGATTATAAGCTGTTGTAGTGTATTGCATAACACAGTGTTACTTTTTTAAATGCATATCTTATTACTCGCTCACATTGTAAATTTACTTTCCTTTGTGAAAGTAAAATAACTGATCACAAGGATATGATTGTATGATGAGTACACTACCTTGACTACTGTATAACCTTCTGTTAACATAGAGCAAAGAAAGGAGTTATTTGATCAATGAATACACAACAGCTATGACCTATGATCATTGTTAGCTATAAAAAGGTAATTATGCAAGATTCTGAAACCACAAAGCTACCCCAGAAGGAATTGCTATGAGTTGAGAACAAATTCTAGAGCACCCACGTAAATCATACATTCATTCGTTGAAAAAACTAAAAATCCTCTCTAAAACCAAACAATTTGAAAATATATTTTAATAAACTGTTACCATGAAACAAACAACGCATTTTACTCTTCCCAATGTAAGACCGGTAAGGAATATTTTTCACCAATTTATCTCTTTTCTTTTTGTAACACAAAATGTAGTTTTTCTTCCATTTTAAGTCATGCTTGTATTATTCTCAAACAGGTTAATTTCTACTTGAGCATGAATCACGAGCGTAAATAAAATTCATGATAAATGTAAAATTTATGTAACTCGGGAAGAAAACAAAAATTAGAATATTTAATATTTAACACCTGGTAGTTCTCACTGTCATAGCTATCACATTCTGTTTCAAGTTAAGTTCCACTTAAGGTATGTTACAGTTCCTTTATAATGCAAAGCTAAAGACATAACAACCAACGAGAAGTATATATATATGCTATCTGTTAAATAATCGGCACACGTAAGCTTTGGACATGATCTTGACGTAGTTGATACACATTTTATACGCACCTTCAGGAACGAAATCGGGTTCTCGTCGAAAACGAATTCCCATCAAAATAAGGAACAAAACGAGAGGCTTAAGGACTTCGATCAGAACGGTAAACTATTGAACAAAGCAATAAAAGAGCAAAAAAAAAATTAAAATGAGACAATACCCTTGCCGTCGCTTCATTGAAACTTAAATGTGCAATAAAACGATTTACATTTTTTTTTCCTGAAAAAGCTCTTACCGGAGCCCGCTTCTTCAAGGTGAAATTCTTCCAAAGTAATAGCTTAAGCTGTAGTCCGAACCCCATGCCTGGTCCAAATGCGAAAAAGCACCAGAACAGAAATTTCTTTCAGATGTAAACAACAACCCGGCGTAATATTCTCCGCTGTGCAGCGAAGCGTTCACGCAATCGATAACCTGAACATTCTGGTCTCCAAAACCCAGAGAAGTTCCCTAAGAACGCCTTGAAAACTTATCGATGGCAAAAGTCGCAAAATAGAAGTGATAAACAGAAATTCGCAAGTCAGCATCTACCATCAGTTGATGATGGTAATAAAGAAAAGGTTAAGTGCATCATTAATAGGGTGCTCCGGCTGATGACAAGAAATGGTCCCCTGAGAGTTCGTGTCCACTCCTTTTTATCCAGTACTCGATCTCATCCAACATGGCGTCCGCTGAACTATCTGGGTCGTCATTTTTCCGACATTTACAATGCAGAGATCTTCACCAATATTTGGGAAGCCTACCGTCTGGTATATTAGATCGATTGTACAATCACCCAGCGATTTGCCTAGCAGTTTTCAGGTGGGTGTAGTGCATTACAGGCACGTGTTGGCTAAATCTATTTATTATTAAAGTAATGGTAGCTCACTTCGCTTGTTCTAGGGGTGGATAACTCTATCCACTGGGTAAATCCCTTTCCGGTGGATGGCACAGTTTTTTTTTGCAGACACCCACCAGCTGGATAGCGATTTATCCGTTGATAGCGTTATTCGCCCTTTGAACACCTGTGCCAAGAATGATAGTAATTGTAATAATGATGATGATAATATTATCATCACAGGGGCGGATCCAAGGGTGGTTCGGGTGGCTTGATCGAACCCCCTATACTCAAATGAAGATGTTTAAAAGCATGTGCTATTTCTGACGAAAAACTTAAGTGGACGTAGTGTATGTTTAAAATAGCTTAACAGCAATTGTTTCAAAGGCGTCAAAAACATCTAATCATCCCTACCCTTAAAGACTAAATTTCAACATTTTCCTAGTAGGGCATACTCCCTTACCCTCTACCCAACCTTTTGTAAACTTTTGTCCAATCCTCCCTCCATCAAGTCCTGGATCAGCCTCAGCATTGGCTTTTATAAACAATGATAATGATAACAGTGATTTTATCGTCCTTATGATTATTGCAATAATCATAAGGATAATAAAAACAGAAAGACAATGTTGATAAGTTTGACATTGAAGTTCATGTTTTGCCCCTTTCTAAGAAGATACAATTAGGCACTAAATGACAAAAAAATGTATTCAAAATTTTGAGACTCTATCTTGCTGAAGTAGAAAAGAGCAGCTGTAGATGCACTGAATTTGCAATCCCAAGTTCAAAGGTGAGGATAACAATTGGAAAATTTTCAAAAATAAGACCTCAAAGATGTCATTTCCTGTATTTTGAAGTCAGGAATAAGTAGCACAGAGAAAACAGATATTTTGCTGTCCAGACTAACAGTAAACTAATTCACAAACTTATGGGGTATGACTGGCCATGTTCATCACAGAGAATTACCAGAACTTGCCAAGCAATTTGTGATGAGGACTTTATTTGCTGATCAGCCTGTACCAGAAACCCTGGTAGCTGCATGGGTCAAAACAGATTACCAGAAGTAAGTTATTGCATCTAATTCTTACAATCACCAATATAATTCCTAGTTGATTGATTGCCTCTTAGATGATGTAAACCAACTCTCTGGTTAAATGACAAATGCAATAACAGACAGTTTGACAGACAGATAGGTGGATAGATTGAGAGACAGATAAACATACAAATGGACAAACAGACAGTTCAGGACAAACCACATAGATGAATGTTTTTAAAGTTGACTCCTGATGACTCAAACCTTTCCTAACTCAAACCTCATACTGACTGAAACCAAAGTTGATTTGCCTGGATTTCTTTGTCCTTTTTTGATTTCCCGAAAGGTGTCAGTCTAGTTCAGGTTTCTTTGGTTTAACTACAGTTGCCTTTGACTTGAACCTTTTTCAATCTCTATTGAAGGTTTGAGTTATTGGGAGTGGACTGAACAGTTCATATTTTGCATATCAGCTCATTCAAATGCACTTAGTTACACTAAAGAAACAATAAATGAAACAAGTCCAAGTGGTGAAGCTCTGCTTGATCTAACAATTATTGTACATGTGTGTCTTACTCTCTTTAGCTCCCAGGATCTGAGTGTTAACCCTTTAACTCCCAAGATCTGATTGTTAATTCTCCCCTCTAGCTGCTATATATTTCCTTAGAAATTGGTTATGAGAATTTTAGTGTTAGATGATGATGACAACCTCGCCTGATAAGTTTGAGTATTCTCATCACCTGTTTGTTGGATAATGTAGGGATGTTATTGGGAGAAGTTACATGGCAATCACTCTTGGGAGATGAAGGTTCAATTCTCCTTTCTAACTGCTACACATTGCCTTGTAAATAGGTCACATGAAATTGGTGTTTGATCAAGATGACAATTTTTGTTGGATAAGTTTGAGTATTCTCATCACCTGTGTGCTGGATAATGTATCGATATTATTGGGAGAAGTTACTTATTAATCACCTCTGGGAGTTATGGGGTTACAAGTATCATTGTTACTACTGACACTTATTAAGTAAAGACAAAAAGTAATGTACAGAAACATGCTGCCTGTGTTGCCTTCAAACATACATTATTTTACATTCTGTTACTAAATTATTATGCAAGATACACTGTAACTTTTGTTACCCATGGTAGACATTACATAGGATCTATAAACAGACTGAAAAGCCTCAGGATTTGGAAAGAATCAAGTGGTGGAATACCCAATAGGCTTGAAATGAATGCAACCTTCCGGGGCAATCTCAAGATTGCTCTCTGTGGCGGGTAATTATGAACCTTGATGTCAGCATTTTGTAATAAAGTCTATGATTAAGTTGGGATATAATGCATTTTGTCATTGGTTGAAAGAGTATGCTCTATCAGAGTACAAAATATAGGGCTGAGGTAAAGCTATTGCCAACGGCCAAATTGCACTATGTCAGACTATTTCCTGGACTTCTCTCTGGTTTTTTTGCATTAATTGGAAGTGAAATTTCAGAATAAGCAAGTTGGCAAGTGGCAACAGAAGAATAAAACAAAGGTTCGAAAACATGCTAAGTGCCTTAATTTACATTATTATGAGATGAACAAAGACAAAATCCTCAAAGAAAAAACAAATTAGACAGTCCAAAGTTTAGGTAGGATTTAGGAAGTGGCTAGAGCACTCAAGAAGTGTAAAGAAACACACAACTATGTCTCTTGTTTCTCTTTACACTTCTTTCATGCTCTAGTCACTTCCAATGTGCTTTACAACAGAACAGAGCTCAGTCAATGCTTCTCTTTTTTGTTTAGAAAAAGATATGAAATATTTAATAATACATAGAAAAAATGTTAATTGTTTTTTTAGAGGAAATCCATGGATAGGATCTGGTGAACAACCTGAAAGAGACAAGCATGCACGTGACATTCCATTTCTTGATAATTATAGTATGGAAAGGTGGGAGGTAGGTGTGCACATGCATTTGATAATAATTATTTTTAGACTTGGTCATCAGAGCAATTTTTTATCTCTAATTACCATGGGACTTACAAAAATCAAACAAAAAGGGAAGGTTTTTTTTTTTTCTCAGAAGAGTTATCGCTATGTTCAATAACCCTTTACACCCTAATATCACGATCCATATTCTCCACACTCTTCTCTGTATGCTTCTTTTGGTACTGACAAGGAGAATTTATTTGGTGATCAAAGCTTCTTAGGTTGGCAGTCATTTCCTTTATTCTCATGATCTTAATAAATGGTTCAGCAGTATTTCTGTAAGAAGAAATTAGATGCTGGCCACTTCTAGGGTTTAAAGGTATAAAGAAGGTACAAACTGTAGATGCAGCAGGGTTCATATTTGTCTTAAAAAAAGACAGAAAGCAAAGGAAATCTGCAACTTTGTTTTATACATTAGAAAATGAATGAATGTGATTTTTGAAGACCTTCAAAACAAGTGACTACAGGATTAATTAAAGGATTGTTTTTGCATTATTTTGGTCCTAGAAACATTCAAAAAAGTCTGAAGAAGTTCATAATTTGTCACAAAATCTTACGTAGTTTTGAAGGGTACAAACCACGTTTCAGATAGGTGGTCTGGTAATATCACAAGTGTTCTTACTGTTGGTTTTTTTGCACATCTTCAGTCTGTTCTTCATTTTATGACTGGTTATACTTCAAGTGAGGAAAGTGCAGCTGTTAGTCAGGATGTTGTCCGTGTGTTGGTTTTATCGGGACTCATGAAATGGTAATTGCCTATTAGTTATTCTACACTAAATTTTACATAACATTGTGTAGAGGATGATGCATGGTATCAGCAATTTTAATTGTCTTTTTCATGTTTTTGTGACTTTTGTAACAGTGAGACACCTGGTGCATCACCAGTTATAAGTCCTGCGGGATTTCAATTTTTACTCATGGACACAGCTTCACAAGTTTGGTACTTTATGATACAATACCTGGAGACTGTTGAGGTAAACACATCAACTTCACCATGTGTCATTACAACTAGTGCAACTGTATGTGCTTGACAAATGCACAGACTTGGTACATGCAGTCTGTAACTACTTTGAAATCTCTGCCGGTCATTAAATAAATTTAATTTCTGATAAATTTCTTCCCTCCCTTTTCCCAATGACTTCTGCCTTTCTACTTCCCTTTCCTTTCTTTTGTGTGCTTCAAAAAATAATTACCCCTTTTTTCTCATTTACTTTCAAATTTCTTGTATATTTTGTCAGGCTCGAGGCATGGATCTTGTGGAGTGCCTGTCTTTTCTATTTCAGATTAGTTTTGCAAGCCTTGGCAAGGTCAGTTTCTATGTGATAAAATAAGTTCTGCAAGTAGATTGGTTATGGGAATAGAGATGATTTACAATCATCTTGGATAGTTTCTATATCTCGTATCCCATAGATAGTTTGATTTATAATAATAGATATAATAATACATATTTAGGTCTTCCCCCTTTGAGTTATAGTTGTAAAATTATATACTTAGGTCTATTTCTGAATTATATACTGTCTTCTGGCCAATTAGTAAAGCTTTACTCTTGGCTTTAAGATTGAGACTCAAATAAAGTTGTTATCATTATTATTATTATTATTATTATTATTATTATTATTATTGTTAGTGTCTTGATCTTCAAGAATTTGATAAACAGTCATCAGGGACTGTTGAATTGTGACTCTTGGCTTTTAGATTGAGACTCAAATAAAGTTGTTATCATTATTATTATTATTATTATTATTATTAGTGTCTTGATTTTCAAGAATTTGATAAACAGTCATCAGGGACTGTTCAACTGTGACTCATTAATGGTAAACTAAGTGCTGCTATTTGAGAGGATCACACCAACTTAATCGATAAGAAGAAGCTTGTTTGACTGACTTTCTCAGTTTTGGGGATAACAGCCTATAAAATAGGCACCAGAGATCAAATAACTCTCCAGCTGCTGTATAGAACATTCTGGGAAAAATTAAGATGCTTTGAGCTATTTTTTTATCTAGAAGAAGAGCCATCGAATACATGTACTATCCTTTCCTATTATTTTATATTCTTGTACAGGACTACTCTACAGAGGGCATGAGTGAGTCTCAACTAAAATTCCTTCAACATCTCAGGGAGTTTGGTCTTGTCTTTCAACGAAAGGTATTAGTTTAATTTTCTTTCCTATGTGGGAATCAGCCAACATTATGCTATGGGCTGTTAATACTACATTTTGTTGTGACCCTTTTGTAAATAATCTTACATGAGTATACTTATCTATGAAACTCTTTCAGCGCAAGTCAAGAAGATACTATCCCACTAGATTAGCCATTAATTTGGCTTCAGCAGGAATAGGTATCAGTCACTTTTCTTTAAACCTTTTGACCTGTGAGAGTGATTAGCATTTAATTTCTCCAGACAATGTCACCCCTGAATCACATATTAAAAGAGAGGAAATTATCACTAACTAAAAAATCTCTTGATTGTTACACAAATTCTCCATTAGCACCTTAGGCAATGTTTAGGGAACAGTGTAGAGAATATATACATACTGATGTTAGGGTATTAAGGGTCATATGTAAACTGATATGGGAACAGGAAAGCATTTAATAATTTCATGTAGTTGTTGTGTAAATATTTGTTGGTGTAGAACGTCTATTAGGTACTTTTTATCTCGTTGAGAGATTACTGAAAATTCTTATCTGTTTCAGGGAGTTCAACTGTCAGTAACACAGATCAGAAGGGCTTTATTGTAGTTGAGACAAACTACCGTCTTTATGCATATACAAGTAAGTAGTGGTAGACAAGAAATGTGATGCTAGATGTATTTTATCAAGAAAGTGAGGGAGAATTGAAAGGCTCACCTCTGCTGAGTTTGGCCCAAATTCCCAGGAATTAGTATCCTTCAAGGGCTTTGAGTTTTCTACCACTTTGCTGCTCTTCAAAAAATCAATATACAGTGGAAGATACCAAATTTCAACTCAGTGTTGGTTTACACATGTATGTTAGTGTGTTTAAACAAATTAGTACTCACTTTCCCTTCCCCCTCACATTTTACTTGTTGACAGTTGCTCTCAGTGTTAAGTTTCAAATTTTCTACTTTTGCTTGTTGACAGTTGCTCTCGGTGTTAAGTTTCAAATTTTCTACTTTTGCTTGTTGACAGTTGCTCTCAATTTTAAGTTTCAAATTTTCTACTTTTGCTTGTTGACAGTTGCTCTCAATTTTAAGTTTCAAATTTTCTACTTGCTGCGCTATTGCCACCCAAAGAACAACTGTCTTTGCAGTCAAGATGAAACAATGCACAATTTGTTACCATATTCCTTGCTGTATGTAAAAGTTTTACACTTACATGTATTATCCAATAGTTTTTTTGGGTTTATTAAAAAAACCTAGCAACAGCTTACCCACTCAATACAGCAAGAGGCAAGTGGCTCATATCTTGAGACAAGATGCTCATCTTTGACTGTCAACTCACTTTTGAGAAGCACTTTGTGATTAAATGGTTTACTAATTTTCTCCTCCAACTACACAGGTTCATCTCTGCAAGTAGCTCTTGTAGGATTGTTCGCTGAGATAATCTGTAGGTCTGTATTTTTTAATGAACTGTGAACAATTGAGTTGATCTACCATGGAATTGTAATTTAAAATGTCTGTAGTTCTATATTCTCATTAGTACAAATTTGTAAACTAATGATTTTTATGCAATGCATGTGAAGATGTTTCTTAGAGATGTTTCAAAGCTAGGCCATTGTTCCAGTTGTTCAAGGAGTTGACACTGTACAAGTCATGCCTCTTTTACTTTTTGTAGGTTTCCAAACATGTGTGTTGGTGCTTTGACAAGAGACAGTGTTCAGCAGGTAATGTTTTAGTGAAGTGATTTTAAAAACAAATTATTAGACAATCTATTATTGATTTTCAGTGAGAATTGAAACTCTTTGAAATCTTTGAATTTCAATTTGAAATTGATTAGAGGATAAATTGACCACAGTAATGAATTTTAAAAATTTGATGTAGCAAACGTTCAACAGAAATTTCAGATTTTGCAACAGAGTATGCAGGCTTTCTTTAATGATAAACTACCTCCTGAACTGGCTTGTAGGAGAACTGAAAAGATCTAGTGTTTGTCTTGACTGAAAATGTGAGGGCTTGGGTATCCAAGAGTCAAAGCTTTGAAGGGTTTTAGTAGGCTCAAGTATAATTCCCAGATGGGTAACTTGAAATTCAGCCAAAAAAGGTCTTTTTGGCCTTTTTACAACTTGGAGGACCAATATATATGCATGTAATATATATATATATATATATATATATATATATATATATATATATATATCTTTTAAATTTGCTTGTTTGTTTTGTTTTGTGTTGCTTTTTTCATTTGTTTGAAAGACCTCTTGCCTATGTCCTCTCTGTGCATATATCCTATTACTAATCTCAACAGAATTCAGCCCATGTTAAGCCCACGACTAATGTTATAGTTACCAGTACTGAAGTATCTATCTATCTGTAGGCATTGTCAAGTGGAATATCAGCTGAACAGGTTGAATATTATTTTCTTTCTTCTATCAGATACTTGAAAAAAAATTTCCCTTCCTTAAAATGTTTAGTACACACTGTTTCAAAGTTGTGCATATGTGTAGGAAGTGATATGAATCAGCTACAGTGCAAGATATTATGTACTAACAGTAAAAAACAAAAAAAACAAAAATTTTATGTTTATTATTTTTTTGTAGATTCTTCACTTTTTGAGGACTAGAGCACACCCTGAAATGTTAAAAAAGGTTTGTATGAAAATTTGTTCTTTGTTCAAGTACAAGTTAATCTTTTTTCTGAAATAATGATACTTACTATTTCATGCTTTGTGGATCATGAAAAATTTTGTAAGTTAGTTATTTTTAAGCTTCATTGTTATTTTTTTCTATCTCCTTGTTGTTTGTCTACCAATAGAATTGGTATTGTCAATTTAAGGATAATTCTTTACAGACATAAAATGTTAACAGTGTTGTTGCTCAGGACACTTTCCCTTAACTGAAATTGGTCGAACTAACTGACATATTAAACAAAAACACTAAAAAAATCCTTCAGATACTTTTGAAGAGTTTCCCGCACAACTTTTATCCAAAAAAATCCCGATAAATGTCAGTATCTTCGCAACTGCCAGACTATCTCTCCCCTAACCCAACATTAACCTTAACTTGTTATCAGTCGAATTTCGTTCGGTCAGGGGAGGGGTAGATGTGCAGTTGCTCAGATACTGACATTGATCCAAAATCTCATCAGAGGAGTGAATGAGTCTTGGAGGTCAACTGATCTGAGCGGATATTCAGTTAAGCCAGTCAGTTCTGACTTATGTTTTCTGGCCACGTGCGTCATGTTTCCTTCTGTCACTTATTAAACGGCAATCTCTTTACTTCCCAGAATCCCATCATACCACCAACAATAAGTGATCAAATTCGACTCTGGGAACTGGAAAGGAGCCGAATGAAGTTCACTGAAGGTAAGGTCATAGTATCTTAGACTTAAGGGTGTCCTTAAGAAACTTACCCCTTTTATTCAGTGCTCCATTAAGTATACCCAAACTGCAAGGACAATATATTTTAACTCAAATAAAACGTTAAGCATAGTTAATCAGTTTTTTTAAGGAGTCCATGTCGCCTTACATTTTTCGCATATATGGTGTTAACCTTCCAGAGACCTACACTTAACAGAAATATTTTCTTTTCTCCGCAGGTGTGCTATACAATCAGTTCCTCTCTCAAGCAGATTTTGAAACCCTAAAGAAGTATGCTGAGGTAACAGACCTTGTGCTAGTATCATGATCCACTGAACATTACTATACTTGCTCACCAGTATTGAAACTATGTTGGCTGGTTGTTACATACACTCACATTTTCTGAATTTGAATTAATTGCACAAAGTGAAGTGAATTAAAGTGAACGCATGGGAATTGAAATGTTTGGGCAAACAATAAGTCTGTTGTTTGTGTCTTTCGACTTTAAATATGTCAGTTTCCGTCTCAAAGTAATAGGAACAGTTGAATACCTTTCTCTGTACCTATATATTTTGCATTGGTTTTACGGCGCTCTCGCAACCAGATTTATTGGGGCGATTAATCGGAACAAAGATTGACATCGTCACTAGACAATGACAACTCAAACTGCTTGAAGCGCGGGAAAACGCGAACGACAAAGTCGCAATTATTTTAAGTTTTGCGTCTGATTGGTTTAGAGGGTGACGCGAGTTTTCTGGGCTAATCGCAAAACGAATTAAAATAAAACAAAATCAAACACGGATTACTTCAACACTCAATTCAAAATTTCTCTATTATTCTATCGAGTTTTTAGGCCATTCATCAGAACTTAGGCAAAGGACTTTCGCACTTAATCTGTTTCTTCTACTTTCAAACTGTTGTTATAACTGACCCTCTCTATCGGTTTCTCTCTGCAGGATCTTGGTGTTCTAATGTGGGCTAACTCATCAAAGAGAGTTATTGTTGTTAGTCGCTCAGGTCATGATGACGTTAAAAGGTTTTGGAAACGACAGAAAAACACGTGACAGCTCGTGCTAATGCATAAGCTTGCAAGCCGTACTACTTCCTCGTGGTTGGCACGTGCTTAGTAATGGAAAAACCGGTCCACGCGTGCGTCAGGGAACTACAAAAACGATGTGACAACTTCTGTACGTACTGGCTGGGTTTTTAAGGCACGTGAATTTCACTTGGCGCATAAAATCTAGCCCATGCCTTCGTTTAGAAACTTGAAGTGAAATCGAAGAAATTTAACAAAAGGACAAACAGGTCAGGAAGCTGTGACCGAACAAAAATCCATCTCCAACTTAAAGAAAAATATTGACATTGACTAACAAATAGGAGAGAGATGGTTTTTTTTGATATTTTTTTTATTGGCGTATTCCAATTAATACTGTATATACTTGTTTCTGGAGGATGAAAACATTTGTAAACCTTTTACTGATTAGGAAAATAGTTTAACAAAATGTTTTCGCTCAATGGCGTTTTATTGCGTGCTTTTCCCCTTTCAGCATTCGCGTAGCTATGAACTTTCCAGCTAATGTTCCTTCCCTTTGTGTGCTATAAAAGTCGGGAAAGGTCCCTTGACTCTTTGTGGAAAGTGTTAGATTTGGCCGTGGAAGGTCTTGGTACGAGACTAAAAAATGAATACAAGTAACATCCTGTATTCAGCCTGTTCTGCTAATTCTGATCAAAAAGCTCCAAATTTGTTATGCTCAGAAAACCCGATTTATGCTTAGTGCTTCAGAATGTTTTGCGCAGTGGAAATCTCGAAATTGCCGCCTTCTCTCTGTTTAAGTTGGTGCGTTTCTGTAAATGGTACCTGTGCTGAACTTGGAATAATTTAGCCAGTGCATCTACCGACAAAATGGCGTTTTGCGCTTCAATTGGAAAGGGTATTTTTCGCGCGAAATTTACCTCCCAAATCTTTTCCACATTTTCGATTTAATTCGAATCATGTTTGGCCCTAACATGGTTTCTTCAGGATAACTTCTGACTCTTCTATTCGTCTGCTATCAAATTCGTTCTTTTAACCTGGCTTCCACGTAAAGCTCAAGGTCAAAGGTTTATCTGCAGAGGAATTAGATCAGGGTATTACTTGATATCTGTAAAAAGAAGACAAGTACCAATGACTCAAGCATTTGAAAGTTGTTAGGCGTCGCCTTGGCGATGAATACCTCAGATTTTAACCCTTTAAATCCCAGAAGTGATTACCATGTAACTTCTCCCAATAGTATCCATACGTTAGACAGCAAACACGTAGTGAGAATACTCAAACTCATCACGCACAATTTATTACCTGGATTCAACACGTTATTCTCGCGATCAATTTACAAAGAAATGTATAGTAGGTAGTGAGAATACTCAAACTCATTACGTACAATTTATTACCTGGATTCAACACGTTATTCTCGCGATCAATTTTCAAAGGAATGTGTAGTAGCTAGTGGGGAGAATTGACAATCAGATCTTGGGAGTTAAAGGGTTGAGAACAGGGCTAATCCGTCGAGTGAATCGAGTTTAGGGAGGGGCAAAATCGGATGAAATTTAGCGAGATAAAGCAAAACTTACCTTTGGACCATATCTCTGAGCTGAAAATCATGAAGAAATACGAACTTAATAGAACTTTACTTATGCCGGGAAGCACGCTAACGATGATTTCGATTTGCGTTCATCGACAAACCTCGGCTGCTAAGAGGAAGACTAGAAGCGGCATGGCATCTCTGCGTTCCATTTGGGAGTCGATCAAATACGACGATTAAAATTCCTTCACCAACGCGAGAAACGTACTTCGCATAAATAGATTACCTTTAGGAGGGCTAAAGTTATGTGCACCGGTAGAAGCCAATTACCTAGTTATGTACATTTCGGCAAACAAAATGAATAAATAAAATCGATTGTAGTAGAACTCAGTTTTTTCAGCTTCCCAGCGAAATTTTTTTGCGTTACTAAGACCACTTTTATTCTGAGCCACAAAAAATTATTCCACCTTTTTTTTAGGACCGTTACCCAATACAGCACCTTCCCTCCATAACAATCTTGATTTCCAGGCCCTGGAATGCCACAATGATGCCTAATATTTTGTTTATACAATCCTTTTCGTGTAAAACTCCTTGCCTTTCAAATGTGCCGCAAACCGTCTACTTAGAATACCTAGTAACGTACTTTCATTGCTTTTACGTTACTCTCGAATTAAGGTAATCTCAGAACATAACTTCTAAAGCAACCTCTCTCCCTCTAGATATCATTATAAATACACACTTAAATATCAAGGTGGAATCGTTTTCTCGGTAGAGTAGCATATATCTTAAAGGTGCCTGTTGATGTATGAAGATTTCAAAAAAAAGTTCCTCGTAATTAGAAATCGGCACAAGCAAGATAAAAGACGCTGTTTATTCCTTCGCTACACGCGTGTGAAAACCTTGAGATAACGCTAAACGAAAAGACTATTTATTCTAAAACTTTTAATTCATAACCTGTCTCTGTCAGTGAACACAAACGAAGGAACGTAGGGGAGAAAATTCGTGAGGCTCATCCGTGAAAAACGACTGAACAAGAACAAATTTTTGATTCCCACGCTTTTGAAACTCGGTTGGTATCAAGTACACGCACTGTCTCTGTAAAAACATGACAACAGGACAACTAGCCAAGTGAGTCCTACTTACGGCTCGGTCAGTGAAGGCCGGCGTTTATACCATTTTCTTGAGCTCCCCTGCTTTCAAATCACATAAAAAATTAAGTATCCATTTAGTCTCCATTGTTCAGTTCAGCATGGAGTCATCAATTGATTACGGCCAGCTGTAGTCGAATTGAATGCTTTGGCAGTGAACCTTAAAAACACAGCACATGTTAATTAAAGTTAAACACTATGGCTTCCCCTTTCATAGACTACGCGGTCTCTTGAGGTTTTTCAACGGCAGGAAACAATCGATAGCCATGAGTCTGCGTTTAATGCGGAGGCGTAAATTTCGACTAAAAACAAGCCACATCCGGATTCCAAACTGAAAAAGTCAGAGAACGGAAAAACTCACTAAGGACCATTAAGTTTGTCGTCTTAAATACAGATTTGTTTCGTTAAGGTTTATTTTTGTGCTTGAGTTGACTTATATGTTTGTTGTAGCACATACGTGAAATCATTCCAAGAAGCTTATATTTGCTGAGAGCAGGCGGTTTCGTATGATCTTGAAAATTGTTTCGATGTCTTTCACGATAGGCATTCATTTAGTTGCTTCGTTTTTAATTAGTGTTTGATTATTCCTCTGTTGACACAGTTTTGCGGGCTTTTAATCAAATGATCGAGGTGTCATAACCTCACGTAGTGATCACAGAATTGTAAACTGAAGCTGTTTTTGTCAGAGCAGTCACAAAGGAAACTCTCGCTGTAAACAAGCCCTTCTTCACACGGCGGACGGACCTATATCAGCGCAAAAAATTACTTTGGGTCACTTAAACTTCGGCAAATTCTTTGACTTCCCTCACCATAAGAAGCTACGTGATTCCTGCTAATGCGAAAAACTTCCTTTACACACGTTTTCAAAGGAAGCCACAGGCTCTGTTTGTTTTTACGCCAAGTGATTACCAAAATTAGCCACTAACAAGCAAGTTATTGTCATCGCTGACACCTTCAATACCCAGAGCCTCACTTGCACGTGGGCAGTGTTATGAATTTTTTCATCCCGAAAAGATGTCCGCTTCACCAATGGATACAAGGCAAGTAGGTAGACATGTCTTTATTTTCTCGAAGCAGAATGGTAGCGAGAATTCTCCTACAATTATTGCAAAGCCTGTCAACATCACACAGGATTTGCCACGAGAATTTCTACGCTATTTAAAAACATTGTTCGATATTCTTGACGAGAAGGGAACAGGTTTTGTGCGACTCTCTGACATAGAGACTAGGTGGAAAACTAAACAAGGCTCGAATGGACTCGGAGAGGGAGTCATGGAAAATTTACGGAAGGTTACCCCCAAGAATGGGCTTCTGAACTTTGAAAGACTATGTACTGGAATGAAATTGGCCCTTAAAACGCAACCACGCGCCCAAACAAATGGTAGTGCGAACGGCTTAGATCACTCAACCAGAAGATCGAACTCGCTACCGCAGCTGGACACGGCGACTAAAGGTTGGACTTCCGATTCTAGCGAGGACTCATTTGCAGGCAACGAAAACAGAACTAAGGCTCAAGTAATTAACAAATTAAGAGATTGGAAGAATGAAAATCAAGAAAAGAGGCGTTCTCTGACTTTTAATGCTTCAAATCCACGGACAAACGGGATCGATAGCTCCGGAAGTACAAGTAAGTGTTTCTTTTGTTACGACACGGTGGGCTGGTAGTAAATGATATTCATGGGAATTTCGGCCTTGAACCTATAAATAACCACCAATTTTCTCTTTGTGGTCCGAATTTTCTAATTAAATATGACTAGTAAAAGAAATAATTTTTCTTTCGGGGCGCTTTTAACTTCATAAACGAACGCGCGTTAATTGAAAACAGTAAAGGTGTCCTAATCTAAATAGAACACGGATTAAAGCATACCGGGCGCTTTAGCATATGTCCATATTTCGACGTTTTTACGTCAAAGGATGTCGCATATGTTTAAAATTAGTTCAATGGAACAGTACTACAGAACTAGTGGCGAGACAATGTTTATTTTTTTTATCTTTTGCACTCGTTCAATTCGCTTGAAAATTTATTATGTTTAAACTACCACCCTCTTGATCTGAAGTAGTTTTTTTCGCATTTCAGAGGTTCTAAGACTGAGAAGTATTTACAACATGATAATTCGTTTGGCGTCAGATTAACGCTAAACGATTTAGTTATAATCCTGAATTTGGACACAAAAATTGGACGTGCCAAAATGTGTAAGCCATTCCAGCGAACACAATAGAGATTACGGTTATCAAAATACCAGGTGGTCTCTCTGCATGGCGACCTCGATTATGTCTAAACAACATGTCAAAACTTTAAAATTAGACTGTAAGGCCAATGTACCGCAAATGTCTTCAGCCATGAAAAAGTGTTTATTTTACATTGTCAATATAACATATCTTTTTTGTTGCACATGATTGATGAGAATATTAGCTGACAATTTAGAATTCCTGTGGAGACTATAGTTAACTTTTTAAAGTTTCAGAGGTTACAGATTTCATGTCTGGGCCTGTTGTGGTTCTTTCTCGAAAGTTATGTAATTGAGTCTTGACAGACCATACGACAGACCATTATTTTTTTGTGATAAACAAACTACCTCTTAACTTAGAAATGCTGGAGGCAGTGCTAGAAATAATCTTAAAACGGAAAAGGATGTTGAAAGCAAGGGAGATGCAGCAATATAATCAGGATGATGATGCAGCAGTGTCTCAATTATATCCCCTAGGATGTCAATATACATCCCTTCACAAGAGTTTCTGCCCTCAACTTCTTCCTAAAAAATATTGGATTTTTCTCATTCAATCTTAATATACAAATATCTTGGCTTTGAGACCCCCCAAAGCCAACCCACATTTTGCAATGTCTAATATTTTTCATTAGATTAATGGATAGATTTTTCAAGCATTGATCACAATAGGTGAAGGACATAATTTGGAAGTGGAAAATAGATGCTTATAGGAGTTAATTTTTTTTTATAGAGGAGCATTACCAATGATGGTTGAAATTCCATCCCTATTTAGGGCAACACAAGTTTAAAGTAGACTGGGCCTTCATTAGAGTAAGTGGTGATGGGGGAAAAAGAAAGACTTGTGAGACACTTAGAATCCAGTCTGTAAAACAGATGGAAACTACATGTACATGTACACAATTTGTATTTGCAATACAAATCACAATGACATTACTTTACCTTGATTTTCACAAGCATTATAAATGACAAGGAAATGTTGAATTGGAGTTATATGATACTCACTCTTCCACTCTGTTTTGAAAAACATCATCTTCTTTGCAATATTTTCAAATGACAATAATGATACACTGTTTACACAAAGCTAACTTTTTAGCTACTCTTTCTAGACAGCTGTCTTTTTACTGAGTCACCTTCTGCTACAGGAATTTTAATCCCCAACTCAGAGAACTGAAAGGAATTTTAGACTTCTTAGCAGAAATAAATTGCATTGTAAATAAGATCTGAGACTTTTTGCAAGAGCTGACAACTTTGACTTTAATATTGGTTAAATTGTTTAAGAGACCTATGAATTCATGGTATTTTCCATCCCATACACTAGACCCTGCATGTTGACATAATTTCTATGAGGCACTTTCTATTGAAAGGTCCTACAAAAGTGACAACTCTAATTACATTACTGACTGACAGAGCTCAGCCTCTGTGAGATAATTTAGGTTTTAAATTGTCTAGTTAAAAAACAAGACTTATTACAGAAATGTTCTGATTATTTTCCACTAACTGTTTATTTAGCAAAAAAATACTAGGCCATTTTAAAAAGAAGACCATGCTGTTCTTGTAAATAGAGATGCAAACAATTTAATTTATTGTTTCTATTATCAGTGAATTGTGACTGCATGTGCCAAACTGATTTCATGCTTGTGTTCACTTGCAGGTCCATCCTCAGGAAATGGAAGTCCAAAAGGAAGATCAAATTCTACAACAAAAGTCTACTTTGTTGGTAAAGAAATCAGCAGTAGTGTGCCAACAAATTTAAATGGACATATAAAACATTCTGCTGCTCCTACTGAAATCCAGACAATTGACAAGGTAATTCATGAGATTATTTAATTTTCCTCGCTCTCAAAATGTGATGTCTTAGTTCAGTTGGTAGAAGTATCTTAAACCACTTTCTGGGAGGAAAGGAATGCATTTTTTTTAAAGTTAACTATTATTCAATTAAATTACTGAATATACGGTATGCAACAAATTTAAGGGTGTCCCTTTTTATTATAGTGCAATCAAAATTTATTGATATAATGAAAAAATTAGTAGAATCAACTATTATTGTCCTTCATGATATGCAGTCAGGTTTCCAGACATATGTCTCTGTAATATTGATTATTGATTAAGTATTTAAAAGTGATAATAATGGCACAATTTACTCTCCCAAGTGACTCTTTCGGTCAAAACAAATTATTTGCAAGCATATCTCATTTATATTTTGTCCTAGGTAAGAGTAATTTTTTGATGACAACTTTGATAAATATTGTATACCTGTATCAATGCATGCAAGTAAGATTTGATAAGCTTAATATTCTGGTTGGAAAATGTAGTTTGCTTGAATTTTGTTGAGGGTCAAGCTTGGGAGATAAAAACACACCTGCAACTATTGGTAACCCTTCAGCTTGCAGCCATGAGAGGAAATTGTACGATGGCTGCAAAAATAGCCTGGAATTTTTATATGTAAACTATTTCATGCTATTTGAAGACTATTCATCATGGACATTCACATAGGTATGAGAGGGATATTGATAATCCGAAAGATGAAAGAGACTTGAAGGGTGCAATGTTGGCACTCAAACTCAATTAAATGACATCAAAAGTTATGTTTTATTCTTCTTTTTTGTGCTCTATTGGTTAATTACGATGGAAGCCATGTTTAATATCTCTTTGAAAACTAAATGCTGTGCATTAATGTGGTCTTAATTAAATTGTAAGCACTGTCATAGCTTATTATTGATTTTATTGGTTAGATAGTATGGTAAGGCTTGATTTGAAAACAAGAATGCTGGCAATATTTTTTATTCCTGTGATATTGTAGGATGCTAGATTACAAGAGCTTGATGATGAGCATGACCTTTTACAAAATGGTCTTCAGGTCATCGAAAAAGCTAGAAAGTGGTATTTTAAAAGAATCACAGCTATTCAGGAAGAGAAATTGCACCTTCAAAATGATGACCAATATTCTCTTGAACAGGTAATTCATTATCTAATGTCATTATAATGTTTCATTACAAGATTGACCAGGCACCTGTATCAGAGAACATTCTAAAAATGCACATGCATTAATTGATCAATTGTGATACATGTCGCTATGACTTGTTTAGAACAACTTGAAAATGATAAGTAAAAGCAATTCATTTTGTATGTTGTATCATGAATATAAGAAGAATATTTACCAACAAACCACCTGATTAAGGAGGCTGTGTAGATGAATGAGTGACTCCTCAATGTCTGCTATTCACTTCAATTTGTTAACTGAAGAAAGCATTCTGTGAGGGAGGCAACAGGCAGATGAGTCTTTTCATTATATAGCAAACCAGTATCCCACTTGTAACATTTTCCACAAATCAGTCGTTGCTTATAAATATTGCCAGGATCATGCACCCTATAGCAAGTATTTGAGGAATGAAGATTTGTATGTTGGTTATGTGGCCATGATCAGTGTGGCCAACGGAAAGGAAGTATCAATGAAATTTGTTTTTCTAGGTGATGGGAAATACATTTTGCAGTATAATTATGTTTGTCCTACTTTTATAGTATAATTATGTTTGTCCTATTTTTATTTGGCTTGAATGTTGCCCAGATTTCAAGCTAGAAAGAGAGCTTGAAAATTGCTGAAGATGCAATCATGGCAAAAGGGGCCATTTGACATACCAAAAAAAACAGAACTCTGACTAACAGAAATTACAGTCAAAATGAACACCATGTGTGTTGCAAAAGGTCTGTAAGGCTTACAATTTGTATTCATTACTGTAAAAGTATTTCTGAATTTTTCTCTCTTGGGCTAACTTTTGAATGGTAAATTTTTAAATACATTTATTGTGCTCATCTACCCCTTTGCAGTTTCAGTATGAAATTTTGCTTCACAAGACAAGAAGGAGAGAGCTTGGTTTGGATGATGACTCTTTTAAGGAGCACAAACATCACATACAGAGTGTGAATCAGTCCTTAGAAAGAATCATTGAAGGGAAATCACCTGTAAAGGTACACATAGTTTAGGTCTCTTGTTTGAGTTCCTTTTTCATTATAGAAGTTTCACCCTCAGGATTGATCATATTTAGAACAATTTTTGGCTCTTCCTTCTGCTCAGCTGATAATTGCTAACCCCTTTTGAATAATATGGATAATTTTTTTCCTTAGGCATTACCAACTTCAAGTTCAGAAGCTAGTAATGAAAAACAATGGCTGCAGGATGAAGTAGAACGTCTAAAAAAGGTCATTATAAAAATCATTTATTAGACTGTAGCCTGTTTTTTGTATGCATAGTCTGTGTACCTCCTACATGTAGCCTGTTTATATGGCTAAATCTCAGTGATCTGAAAATTTCTAATTTTTAACCCATTTTTGTTGTTTTTAAATAATATATTTCTAGTATTTAGCCTCTCAGAAATCTGTTATCAATTTTGTGAATAGCAAAGTTAACAAGTGCCTCCCTGATAATTTTTAAGTGCTAGCGTTTATTGTGTCGCTCTCTTTCAATATTATTGCAATATTTCCTCAGAGTAGCCCTTTTTGAACCTTTTCCCTTCCAAGCTCTCATAATAGTAATTCTCCTTACTGTCTACCATACAATTCTTATGATTTTAGTTCAAAGAACTTGGTATTGGATCAACTAATAATCTCCTAATTAACATTTTTGTTTATTCCCATCATTTGTCTGCTTGATATTATATTGATATTGTAAGGAGAAATTCTGTCTTGGTCTGTGACTCATGAGAGCTGTTCAGTCAATAATAATGGTTAAGAGACCATAACGAATCGTTGATTGGTGTTATTTGTATAATAATATATTTTCATCATCAGGAGGTCTCTGAGAAAGGAAGTAAAATTGCTCAACTGGAAACTGAGAAGTCTGCCCTCATCCGCGACTTGTTCAACAGCAAAGCGTCTGGAAAAAATGGACTTAGCACAAAAAAGCCCCATCAGATCTTCTAATCTGAAGGCAAGGCCGGCCAAATTGTGTCGAGGAGCTTCAAGTAATTGCAAGTTAATAGGTCACTTGTGCATATTGGTAACATCTCCGAATGTCTCCAGTTTCAACATGGAGTCTGATAACGATATAAGTTACCCTATCCATTCTACTCGCTAACAACTGATATGGATAGTTTACAATCTCTCGCTTACTCATTGCTCGCTGCGCTGCTGCTGAAAATCCTATAGGTCAGCAGAGCATTAATTAAGCAACACACGACAAGGCATGTATTAAATTGAAAAAGATAGGGGAAAAAGTATATATTTATATAAAAATAATTATCAGCGCCTGTTATTAGCAATGATAAATAAAAAGTTAATATACTTGTTAAGCAAATGGATCGCCTAATTTTTTTTCAAGTGTTATAAGCTTTTGAATTTAATATACATACTGTTGTTACAGCCCTACAACAAACGAAATTGATTTCTAAACATTATTTAGGGTATTATACATAGTAGGAGATGATCTTGATTCCTGTTGAGCGCACCAGATGTGTTTACTGTACATTTTACTGAGATCAGAATCCAGGAGTTGTTTTATAGTTTAATTTTATAATCGTACATAAAAGAAGTATTATTGAAATATTAACGTAAAGAGGTAAAGTGAGAAAATATGAATTTTAATATCTCTTTACTTCAAAAATTGAAAAGCAGTGAAACATAAATTATGAAAAGACATTTTTTTATCGATATACTTGCATATTTGTAGTATATTTTGATTTAAATAGTTTATTCGATAAAACGCTTTGTTGAAGTGAGAAAGAGTAAAATTCTTACCGTCATTGACAAAGCAGTTTGTATGTGATTGTGTCGAGAAATTCGCCAAGGGACCGGGAACGATGCTTAAGAGGAGCCAATCAGAACACTTGATTCTACTGAGGGTTAAACTGGTTTATAACATAGCGCGTAAATTTGTCTAATCAAATTCAATTCCGTGAGCGACTGCTTCATATTCTTATTGTGCACGCTCCTGACGTCAGCAAACAAATCCCTCTATAAAAACAATTTTTAACCATCGGGTTGAAGATGTTACTAAACAATTGGTTCATACGTCAGCTGTGCGTTCATCGAGATATGAAGCACACGGGAAGTTTGGAGAGCACGAAAAATGCGTAAGAGTTGCTCAAGGCGTAGCCGAGAGCAACTCTAGCTTCTTGAGTTAAGTGAAGTGCACTTTGGCAAAGGCGAAGAGATTGGCCAATAAAAATACGGCTGCATGCAGATGCATATGTAGTTATTTCTACATAACAAAAAAGAGTGTACACGCTGAAGGGTGGAACTTTAAATATAAGCTTACATCGACACATGCAGTAAATATGAAAAGAAACGGTTAAAAAGACTTTGCCCCAACTCCAAACAGATCTGCTCTTTGCCATAACCCCTCTGAGGCTGTTTTCTTCGTTATGTCTTTTTTTCTAGTCCGACTCCAAGCGGGAGTCATTCTGTAAGCGTAAGTTAATCAACTTCCAAGGAAATTAAGTGGAGTGTTTTGGATACAGTGCCAAGCCCCCCTTAAGCGAATTTTCTTAATAAACAGCCATCGACAGAACATTTACGTTGTATTTTGGTTGTGTGCAGCGTTGTAACCTGTTGCCTATTGTCTTCGCAAACCAATCCTCAGTATGTGACCAAGCAACAGCTGAAGTTACAAATTTAAATCAACGTCTTTCCAGCTGGGGAGTATAATGATGTCTACGAAAACCTCTAAATATATCGCAAATATCTTTAAACAAATTGAAGTTTCAATTATGCCGCGCTAACGGGATTGGGTAGCGACAGGTGTTCACGGGTTTCCTGCGAATGACGGCGCTTTGTTTAAGAAAGACGCTTGAAGAAAAATGAATTAATTAGAGAAGTCAGATAAAAGTGGTGAAGATTTCAACACTGCCAAAGGTCGCCTAATTGAAATCTGCTGCGGTAGCTGGATTCCCTTTGACAGTGGAACTCTTGAGTTTGCGTTTATTCCATCGAAAACTTTGAACTCATCAGAATCACACAACCTTTTCTTGTCGGTGATAATGTAGCCAGACTCAGTCCATGGGTTAAAATTAATTATTGTCTTGTGCACCAGTTCGACTTCAATGCAATGACCCCACTGCAAATGGTCAATTGTAATCATTTGAGAAGAAGGAACATAGCCGCTCGGATTTCAACACTGTCAAAGGTCGCCTAATTGAAATCTGCTGCGCTGTAGTGGTAAGTTTTCAAATCTACTGCTGCAAACTTCTTAAAATTACATCGAAACGCTTGATGTTTGAACTACTGCTAAGATGTACTTGTCACAACGGAAACTTTGGAAATTTTTCGCAGTCGCATGCGGCCTTTTATCGCTGATGACCCTCTTCTTATTAAGGCTGTTATCGAGGTCCTGTAAACATGAAGAAAACAAGGACTTCCCCACTGTATCGATGATAAATAATGGTCACCCTCCATTATATCACGTGGACCGTTCTACTCCTCTTATTTTTGTCGGTGGCTTTCCGCGAAGCGGAACCACTCTCATGAGAGCTATGCTAGATGCACATCCCGACATCAGATGCGGGCAGGAGACAAGGGTGATTCCGAAAATCCTCATTGGTATTTCAAGGATATTCAGCCTTGTCAGTGAGAAAGAAAAACAGAGAAGAGAGGAAGCTGGCGTTACCCAAGATCTTTTGGACTCCGCCGTAGCGGTGCTAATAGGAGAAATCATTGCTAAACATGGAGATCCTGCGCCACGATTGTGCAACAAAGATCCCTTAACTTTCAGGAATCTTAGCTATCTAGCCAGAATATTTCCCAAATCCAAATTTGTTTTCATGGTAAGAGACGGACGCGCTGTTGTCCACTCCATAATGGAGAGAGGAGTTGTTATTCGTGGCGTCAACAATCGCCGTCCAGAAATCCTTTTGAGAACATGGAATGATGCCACAGGTGAGATGAACGCTCAATGTGTAGCGTTGGGTCAGTCAAGATGTTTGAGAATACCCTATGAGCATTTGGTGCTGTTCCCTGCTGAGAGCATGGAAATAATCCTGGAATTTTTGGATGTTTCTTGGAATGACGCAGTGATCCATCATGAAACTATGATAGGGAAACCAGGAGGTGTCACCCTTTCCAGGTAAAAGCAGCCATAAATCAATCAGAAAAAACGTCCTAATATTTGACGTGTTTAACGTATACAGCAGTGAAGTTATGAGAATCTTCCAGTCTCAGTATTTCCTCGATATCCTTCCCAATTCTGACTGTTAAAAGTTTACCATTTGCGCAAGAATCACTGCGCCCGAAGATTTGATTTTATTGAGTTATGCGCTGAATCGTTCAGATCCCGCTCATTTTGTGTTTTTATCGAGAGGGCTTGAGGAGGGTTGCGAAGCCCCCTTGATACTTTTATCCCCATCATTGTGCGTTTGTTCGACTCTGGCTTGTTCAAATTCCTTTCGCGTTTTGGTGAGCTAAGAGATCATTTGACACGAGTTAAAGCTCTCTGGTGAGCTAGTGGTTCTGGTAAACGTTTTGTAGGAAGACTGAAGCTGTGCCCTTACTCCTAAGGCGCAAGGGGAAAGGAACAAGGGGAAAAAAACATATCGCTTTTCATGCTTTTCCTATTTATGCCTATGCTTGTTTCTATATTTTATAATTTTTAGCCTTGAGAAGTCAACAGATCAAGTGAAAGAAGCTGTCAACTTGAGAGCACTGTACAAATGGTCTGAAAGATTATCGTCATCTTTAATGGAACATACCAACAGAATTGCTCCTGTCATGAGAACTCTTGGCTATGATACTCGGAAAAAGTGGCCTGATTACCGAAAGATGGATTCAGTCGTTACAAAACACAATAATTAATCTCTACATTTAAAATAATTGAACAAGTTTAAATAAAACGCAAAGCAATCATTATATTCTTAATTATAATTGTATTTAATTCCTCCTCTCTAGGCCTATTACCCCCTCCTATCAGAGACGTTGCAACTTCGGCAAGTTGCATCTACACTACTATTTTCTATCTTATCTCTTATATGTCTTATAATCCCCTTATTTAATTTTCCCCCCCCCCCCCCCCCGTGGTTCATTTTTCTTGTGACTATACCCTCTTCCCCTTCTTCCCTTCCGTGGGCTTGATTTCCGACCGCTCTCTGGACTCTGGTTTTCTTTGGAGGAGGGAACGCCGGCTCCTTTGTCAGACAGTGGCTTGTTGTTAACCTCACTAGCTCTTGATATAATGTTGTATAAATCTCAGAATGACACGGCTCATTTCAAGTTCAGGAGAAGTCAGTTACAAGTTCAGGAAAAAAAGGAGACGTCGATACAAACTTTTCGAAAACAACCTTTTTAAATTAAAATTTTAAAAAACATGTAACTGACGAAAAAAATAACGAATGATGATATTAATGACTTCTGTGGACGTATTTATTACACAGGTATTTATTTTAATTTTATTTATGTTCTGCATTTTTTACTAGACGCGGCATTTATTTGTACCATTAAAATTTCACCGATATCAGATGGTAGCATTTTTAGTTATAGATAAAGCAGGCTGACATAAGGTTTTATAAGTCATCAATAGTCATTCCTTATGGAAGCTGAATAATTTGTACATTTTGCGCGGGAAACATTGTGTATGTCCTTTTTTAACATTTATTTCTCGTGTGAAATATCCTGCAATTTTCTATGACGCTTATATAAAAATTTAGCTCTAAATGCGTGTCCGCTGAATACCCCTTGCACCGTCCAGGCGTTGATTTTCCTCTCGCCCTAGCGGAGCGTTGAGCTAAAATTTACATCGATGATGGAGAGTAAAAAGAGTTGGTTGCAAGCGTACATTCCTCAGAAACCATCCGATTATGTAGCATTCTTATTCATGATTGTTATGCTTTGGGTAATTGCACTCTTTGAACTATTTGTTGTCCTACCGCTTTACCACGAACCCTTCTCGTCATGGTGGTGTTTACACGTGTTTTGCGGTTTTTTCTTGTGGTTGAATGTGTTCGCCAACTTTTTCTTTCTGATCACAACGGATACAACAGGAAAGAATCTGGGAATGCCGTCCGTATTGAAGCCCGGCTGGACTTATTGTCCATTCTGTCAACTGAACGCACCTCCAAGAGCCCATCATTGCCAAGTCTGCAACGAATGTGTTTTGAAGCGAGATCACCACTGTATTTTTGCCGGAAAGTGTGTCGGCTTCTGGAACTATCGCTATTACATGTTTCTAGCGTTGTACCTTTGGTTAGGAGCTTTTTATGCCAATGCTTTTCATCACGAATATGTAACGTCGGAAATCGGCAGTTTCAGCGTTGCAACAGTACTCACCATGGTCACTCCAATCTTGATGTGGATGTTAGGATACACGACTCTTTACGGATTTTTCATTTCCTTCATGACGGGGCTTTCCATCTTTGCGTTCATTCTCTTTAGTGGCATGCTGTTCTTTCAGATTAGAATCATTTCTCGCGGTCAGACTTCGTATGAGAGAAAGAAGAAAAAGAAAGAATATGACCTCGGCTGGAAGCAAAATTTCTTGGACGTTTTTGGAGAGAAATGGTATTTAGCTTGGATCTGGCCCACTGTAAGTTCACCTTTGCCAGGAGATGGGACAAATTACAAGAAAACGTATTTTCAAGAAAGCAAGGACCTCTGAGAGTCATGCAACTCTAAAGCAACATTTTAATGTCCCAAATTGTACTTGGTAATATTTGAAACAAAATTAAGGAGTTCTGTGGCTGGTCTGGGATTTTAAAAGAAGGGCCTCAGCATCTTACATGTCTTGGATTTTATCATTCAGCACCCCCTTTGGTGTAAGGCCTGGTTTTCACTAGATTTGCAATTATAAGGGCAAGCATAGCCTTGATAGACAATTTTAAATTGAGTGTCCTGGGAGGAAAACTTAGCTTTTTACCACTATCAGTCATAAAAATTTTGCTGTAAAGCAAATACTTGAAAACATAGTGAAAAAGATGTAACAGTCCTGATATACTTCAAGTTCCTACTATGAGAGTTATCTAGACTAATCAGAGAGTGAAGTAAAAACAAAACAATTCTGGATTACCATGCATGCTCTATTCTAGAATAACACTGAGGAATACAAATGTCATGATCAAATTTCTTTAATCCTTTTGGTTGTGCTTTTTCTTAAAGCTGTATATCTTTTGTACATTGTAATGTTTTCACTTACATATATGAATGCGTTGGTAGTGTACACAAGGATATACTCTTTTGAAGCTGTAAATAAATTTGTGTTTTTCCTCAACAACTTCAGGTTACAACTTTCAAGTAGTGCATAATCATAGGTGTAATAATCCAAAAAATTTTGAATTGGCCCACAAGATATCCTGTGTTGTACCATTTCAGACTGTAAACATAATTTTCAACAACTGTTTGTTGTAATCAACATTCGTGTCCCAAAGGCAAAGTGATTATTGTCAAATAATTCCTGAGATAAAGCAGACAGGATTATTCAACAACATTCACTGAATACAAGGAGGATAGTTGCTTCAGTAGAATTTCTCAAGTGATGATCAGGCAAAATGCCTTTTTGTATTCCTCTTAGGGATCATAAAAAATTGCCTGGTTGCCAATTTGAAAATTAGAGTAGTCCTGTATTGTCATAGATAATTTTTAGTTTTTGCTGTAATGTTCTTATTTGATGTAAGGTTTTAACACTCTGGCCCATTGGGATTTACACAAACTTTGACTCCTTTTGAATCTTGGGATAGAAAAATGTTGGAAGATTATTAATAGAGCTTATTGTAGTGCATAAATTATGGTAACCCAGTGTTTGAACAATGTCATCGTAGTTGGAGCCATAAATATTGTATTATTTTTTTGAGCACCTTAAGTGTATTTAACTTTGAATAACTATTTATTAGAAACTGAGACTGCTTGAGTTTGATGACTGAACAAAAGCTTTGTTTAGTCAAAGTGTTGTAGGTGGCTTTGAGTCCATTAAAGACCCAGGATGAATAACAAGAAATTGAATGTGTCTGTAGTTTGAGACTTTATGTGGCATCAAAAGTGTTCATGTGATTAATTATTGTGTACTGGGTTAATGCCTTAAACTGGAGTTTTTGGACCCCATAGCAAATAGCATATTGCTCTTTAGCTCTCACTCTCTTTGCCCCCCTCCCTGCCCGCTCTCCACTGCCCACATGAAAAGAAAGTACTGTCTTTGATGTAGAGCTTTAACCCCCAAATATGACTATCTTTGTGGAAACGTAAAAGTGCATGTCAACTTATTTGATAGGTCTGATCTGAAAAAAGATTTTTAACCTTATGAATCACAACTGTCAGCAGCAGACAGTTTGTACACAATGGATTGAAATAAGGGGAAACGTATCTCCTTAAACAGTGATGAAATTTGATAAGATCGCGTGACCCTGGTTAATTATACACTGGTCATGCAGTCACTCATTCATTCCCAGACCCCCGAACGGGCGTGGAACTTCATCGTTCGCGACTGGTTCATCGTTGAACCTATCGACGAAAAACGACACAGGTAAGAATCCGTAAGTCAGGTCGATCATTCTTGATATGCACTTGCTTTCCACCGAAAATCGAAGGTAACTATTACTAAAGGTATAAAACTGTGTTTGTGACACATTTGCCCCTTCACATATGGTCAGATGTTACACAACTCGGATCCTCTACCTGTCACAAGATATCACAATATAGGGGAATGTTTACATCAGGGTATATTCTGGGGCCCATTTAGAAACTAAAGCTTTTATCCAGAGAAGAGTGTCTTATTTTCATTTTCAGCGCAAAAGTTTTCTTTAAATCACATAGGAAGGACCGATGGCCATGTTAGAATAACATCTAAGGATCATTCTTTAGTTCAGAAAAAACCGATTCGGTTTTGTTCCTCAGAAGAAGGATGATAATGCAGTCTGGTTGGACGAGGGAGATATCTACCGTACTCAGTATTAAATATCGCGTATAGGTTTTTTTCTCTTATTTTAATGAATTTTGAAACTTGAAACCAAATGTACGCATGAGCGCAATTGCACAATAAGACATAAATTACCTGCACTGACTCTATTTGGTAAATTACTTTTTAAAAGTACCCAGGGGTTCGGTCGAAACAAACTCATCACCGAGGTAACTTTAAGAGATTTTGGTGATAGACAAAAAAGTTGCGTTTTCTTCGCTTTTTTGAAAAATTAAATAATTTGCTTTACATGGTGAAATCATTATTTTGCATTATGAAAGTGTAAAACGGGCAGACAAGTACAATTAACCACCTTATATGAACGTACCGTCAGTAAAATATCTTGTTTTCTTGCAGGAAATCATGGCCCGCAGTACAAGTCAGAATTCATTACTATGTTTTTTTTGTGTGAGTAGTCTGTTTATTGGTTGCACTCGTGGTGGCTCGTCCGCATTTTCAACCATTCGGTCGAAATTTACAACCATTCAATTATGTGTTGACCAGCTTACTGCCCCGGGAGATGAATGCGTTATTCCTGGAGGGCGTTACCTAGAACGCGTGACTGTCACGAATAAACATGGTACCCCTGAAAAACCAATCATCATACGGGGAATCCTTGACGAATATCCGATCATTGATGGTACTGTCCAACTAAAGCCAAAGGAAGGATGGGTGAAAGATGACAGTGGCGCTTTTAAGGCTGTCATAGACCATGACATTTGGCAGTTATTTATCGACGGCGAGATGATGACAAATGCACGCTGGCCAAACGCACTGTGGTCCAACAAGACAGTATTCAACGCCAGTTACTGGGCGAAGTCGTCCACCTTGTCCACACGAGGTGTTATGGTCGATGATGGCTCAAAGGACTTGGCTGGAAGCGGTCTGAACGCAACGGGTGCCATGGCAGTTCTTAACATCGGAAGTTTTAATACCTTCACAGCCATAGTGCAAAGCCACAAGCCCGGGAATGCATCATTCACGTACAAGGACACATTCGGTCGCATAAAGTTCGTTCCTGGAGCCAACCAATACTTCCTTGAAGACAAGCTGGAATTTCTTGATCAACCCGAGGAGTGGTTTTACGACAAAGCTACTAGAACACTATTTGTAATGACGGCAGATGGCAAATCCCCAGAGGGACGTGACGTCAGAGGGAAGGTTATGACGTACGCATTTAACATAACCAACTGTAGTCACGTGGTTTTTAAAAAGCTGAAGTTCTTTGGGACAGCGCTACGGGCTTCCACAATGGATGAAAAGAATGCAGTGAATAATTTGACTTTCCACTCGATCATCTTCAGTTACCCGTCGTATACACGACGAATGCTTGGCGACACTGCTCCTGCTGAATGGACTAAAATGAACGCGAACACGAAGAAAGTTACCTTCAATACGTTAACGGTTTTCAACAACACTTTCTATGGTACCGATGGCGCCGCCTTAGAGTTCAGCGGTTTGAATGTGACTCTGGAAAACAACTTGTTCGAATACAACGACTGGACTGCAGCAAACACGGTTTACAAGAGTGGAGGGCTAGGCACGATTATTTCTAGAGGTATTGGCGACATTTTTGTGAGAAACACCTTGCGGTACAACGGAGCCAGCAGTGGCATAAGACCTGGTTTGCGGCCTACAGTGCGGCTTAACCATTTGCATCATCAATGCTGGGGTGCTATACAGGTAACTACTTCTCTTTTCCTTGCCAGACGTATTTCAATTGGTACATTATCATGGGGAACGAAATCACTGTCTCCATCATGGTTTCCCAGAAGTGACAGCGCTCGCCCACTACCGCCATAGGAAGGGTTGCATTTTTGAACCTGGCGTCACCTGTGGTTTGAGTTTGACGCCATAATAATGGAGCTTTGATTGGTGCAAGTCCTTAAGACATTTGATTCCGATGAATGCAGTCTAATAGATATAAAAAAGGATAAATTTCATTCAAATTCTAGGCAGCTTGACGCTCTACTTTTGATAAGTGCAGTACGTTGCATTTTCACGGTATTTGAACCTTAGGCAGGATCTGCGATCACATATTGTCGCTGTTATGATTTAGAAACATATGCCCCCACCCATAATATTCTGCAGTCTTGAAGCTCTTTAGTCTTTTATTTGACATACGGTAGGGTTGGATGAATTTCTTGTCTACGTTACCTTTCGGTGCTCATTCACTTTGTTTTTTGATAACCTTTCAGCATGACGGCAGTCACGTTCAAGTACAAATCAAATCGCAAACTCATGCAATTCTCCAGCAAAATTGGGCGCATTCTAGTCCTAAGTATGGGGTGAGATTTGACGGACAACCACCTCTGCCGGTTGGACGTAATGGAACAATGCATAGTAACGTGGTGTGGAAATGTAATGGCATGATGGTAAAAGGAGACAATCACACAGTGCAACACAACCTGGTGTTTGATAAAAGAAATGAGAGAGACGGTGACCACCAAGGTGATAAATGTTCCTTGTGTGTTTTACGTTATGTTCGCGAAAACCCTGTTCCGATCAACAACGGAACTGTAGTTTTATTCAACGGAGCTGATAAGGCAAACGGTGGCAAACACGGGGGAGAGTTGTATCCTTTGGCCGGGAGTGTTGTGAAGTTCAACGTTATTGGAAATGTTACAGATCAGTTGGTCGATCCAGATAACTTCGATTTTCGACCTCTTTCCAATTCCACTTATATACAGCACAACGTTGGACCCTACAGCTATGACCCCGCGTTCACGCACTACTGGATACCGGGACGGCAGTTGTATAAGGCAAGCACGCCTGTCCCCGCTGACAATAGTGTAAAGATAAGCCCAGATCGAAGGGACACTCTTATGTGGCTGAATGGATACGGAGCGTCTGTCCATCATGTTTATTTGGGAACTGATAAGGAGAGGGTTAGCAGCGCCTCGCGCTACTCCTCTGAGTACCTTGGATCGGTCGTCGATGGTGGGAATGTCCTACACCTGAAGACCACTCTGGAGCCTCAGACCAAGTACTTCTGGCGCGTGGATTCTGAATTAAAGTCGACTTTGGTATATCGAGGTGACGTGTGGTCTTTCAAAACAAGTGGAAGTAGCTTTTAGCTCTGTCACAGAGTAAAGGAAACATTTGGCACTCCCACCATTGTGTCACTCAAATTTTTACCATTGTCACAGCACTAAGACTGACTAAGCATTAGCAGGTTAAATGCAAGGGGTCATTTTATTTCCGTGGGATGTTTGACGCGAGGGAAGTTAGTGTTGACCATTTACCTCGACCCATTCACACTCGATTTTAGATGTTTTTTCTGTCAATATAGACAAGCGAATAGATAGATAATGAGAATTAAGGACTAATTATCAATTAGAGATATTGTTTAAATAGAAAGGAAATAAATAAAGAGGTTTATTGTTGCTACTTTGTAGGATTGTCTTTCAGGTCTTGATGTAACTGGAAAACTTGGAAATATTGCAAATTTTTAATACTGATGGAATTTTATTATTTTCTGAAATGGTAAATGAGGCTATTTCGTGTTCCTTCCCCCTTACAGAGTCTGTTCCTTGTATGGGGTTTTCTATGTTAGCTGGTCAGCGTGTCAGCAGCCACATCTTCATTAGCTTATCCATAAACGGACCTTAAGGAATTTACAATTGACTGAGGACCTGACAGATTTAAGACATTTCGCCGCCCGCAGTAAATTTCTTTTCGCTCACGATCCATACGCCGTTGCATTCTAAATCGTTGATTCCCCCTGAAATGTTAGCTACGGGCGTCGAGTGTGAGAGTTTGATAATTTGAGTTTTTTCGCCTATGATAAAAGTAATTATTTTTCTTGAGGAATAGTGTTGAGTATTTTTTTCGTAAGCGACGCAGACGTCAGAGGCTTGTTAATTTTCCACTGCTTTCTGGTGGGCAAAACATCTTTATTTAACCTAAACATATTAGGTAAGATCCGATTCTCTCGAACATGGTTTAATTTTTCAGAAATGAGACAATTGATAAAACATTAGGATTATTTGGTATATTAGCCATCTATCATTGCAAGAGTGGTTTCATTTCATGCGGATTTGTGTCTCAACTCGTCGTTTTCTGTTTTCCAACCTGTCCTCCAGTAGACTCTTGAATGCGGGATACATTTCCTGAAATGGAGTCACCTGAGGCAGCTCTCGAAGATAACGCCACACCTGAAGATTCGCCATCGGATAACGCCTCTTGGTCCGATGTAGAATAACGAAATCTAGGATTCTGAACGGCGCCGGTAAGACTAAATTCCACCTCAGTATCGCTTGAACTAGATGGATCGTGGAAAAAATCAGATTTCTCGTTTTCCACACTGTCGTTAATAGAGATCACAACGTCGTCTTCTTCCCTTTTCTCCAAAATCAGTGCAAGAAAATCCAATTCTTGGTTAGGAGTTAATTTTCGCACACTCTGCTGTGAAATTGCCTTTTCCATTTCCTTGATTTGTTGTAAAATGAGCCAAACATTTTCGTGATAGTTTTCAAAATTATAGATAGGTGCCCCGATGGGTGGTATCACATTATATAGGCTAACTCTTGATGTTATTCGTCGACGTACAGCGGGTAACATTATGCTTGACCGGTTGTGCTCGAAGAGAATTCAAAATTTTTTTTTTCATTATCTTTCATAACCTTTTTTATTGAGTCGGTTGAAACCGAGGCGCAATTTGCATAAACTGGTGGGTTTTTGTCTTTTCCGAAATGACGAAACTTTGAAACCATACAAGGTCCCAAGCAAACTTCAAAAGAAAGCGTACACCTTAGGAGAAAAAACGTAGGCGCCCCAAAGAGAGAGATAAATTATGAAATAGCAGATTGCTACTAAAGTTTTTAACAGTCTAAAGTAATAAATCGGAACAATGTAAGAAACATGTGAGGTTCTCGCCCTTTTTGATGTATACCCTGCTTAGTTTGTTAAAAAATTTTGGCTGATTTTTTATTTACTCATCAAAGATCAGTCTTGCGTATAAGGCTGTGACGCCTGAATGCGACGTGGATTAAATCAGATTAAATCTGGTTTCGTTGTTGTTGTTATTCCTTTATTTTGTTTTGTTTTGTTTTTTACACGGTCTGTTCGTTCGTTCGTTTGTTTTTCGGGATGGTTTAAAGCTCCAAGGGTGAAATTTCTACCAACTACCTTTAGTCTCATTTATATTTCCATTGGATTCTGTAAAATGTCATTTAGCTTACTATGAGGGTTATGGAATTTCAGAAAACTGAGAAGGCACTATTTCAGTAGTCTTGGCTGAAGCCTGCCTTCAATGATCTACTCCGGTTTCTTCGAACGAGAATTGCAGCGTGACACACAATTCGTGATGAATTCGTTCTTAGCAGGCAAATGACTTCTTCTTTTACAAATTCCGTATTTACGCCAAGTGGATGACACGAAAAAAAGTTCGTGTATTAGAAGGTCTCTGTCTCTTTGTAATGCGTTTAATTTATAACTCGCGTCTAGGAATATATTTTCTGAATTTGTTATTATTCACAAAGCCATCGGCTGAGAATGTAACTGCTACCATTTGTGTAGATCCTTAGGCAAGACTGCAGTTTCGATTCTTTCTGAATCTCGTCAGCTGCCTAGGGGAATTCGTCTCGGAAGATGACAGGAGTCGCACAGGCCCAGCAACACTCTTTAACTTTCGAAGGAACGACAACAGACAGTGAATCCTCATTACATTCCACTTATGTCCATGCTACCTTGCTGCCGTGTTCCCTCGGCAGGGAACACGTTGCTGCCCTACATGCCTGTAACGGCGTAAAGGACATGAGAGAGAGAGATCTTGCTGCCACCAAACATGTTCACTCGACCGCGACAGGATGATGCATCGCAATCAGAGTGCGTACACCGTGTGCAGCGACCTCATGCCGGAGAGGTCAAACTTTGGCTTGAATTACTTATGCAAATTAGCTGGCTGCACCAGCTAATTTGCATTTTTTTCCCGTCGCAAAGCTCTGCATGTGACTTGGTTTAAAGAGTTTGATTACTCTACTGTCGTAGTCGGTTCGGAAAAAGCTTTTAAGACATTGCCTTGGTACCGCTATCGCCAGTCATTTTTTGAAAGTGTAATTCTGCAGAAACGTACGTACTGAAAATTTTATATCGTTGATATGCCCCAGTTTGCTCTAATGTGTAACTTATGCCATGACCGGTATATACTGTGTAACTTATGCCATGACCGCCACAACTGGGATTGTCTCATTTATATGTCTGACTTTCATGTATAACTTTGTTCAGTTGAATGCAAAGATCGACTAAGATGAGCAACCTTCTAATTCTTTTGTCTGTTGACATTTACATACTGAAGTGCATGGCACTGTCTTTGCTATGTTGTTAGTCATGTCAAGCTTGTTACATTCTCGTACGTCTTGGACCCCGATATATCGTGCTGTGTTGGCAGTAAAATATAGGAAGGCTGACTCAAGAGTTGTGTCGACTGGTCGCATCGGCTGGATATCTTCTTCTCAAGACTCGAGGTAAAATAGTCTAATTCCTTAGGAGACTAGAAAATAACTAAACACCAGCCATGCTTTCAACGGTCGGGGCAGCAAAACATAAGGAAAGGTTGTTTACAGGCCTTAGTGATTTGAGCACTGACTACAATTTTCAACTCTTCGATTAGTTGCAGCGCAAATCGTGTGTAATTTTTTTTACATCGTTAAATAAAATATCGTGAGCCTCTTTTATCGTATATAAGCTCGGATAACAATGGGGAATAAGTGCCATATTCAAGTGACCTTGGTGGGGTCAGCAAACGTTTACTGGCCTTATTGAATTGAATATTGACTACACTATTGGCTACATTTACTGCATTCGAACAACTTTGCTGTATGTAAGGTCGAACTGCTAAAGGGTTGCAAATGGTTATGTATAAATATGGTTACAGACCCGGTCACTTAGTGGCGCTAAGTGAGTGCATTTCGTTTTTGGTTCCGCAAGACTAACTGACCTATCCAGCTGAATAGTTCACAAAAAAATTATTTGAGCGATTAAATATCCAGGAGATTGAAAATAGAAAAAAGATCACCCGCAGACAAATCTAAAGCTGCGAGGCGGCTTGACATCAGCTCACTTAGGCCCCATTTCTATGACCAGAGCCCGTGTGTTTTAGGTCAGCGGAGACTATATGTGAAAGAAACCACTGTTTAGTTCTGCCTGGTTTCTTCCAATGCGCTACATGATTTCGCCCTCAGTGCTTTTCCCTTTAAGAACGAAAGTCTCTAGGAAAGGTAAAAATTTGGAATAGGCCTGAATTATGAGGTCTGTTGCTTATGCATCCGTCTTTATCGTATTCTTGCATTGTAGTAAAAAAAAGCTAAGTAAACAACTGAAAGACGATGCTGAGGCTGTTATTATCGGCGGGGGAGTCCTGGGCACGAGTATTGCCTATCACTTGGCCAAAGCTGGAATGAAAGATGTGATCTTATTAGAGAAGTCAGAACTCACAGCTGGCTCAACTTGGCACTCGGTAATGCTTTACAGTAAACGAAAATGCCATTTGTAAGCATTAAGTTCTCAAGATGGATGGTAAGGACAATTTATTGATGTAAAAAAGGAAATGCACAAAAAAAGATGTATGGATAAGGATAATCTTAAAGAACTGGATTGCTAAAAAGAGAGATGTTGACACGACTGATTTATCGTTATTTAATTAAGAATTCGGTTGCCAATACGAGAGGCTTTGTCGTCTTCAGCTAGAGGCGATATTTCAAGCTATTGTAAAGGAGTTTATGTACTACGCTGTCGAGAAAAGCAACATAATGAGACGTTTCTCTCAAACACCCTTTATCCTTTTTTCCAGGTCGGTGTTACGTCTCACTATAATCCAGTGGTGAACATGAAGCCTCTAACTCATTACAGCATGTCCTTGTACAAACAGCTTGGACAGGAAACTGGACAGGTCAGACTGATCATAAGGACAATTTAAATAATGTTACTTTAGAGTTAAAGCTGACATAGAAAGAAGACATAGCAGAGAGACGGAATTCTCCACAGAGCCCATATCCCGAAGATAATCTGTCTTGGCTTAGCTTATGACTTATCACAATAGTCTCGCAAGAATAGTATTATGAGTATCCAGTGTGTTACTTCAAGGTTTTGTTAACGAACGTCGCATGAGAACCTGGGAAAAATTAGCGACCTGCAGGTAGTCATTTCTAGATTCCTCTGGGATCTGCGGGAACCGAAAAGGTCGAGAAGATTTGAATATATCCTAAGGAAAATTAACGTAGGAAGAAGGTCTAACGGGGAACACAGGTTCTTAGGCACGATCTTCTCTTTCTTCAGTGCAGCAGATGATTGTGTTGTCCCGTTCGTAATTCAGTCCCCTTTCATTCCCATAGCATATGTCACGGCTGAAAAGCAAAGCAACACTTACCCATTTAAGCAATGCTCAGTGAAATTGAAAAAGAGGTATAGGTTGCACAAAATATAATCAAAAGTATATTTATTATATATCCCTTCCCACCTGAAATGAATTTTTATAGAGTAAATTTTGCAAAGTACTGCCATGATATGGAAAGATGAATTAACGGCTATGTCATCGTAACTTCTAACTTACTGCTAGTTTAAGACTAAGTTAGCCTTTTGGAATAAGTCTTTTAAACCCTCTAACTCCCAAGATCTCATTAGAAATTCTTCTTACTTTCTACCTATAGTTCTTGTGATGTTAGTTTGGAGAATTTGGTATTGGATCAACTTATTGTCCCCTATTTTATATTTTTTTTTATTCTCATCACTTATCTGCTTGATATTGTGTTGATATTGTAAGGAGAAATTTTTTCTTGGTCACTCATGGGAGTTAAAGGGCTAAAAGAGAGCTAGTTGGTAACGTCATCGATTCCGGCGCTCCTTCCGGCTGTCTTCTCGGGAAGCAGTTATGAGCGCTGCTTTTTCTTCCGGACGCCGGGATATTAGTGTTTCACAGATCTGCAATTCCCAGTATTTTAAAGAGCCTACCTAATTTTCACTTTTATTAATTTCAGTGGTTAAAGACGCAATGAGATTAAACTGCCTTAGCTTAGACAAACGCAAATGACTGGGCCGACCATACAGACACTACTTCTCTCGCTACTAAATTTAAATTCTTAGGCCGCATTATAATCTTAAACGCATCCATATACAGGACGTCGGGTTTCACATGTGCGGCAGCATTAGGATTTGTACAACGCCCGAGAGACTAGAAGAGGCAAAGTATCAGATGCAAAGGCACGGTTGGATGAAGGCACCACAAAGATTAATTACGACAGAGGAAGTAGCCCGATTGCATCCTCTTCTGTATGTAGATGACGTCCTGGGAGCTTTGTACTTCCCTGGTGTGTATTAAAGTCGCGAAAATGTAACAATGGCTAGGAGAGGTTGAACACCGTTTCTTGCTTCTGATAATTAAAAACACGCTAGAGAATGGAAATTAAGAAAAATACAATCGGAAACAAAAAATTTCCAGCAAGGCTATTCAGGGAGCAGTCATCTTTTTCTCCCCTGGAGGGTAGGAGGATTTTGATTGAGTCATGATAAAGTTTACCCGATCCCCCCCGTGAGGCTCTGTAAAATTCTTATGACTTCGCCTCCCCCCCCCAATTGGCGGTTAATTGACGTTCAAATCTCTATAGTTCCCGCTCCGTGCCCTCTGAAACTATGTGATCACACCAACGTCTTCCGCCCCCCTCTTTCCCTTCCCCTTCCTGGTCTCCTTTCATACATTTTTCTGTCACATACATTGACTGTCCGATAATAATTAGCTGTGTTTGCAAAGATACATCTTGCGTATGAATTTGATTAAAGATAAAAAGATCGCAAATTTACCTTTCAGAGGATGGCTACATTGATCCATATTCCTTGACACAGGCCCTCGCGAAAGGGGCGCGGATGTACGGGGCCGAGATATACATGCCAGCTCCAGTCACTGGGCTAAACTTCAGATCTGATGGACGATGGGATGTGAAAACACCACACGGCACAATTAGAGCTAAACATGTTGTTAATGCAGCTGGTAATTATATGTTGATGCGTGCATTGCATGAACATTTTGGGGTAATCTGTTTTCTTTGACGTTAATAGTCGCCTGAGATATTGCGTTCTTAACCTCTAAGTCCCACAAGTAACCTAGACAGAATTTCTCCTTACACTATCAGTACGTTATCAAGGAGACAGGTAATGAGAAAAAGAAAAATATCAATTAAGGGATTATTAGTTGATTCAATTCCAGATTCTCCAAACTAGCATCGTATGAATTGTATGACAGACAGTAAAGAGAATTACCAATGAAATCTTGGGATTTGAAGGGTTAAGCGACATCGTCTTTTTGTTTCGAGGTTTTTGGGGCAGAGAGATTGGTCGCATGGTAGGAACTGAACTTCCTTTGGGTGTGGTTCATCACCAGTTTCTTGTAACGGGGCCTATCCCTGAAGTGGCAAGTTTAAAGAGGGAGCTTCCTTTTATGAGGGACCTGGAGGGTTCAACCTACACTCGTCAGGAAAAGCAAGGCATTTTGTTTGGTTCTTATGAAAGCGCAGACAAAATGAAAATGGAAGAAGGATGGTGAGAATCAAACACGTCAGCTCATTTTTATTCTTATAATCATCTAAAATTCGATCCTGAGAAAAACTATCGCAATTCAAGCTATTTAGCAACTTTTAAAAGTCCTCAATTGGGACCTTAACCACCACGAATCGTGTTTACCTTTTGTGAGGTGACGACATATTTGTTAGTGTAAGATTAAAACCAACTGGAATCAGTGTTGTCATATTTCCTTCTAATCAGGGATAAATACTGAATAGCTCAAGTGTAACTCAGAGTAAATGTCATTTGGCTTCGAGAAATGTAATTGTTTGTCTGAATTATCTATAAAACTTGTTAACTGTTAACTATCAACATGGGCGAATGAAATTCAATTTCGGAATATCAACAGGCATCATTTGTTTGTGTTTTCAGGCAAGCGATGGAAATTACGAGGTGCGCGCGAGTCGAACACGAAAATAGGGGAAGGAGAGCATGAAAGTTGAATTACACTGTGAAAGCGCCGAATGGTGTTTCTTTTGCGCTGCATCCCCTGCGAATGCCTCGCTCCGCGCGCTCGCCTCGTGTTCCCTCCGCCTGCCTGAAAATGCATAACATATAATGACGCTTCTTCTACAGGGTTACGAGAAAATGGCATGCTGTTTTTTATTTTGTTTTTTTTTCTTTAAGGTGGGACTGTGTCCCTGAGGGATTTGGAAAGGAGTTATTTGAAAGTGATGTAGACAACATCAGTGATTACATAACCAACTCAATGAAGAGAACACCAGTGCTTGCCAATGCTGAAATAACAAGTACTGTTTCAGGACCTATAACTTACGCACCAGACGCTATTCCCTTACTTGGTCCCGATGCAAAGGTACCTAACATGTGGCTAGCTCTCGGGACAGGTTACGGGATCGGTCTCGCAGGTAAATGACGATCGGCAAACGAGATGAAACAAAATAAAGTAACAACTCTATGTAAAACATTATTACGCCGTTCAAAATCATCAGAGCTCTTTTTTCAAAGAAAAACCTCGATTTTATTATATGTTGCCTTTATTTTAATTACAAAGCAGAAACAAACCATATGGATTGAAATCATGAAGCTAAAACTCAGGGAAATGACTTGTTTAGCGGCAGCGTAAAGTGCATTTGCATTGAAACCTACAGCTGTCTATAGTCATTATTGAGGCTTATTATTGTGTAACTATTATAGTCTAACCTGATGGTTATCAACTTAAATTGTGCAGCCTGCGCATGCGTGAGCCAGTCCCTTAAACTTCGTGTTTTGATTTTATTTTCATTTCCTATGTCTTCGTTGCATTCTTCTTTCCTCAGGTGGGATCGGTAAATATCTCTCTGATTGGATGATTGATGGAGAACCGCCGTTCGACCTTATTGAATGTGAGCCTGGTCGCTATGGAAACTGGGCCTCCAGGGAATACGTATTAGCAAAGTGTCGAGAGACGTACGGTTTGAATAATCAGATAATGCATCCTAAGTTAGAGAGGTGGGCTGGGCGCCCTGTGAGGACTAATGGGATATATAAGGTAACTGAAATTTGACCAGAAATTACCTAGCCTTTGTGGATAGCGGTGTTAGACCTTGCGAGAGAGATAGACTGTTTACAGGAAACTAGAGGATGGAAATATGAGAAGACTCGAAACTGAAATTGTCGAGGATCTTTTTGAAAAACATTTTAGAGACATTTTAAGAAATTTTGAATTTCCCAAAAATGTAAAAAAGAGTACTTGTTGTTTTACGAAGGTGATTGATGATGGTAGGAACCAAGTGGAGTCCAATTCGATCTTTAATCATACAGAGATTGACAAAATCGGACGACCGCGAAATGGGAGTCCGATTTGTTAATTACGAGTATGATTACAGACAGAATTGGACGCCAATAAGTCTTGTTACCTATTAACCATAGCCATTTCAATTTCCGAAAAAACAAATACACCTAGAACAGATGTCTCCAGTGGAGACAATGTCTATAGTTAAAAATTCCTCCATTTTGGAAATTCCTCAGTTTTTCTTTGGATAAGTGGTTGTTGCTATGGTTATTTGATTATTTCTTTGATTGGTGGATTCGCTGAGTGGACTTAGCATGATTGGCTGTTTCAACTGTCCGATTACAGGTGTCCGATTACAGCCAACTGTCCGATTACAACTGTACTGAATGATAAGTGTAAATGAAGCTGCGAATGCACCAATCATATTTGAGGAATTTGTAATGGTTATGATTAACTTTGGTATACAAATGACGCCCTCTCTGATAGCAATATTGGAGTATTTTCGCCTTTGCAATCATGTCACAAAGTGTATACTGACAAAACTGAGATTATAAATATACGGTAACGAGATATTATTTGTAAGAGCAATGTCAAAGCATATACGTCTTGTACAGTATGTTCTTTGCATTGATTCCTTATTTATCTCCTCAGAGACTTTGCGAGCGAGGAGCGCAGATGGGACAACGTGCTGGCTGGGAGCAACCAAACTGGTTTGCGCACTCGGGGGATGAGCCTGGGTTCAAGCCCAGTTTTCGAAGAACAAACTGGTTTGAGCCGGTTGGACGGGAATGTGACTTGGTGCTGAGTAAAGTCGGTATCATAGACCTAACTCCTTATGGGAAATTTGAGGTCAAAGGAAGAGATGCAGCTGACTTCTTGGATAGGGTTTTTTCTAATGAATTGCCGAAAGTGAGTATCGTTATATTATAAAATGTTAGGGCATTAGAATTATTTTTTGACAAGGGGTCACCTTTTTTTGTCAAAATGAACGTTTACTTAACCAAGAATCAAAGAATCAAACGTATCCTCCAAACATTAAGACTGACCAATCACTAGTGACGAATGCTACTTGAACCTTACAGACCATTCCGTCCTGATAGAACTGACCAGTTAATGATTCTCACCCATATTGTCGGAATATCAGTCACTATTACTGAATGCATTACTTTCAGAACTAACCTTTCCTAGAAGATCAAATCATTCGATCCGTCAATTTCTTTCTGTTCAGCTTTCATCATGTATAAGTTTCTTAATTTTCTTAACTGACGATGTGTGTTCCGTTGTGGAAATATATCGATGGCAATTTAATAGTCTCAAACCATAGTTTTCCTTCTAAACGAAGGTAAGTTAAGTTGAGTTATGTCCTATCTGCGCTTGTTATAATGCGCTCTTTGCTTTAAGGTGGGGTGCTCAAACATAAACCACATGCTGACACCAAAAGGTAAAGTTTACGCGGAAATGACCGTCACCTGCTTGGCGTCGGATCGTTATCTTTTGGTCACGAGAAGCAATACAGAGTTTCATGATCTCAGGTACTTTTGCAACCACATGGTTATCCTTCACTTAGAGAATTTGATCAGCGAAAATGGATTTCATTTTTGTATATCTCAGGGAAGAGTCTGAGAAATAGATAAGTTAAACAAAAGTTGGATTTTAGCAGTGACACATCCGCGAGGTTTGGTTCATGGTCCCGTGTTTCCAAGGTGGATGAATATTTCTGAGGGTTGAATACTGCAGAGAAAGAAGAGTCAAAAGAAAAACTCAAACGTGACGCCAGGCCTGGGAACCGACCTTGAGCCTTCGCGTCATCTCTGCATCTCCGCTATCTCTGCTTTCCCAATGTTAAAATTTTTTTAAGTTAAAATTTTCATTCACCCCCAAAAGCACCTAAAGGAGAATGCGCTGATTTCTGTGGGTGTGGCAGAGAGGGAAGGAAGAGTCGTGAGGCTGACTTTACCCCTCTTTGTGCTCATTTCATGTGCACAAAGGAAGCAGGAGGAAGTGCAGATAACTTGGAGTTACCTTCAGTGCCGTTGGCCTGAATACAACCATTTACCATCTTTTGTATTATATTTATTCCTGTGTTCCCTTTGATTATCATTCACACAATGAAAATAACTTGGTAGCTGTGCTAACACTAAGCTGTTTTTGCACAGATGGTTGTTGGCAAATCAACGCAAAAATAATTATGATATCGTCATCACGAATATCACTGATGACGTGGCCTGCCTGGGCATCGCGGGGCCTCGTTCACGCGACGTTCTATCAAAGATGACATCATCAAACCTAAGCGATGAAAGATTTCCATACTTGGCATATCACAACTTAGAGCTTGAAGGAATCCCCGTGCAGGCTAGTCGATTTTCTTTAACAGGTACATTATTTTAAAATTTTTCTCGTTCTCTTACAACTTTCCCTTAGGAAAGGTGTGAGCACAAGTTGAAAGGTATGATGTACTTAAGTTTGAGGGGAAAATGCTGGTTTTGTATAGCCGGGCTCGGCCTATGATTTTGTCTTTAAATTATTCATTCATGAGTTTACTTATTTCTAGGTCGATGCCTCTACGACTGCCTTAACTGTTTTATGCCAATTGAGCTATTTATTCACCTGACCACATTTGAAACTTTTGGTATATAGCGCTTAAAGTTTTGAGGGCAATGAATTTACATTTTTGAAAGCTGTTAAGATGAGGAGTTAACCTATCATGATTAATAAATATTCCATCAGTAAGTCGTTTTAAGGCTGCTTCAAAATTTACTTTTACGTTTTATCCAAGGTGAGTTGGGATGGGAGTTATTTCATATGAAGGAACACACAGCAGATTTGTACGAGGCTCTGTTAGCAGCTGGTGAGGATCACGGCATTGGAGACTTTGGCACGTACGCCTTAAATTCCCTCAGACTGGAGAAAGGGTTCCGCCTATGGGGCTTTGAGGTATTGCAAAACGTAGCTTAACCTTACGATGTAAATGCAGCTATACTCTAACACCATTTACTCTTTCCCTCTTTATGCGCCAAAGGAGAAGGAGAGAATAAAAGTTGGCAGCATAAGTTTTCTTTGGTTTCCTCCGGCACGCCCTGTTTCGTCACGCTAAAGGTTTCAGTCACATTCTCTGCCTTCATTATTACTTTTATCGAAGAACGTTCCAGTAATCCTTGCAGGCTTTTATGCGGCATTTTTTAAACAGCTATTGCAATTTTCTTCGCAGATGAATACTTCAACTACCGCCGTTGAAGCAGATTTAATGTCGTTTATAAAGTTAGACAAGGTAAGGTTTTTATCATTAGAAAGGCTGATCACATTCAGAGGCATTCTACCGAATTCCTGACTTATTCATGCATTTGCATAGGGTGTTGAATTCATTGGACGAGAAGCTCTCCTTAAATTGAAAAGAGATGACTGTGAGCGTGTCTTATGTTTCATGACGGTGGATACAACTGATGTGGACCCCGAGGGAAACGAAACTGTTTGGAATGGCAAAAAAGTGAGTATGACGACGGAAGAATCGTCGTTTACATTTGCTTCTGTCATTGGCTAAGATAGACTTGATGATAACTTATTTTTTTCTGCTATCAATTCCAACAGGTTGTAGGATTTACCTCAAGTGGTTCCTACAGCTATCAGCTTAACAAGAGTATATGTTTCGCCTATCTACCTCCTCCTTTAACTGATCTGGGCTCTCGAGTAGAAGTGGAAATGTTGGGAAGCAGATATCCTGGAGTTGTTGTGAAATACCCATTGTTTGATGCAGAACCGTTCGCGTGAAAGAGACGTACGGAGAAAAAAAGAGATATCCGGTCCCTTACATTCTAGGAAACAAAGGCGGTAGCGTTGGATCTCATTACAGCACGTAATAGGTTCTGCCTTCTCTCGAAAGTGACGATGAGGCATTGCTACTCGACGAAACTAGTAATTGGCAGCCTAGGTCTGTGGAAAATGAAGATTAATTAGAAAATGAATTAAAGAATTGATGAATACCGACGCATTCAACCGCAAAAGCTGACGCCTTTTATTCGAACCCCTTCAGATGTTGCATGTGCTGTATTTTGCCCCGGAGTATTTATCTTCCAATCTGACTTACCATGCGCTTGACAATGTCCTTACATACAACTGACCAACTCAGGATGTTAAAAATTAAAGAAAAAGTTGCAAATAAAGTAAAATAAATGATTGCTTTAAGAGAAAAATCAGTCGTACTACAGTATCACAATAACCTTAAGTCGTTCAAGGTAAAAACGTTCTAAACTGTTACGTCGACATTACATTTTCAACCGATGCAAAAGAGGAACTTTTAATAATTATGTACTGTTTTATTATTCTATTCTATAGGACAACCTGCAGAGCTCCGTTTAGATTAGTAGGTAACATCCCGATGAACTTCTTGTTCAACTTATCCAAAGTTTTTAAATGAACAGAAAGGAAACAGCAAGGAAAATACAACGTGTGATGTACGTTATTTGTGTGTTACAACAAAAAGAGTTGCGGTGCGGACCATAATGTTTGGTTTTAATCTGTTATTCGTTGTAGAGATTACATTAAAAAGTTTCCCTGATTCTCCTAGTTTAGAGTTCGTCGGCATGTGCAGGCTCTAAGTTAGTGAAGACGAACGAAAAGGTGCAAAATGCGAAAAACGCGAAAAATGGCAAGTAAGCCGTCGAGGCGGTTGCAGTGACAGAGAGCCTGAAAACTGAGAGACCTGGGTCGCATAATGCACCGGTATGTGGTAACAAGAGAAGTTTTAGTATGTTGTCTAATCCGCTCTAGCATTTCAACCCTCAAAAAAAATAAATAAATGGATAAGATAAAACACTTTTTAATGTTTTATCTTATCCAATTATTTACTTATAGTTTAAAAACTATTTTTATTTAGTGATCCTTCTGTCCGATAAGCTTATATGTCTGTTCCTTTGATCAGTGGCTCCCGCTTTCTTAGTGTTGATTTTGAACTCCGTCGAAAGTCACTGTAATCACCAGTCTTCTCGCTTTTGGTAATGTAGTAATCAACAAGTGGCGTCGCTAAGTAATAACCCATTCCTCGACCGGTAACAACAGCCGCAAATAAAGACGCGTTGTATGTCATGCTGATCAACATCAAGAAATAAGCGAAAGCCAGTTCGGTTACGAAGAGACACGTCTCGGAAAACTGCATCAAAAGGTCACGACTGTTTGGTAAAACAAAAGATAAAAAAAAAAAGTTGTCCTCTGTTATGATAAGTTGACGATTGATAACTTGAAACGTTGCCAGTCTTCCTTACTGTTAGATAAACATAGTCTCACGAACGATATTGTTATCGACATTATTGTTATTTTTATTGGTTTCTAACGCAGACTGTGGCCTTTTGAGGTTTGTTTTATTATAAACAAATTCTTCAGAAAAACGTTCTTCTGCAAACGGAACGTGTCGTCTAGAATTCAATTGCGAAAAATAGTATTTAGTTGTTTAGAGTACCAAAACTTTTACCCTACTGCTTCTATTCCAGCTCCTCAGTTTCGATTATGAAACTTACCATTTGATAGCGGTATGTATTCTGGACGCTAGCACACTGGTTGTTGACCCGCGGTAACTCCTCGTCTTTAAACGTTGTTTTAACGTCACGTGAAGTCCCTTGTAGCACTCGTACAGGACTGCGAGTGCAAACACCGCCAGGAAAGATCCCCCAACGTCTGGAATAGATAAATTTATTAAAATCAAGACGGTATTCATTGCTTACAAATTGTTCTACTCTTCCTGCTCCACAGTCGCGCTGGTCAAGAGAAATAAGCAAGTTTCACATCGATGTGACTATGGAGAGAGTTCCCCTCGCCAGCAACAAATTGCTTTTCCTAATTTCTTCATATCGATTAACACAGGCTCAGGGTCTTTCTTCCTAGGAATTTGGCACATGTGATATTCAGAGAGAAGAAATTTTTAAGACGAGTAACAAAAAATACATGACAATAAAAGCTGTTTGATAGCGACCTGTGGTTTTTTCAGCGTCTAGCGGCGGTGCATCTGGAGATCGTGAATGTTATAGTATCTTCTAATTCTTGCAAATATTAGCGAGGTGAACGTACAAATAACGAGAAAGAAAGTAGGCAAGACCAAAGTAAACGGAACAAAAGCACATAGGTAGAAGCCGTTCAGTAATGATCTGATTATTTGAGACTTACCACTCGCAGAGGTCACTTTCCATCCTCGAAATATCACGAACGTCTGAGAGGCTACGGAGAAATACATCTGTATCTTATTGAATTAGGAAATGGAGCCGGGAAATTTTGCGCTGCAAGATTAGAAAAACATCTATCGGTTGAGAGCTCGTGCACCCCTCGCTTTACGATTGTACTCCTTCGACTCAATTTTTGAATGCAGTCAAAATCAGTCCATGGTCACATGAAAAATGTGTAACTGACCTTTTATACCGCCTGCTTCATTCAAAAATGTTCTGCCAGTTTAATGACAGATGCGCTTTCCAATCACTTCATGGAAATTCCTCACGATTGTCAACACATTATTAAACGTTATTTTACGTAACATTTTCCAGAAACTCTTGCAATAAATTCCATATCACTTCACTACTAGCGTTGTGTTTTGAAATTCTTGTTATTTTCAATGTAACGATCAATTCAACATTACAATTTTTTACTTTCATTGTTATTTTTCGTTTACCTAAAGACTTTGTTAGATGACCTTCACTCTGCATATGCTTGGTATTAGCTTTACCCCGCTGGGCATATTTAAAGGTTGCGCAAGATGTTTTTGAGATTTTGAGACAGTACCTTCTTTAAATCAAAATATTGAGAGTGGCGACATAGTTTGTTTTGTCTCGCTTAGGAGTGCTCGTGAACAGTAGATAAGACTAAGCTCAGTTTAAAGGCCGGGCTGCAGTTATGCTTCGCAGAAAAAAAAATTAAGAACGTGGAAGGGCAAGAAATTTCTTCTACCGTGTATGGATCTAAATTAAATTAAAAATTTATGTGATAAACCTTACGGCTCTGTAATATGCTAATGATTCCCCCTCATTGGTAGTTAACTGGCACTCAATTTTCTTTAGTTTCCCTTTTATACTCTTTTAGCAATGACCAATTAACCCCCCCCCCCTTTAGTTAGTTCTGAAAACCAGGTGATCCCCAGGGTCAGTGCATTGCCTCTCGCATAGCGTGGTTTGCTCAACTTTCCCCTATTAAAGCCCGTAGTCAGAAAAACTGGTGTGTAAAACTACCCGTTTATTTTCCGCTGTAGATTCTCGGTTTGGCACCCTTTTAATAACGGATTGAGAAAACTACTATCGGGGAATCTCAGAGCTTTCTCAGAGTACGGGTTGGTTCATTTTTGTTAGATTACTTTTTACCTATGAACCTTGTAGGAGACTGGACTAGGTATTACGGTATATTTCTGTCTTAAATTGACTTTTCCCATTTGAATCTGTGAAAACATCAATATTGCCGCCATACCTAACATATCCTTTGTAAATAAATTTTAGGATCTCTTGATGCAATTAATATCATAGTCAACCAGTATTGCACAAGTCAGGATAGAATTAGTAGACCTCGGGGTACAACTCTCTGTGAATAATGGAGTAGTTTCTTTTTTTAAGAAAGTAAAAGACTAGAACAAAGTCCTGCCGAGATTTCGGGTCCGAAAAAGGTTTACTTTATTAAGTTAATGGTGAGCGTGATTTGAAAAAAGGTGTACGTTGATATTATACCGTGTGCGGACGGAATTCTTTGTAATAACGGAAGACATTGGGGTATGTCAATTCTTTGGAGGATATCAGTAACATAAGCGGGTTCCTATGATATTGACTCGATAATCTTGAGTGACTTTCTTAGTCATGGTAATTATATATGGAGTTATTAAAAAAAAAAAAAAAAAACCACAAAATGAACGTTAAACCCGAGATCGATGATTTGGACAAATTTTTCAGACACTCGATAAATTGTGTTATAACTTCCTCAGGTTATAGGGATCAGACCGTAAATGAGGGAATTTGTTTGAACTTTTAGTTCCGGCTTTAGGATTTGCGCTTTTGAATATCTTTTCAAAGTCAAAGAGTTTGTTGTTAACGAATAGCTCATAAGCATTGGAAATATCAGTCAAAGCCCAATAGAATAGAGGGACCATGGCCTGAAAGATCCCCAAAAACTGCATTGATCAATCGGTCAAGTTTCGAATTGTGCTTGGTTGTCTCATTGCAAAGAACAATTAGCGACGTGTGAATTAGCTTTCAATGCTCTGGAAACCACCAATTATTAGTTTAGCAATATAAGCCAAAAAGGATCGCGTTTTACTAATGATCAATGCAGAAAATTGACACGGTTTGCAATCGAAAAATCAGAAAAATTGAAGTCTAGATGGATTAAATCATTCAAGATAAATAACTCGAGAAGGAGCTATGTGCATGATCAATTTCCCGAATTTTGAGCTTCTGCCCGACGAATATAAGTTTCAAAGTGTACAAGATTTTAAGAATGTATGAGATTATCTAGAGATTATATCCTACAACTGTCAACAAACCTCCACTTTTCGAGCGAAAGAAACTCCTTTAGTTGAAATACCGTTTGGTGCTGCTTCAGCTTTAAAAACCGCAGTGAAAAAACATCCACTTTCAGTAACGTCAGACGTTTGCACCTCTGATCAAATTACCGACAATGCGTCGAAAATTCCGCCCTTTTCTAGAGTTTTCTTTTGTCTGTTCGATTAAAAATAAATTAACAAAATAGATTGCCAACAAATATTAGGGCTAAGAATTTAAAACCGCATACTGATGACGTTTAGGTTTTTAATATCTCTACATTCGTTATCTGTAGGTTACCTATCTTTCAATAAGCTTAAGTCTAGGGATGTATGTGTAACATTCTCTGGTTTTCTGAGGAAGGATCACCATGTTTTCTGCCCATTATTCCTAAATCTTTCAAAATTATTGTATTTGTATTACTGCTGTAAGCTCTGCATTTGCGTTGCTATGCTATGTGTCTCGAGGACCATTCACTTTGCCTTCGACGAGTAATTGTGAGTTTTGTAATCTCATGATAATTGGCCTATATCATAAGTAGAGATCCAAGTTCAAACTATTTTTCATTTCTACTCAATAGCTAATATAACAGATCATAGCAAAACGTTATTTACCGATTTTTTTGGTACAAATCAGTCGCTTAAATTTTGTAAAGATTAGTGGGACCAGAAACTCAGCCGTAGATTTTCTTGAGGTCTACAGCTCGTTCAGTAATTCCTATCAATTTCTTGCTAATTTTAGTAAATTGATTTGAAGAACTATGAGAGAACTGTCAAAATTAGAAGGATATTGGGGATGAGGGAGGAAAAGTTTTTAACCAAAAAATTCTTAAAATCTAATTAAATGATAATGAGAATCATGATGTTGAAAATTCCATTAACACTGCTTGTCATGAACCTAATATATCTATAAATGACCGTGAGTATATGAAAATCATTTATTCACCACTTCACGGGTTTATTAGGAACCATGATGATGACCAGCTCCCAGTTGGCTTGTTAGCTCAGTTGGTAGAGCACTGCGCCGGTATCGCAAAGGTTATGGGTGCCAATCCCGAACAGGCTTGATTTTTTTCCAGGTCTCATTTTCACTACTGCTTAAACAGTGTTCATTATTGCGAAGATCGCTTTTATATTTATATCCATAAAAGAATGTCAAAGGACGTAGGTTATTTGATCATAAAACAGATCACTGGTTTGCTTGATAATAAAGCTCGCAACTTTTTAACTTAATGTTACCTAAACGGCTAAGATAGAAATTCATCCTGAAATTTTTTTTTGTAAGAAATTGTGCAGCTTGAATTTATGCGTGTTTTCAATGCACTGGAGTCTATGTCTATGATATATTGGTGCTGTTATTATACTATATTGATCCGTGTGTTTTCACGATGACTAGACAGTTATTCGCTGTTATCTCCCACTCATCAAAACGTCTTTTTTCCTTGGTAACATCACGGTACAAAAAGCGAACCCAGCAGATGGAGCGATCATGAGATTGAAATTATCTTTGTAAGCAACTTTTTATCAGCTAAAAATAGTTGTTTCAACAAAACTAAAACTCAGGCAAAATTTTGAGTATCATTAACATTTAAGCCGGACAAAGAAAGAACATAGAGATAGAGAAGGAATAAAATAATAGAACATTCTTCTTAGAGCAATGAATGAGTTTTTGCAAATTTTTTCAAACTTCCATCCTGTTTGCATTCAATCGGCGTATGAATGACAACTCAAAATGTTAAGCTAAGCACTCTCTTTATTTCAGCCCGTAATATAAGCGGATACAATATGCTAAATATTCAAGAAAACCCGTTAATAATCTTAGCGATGAAAACAAAAGAGACACAGTCAGATGATTAATATTCGCCTCAAGTAATAGCACAACTCCACTACACGACATCAATACATTTTTAAAGCTCTTTTTTTTCTGTGGGTCATGTAGTAAAACTCTACGAAAAAGCTACCTAAGTGATGATGGCAAACACTTATGCCTGCCCTATTTTCATCGTCTGACCATCAGTCTGATTAAGAAAAGCACACGCACAATTAAAATACATCGGGCTGTAACACACCATGCCTTTTGCTCTAAAGCAGAATTGTAGCTTTGAGAGAAGCATCTAAATTGTGTGTACAACTGGAAAAGAAAAAAGTGAAAAATATAACCCACTAGCAGCCACAAGTGCAAGTTATATTACCAATGGGAAACAAGCAATCAGTATTCCCTGTGGGTCTCCAACACGATGAGAGGACCTGGAATGCTCTTAATTTAAGGAAGGATGAAGGTGTAGATTTTTTCATCACTGGGAGTATCCCAGCAGAAACACTAAAATAGTTAATTGTCGATGTACCTGTTCTAGATTTCTTCGAAAGGCATTAAACAAACCTGTCGCGCTGTTTTCGTAGTCTCCATCAATAAGAAAAAACATTGCCATGAGATTGCTTAGATTTTTAATTGACATCTTTTGGGGCCAAAAAAACCTGATGCACCAGCTATATCCAGATCAGTCCCCTTTTGAAGGTGAAATTAACATTTTCCCACGAGCATTCCAGTCCTTAATATACATCCAAGATGAGAGAGACCCTCAGGAAACACTCCATTCTTCGTATCAAGCTCTCTCAGAAGTAACAGCATCAGGAGCACGCGGTTTCATAATGATCGGTTTGTACCCCATCTAGTTCAGTTCGTCATCCTGAACGAAACCCAAGTTGTTGCTGTTGTCTTCCTTGACGTGATTGCCACACTGTTCCATGGGGTAGACTTTGTTGCGATCTGCGAAGGCTCCGTTGAGACGCTTCTTGATTCGAATAACGACGATGGTGAGAATGATAACAAGAAGGAGGCAAAATCCGCCGGATGCCGCCACTACTGTAATGATCTCCATGTTGGTTTGAGTTTCAGCTAAAAGGATGAAAACAAATTGAAAGCGATTCGGCTTAGGTACAGTAACTTTACGGTTACTTCAGTAAATTATGTAATGATCTAGTACATTCAGTTGACGTTTGTTTGGTGTTTGGTAACCTGTATCGAGTCGGGAAAGTATGGCAATTCTTTCGTGCTGATTCCATGGTCAATCTACGGGTATCTACCCTTTCCACATAAGTATTGAGTAAATCGTTACTCACGACTCTCCACTGCCCACTCACCTTCTGTCGTGTCCGTTGCACTCGCCCCGTTCTGGTATTTGATTGGTCCTGACGACATTTCGTACACTTGAGTACTCTCAGAACCAGGCACCTCGTCTCTCCGTCCTCGATAGCGGGAGCATCCCTGGAGGCAGCGAGACCGGGCAGTGTTGCGGTGGCAAGCCAGGACTTCACAGTGAAGATGCACTACTGGATGGTCTTCAATAAAACGAAACGCTTGGATGCTAAAACGCTGTTTGGAGCTGATGGAGTACGAATAATTGAGGGTAGAATCCAGCTTACATCTGCAGCCAAGCAAAGAGAATTATAATTATGAATTTGTAGATGAGCTAATACGAAAACCACCAGGAAAAAAAAATTAGCACCACGAAAAACTGACTCGAACAAAAATAAAACAAAGTTTAAAAAAATTTTTTAGTGGCTTGATCCACGGCTTATTATTATCTACTCAAATATTCGCCATCAGTTTGCGCGTTTTTGCTCCGTAAAATGGATTTCACAAAAATTTGATTCTATTTTGTACCCTGGTTACGCCCGGAATTAGTCCTGGTGTAATCAAAAACGTTCGTTGAGGGAGAAACTGCATAAACCGAAAATTGTTATAGGAAACATTTTTCAGGAATCGTTGTACAGAGCAAGACATGTTTACCCTCTCTGCAAGAAGACATACTGAGGAACTGAGTACGGATCAGGAGTGGGAGTCGCCTTGCAGGTGTCGACAAAGAGAACCAGGTTAGATTGGTGTGATTGTACCGTCAACTGAAGAAATAACTGATCCCGAAGATGAACCGTGATTGGATAGTCATTGTAGCTGAACGGTGTAAGATATCTGGCCGTCTTGAATAGATCCATAGTGAAGGTGAAGTTGCCATAGCCACCTATGAAAAGAAAGTAAAATTGCCGGCTGTTCTTTAAGATCTGTAAACGTCATGGATCACCCAGCCCTGGTGGTTGTTGGGAACAATGAAATTATCGACAGAAAATCAAATTGAACTTGAGCAAAAACGAAAGGCTCATTGAGTTCTGGAAAGCAATAAAGGTCGTAAAATCGCACCACAGTGTCAGGTGACAGCTACCATCGATTTGGCAAGGAGACGAGCTGAAGGGTTTTTTTTTTCAAAAAAGGTTTATTCAATGAATGTTTTCCCTTGAAGGATATAAATTCATTGAACTGTACAATGACTCTTGTAGTAATGAAGTTAATGTTATATCTTAAAACAGATGTAATTAAATGAGCATTTCCTTGTAAAAGGTTACCTTCCGAAACTGTGAAATGGTTCTTCCAGGTTTTGAAAGTTGGATTTCGTAGCTGGGCCTTACGTCCATAACTGCAGTAGAAAGGAATTGACACATTTTGCTCCCGAGTGATGATGTTGCCGGAGTAAGACTGGACACTTCGCACTTTGTTGTAGAAAGTTATCGCGTCCTCGCTTTCGTTATGAGTGGTTCCACAGTCATTGAGACTCGTGCGCAAGGAAATGTGGGAATCGTTGTAGGACGCACGGCATGACGTGTAAAGAAGTGTCAGTTTGTTTGGATCAAATCCTTGGAAAGTTTTTCTCTCCAGAAAGATAAACATTGCTTCAGCTGTACATTTCACTGTAATACCAGGTTCTGAAAAGACCGAAAAACATTAGTTCACAAGTGAAGATTCTGCCAGTGAAATCAGTTAACCATATATTTTACCCATCCGTTTATACGTATCTCCTTGTTAGTTTCAACAGATATAAAAGAATTTTGTTGAAAAACTGTTCTGTACCAAATGTTTATGCATTAAAACGTAGCACAGCAGTGTAGAGGATCGCGCAGTCAGCTGTGAGAGTATAGTTTGCACGCAATTTACTTACCATGGCAAGTCTTGTTATCAAAGCCCATTGTTACACCCTCGGGACATTTGCAATAGTGACCTCCTGGGATATTCACACACTGATGGGTGCAGCCACCATTTTGAGTTAAGCATTCGTTTATATCTATCAGTAAATACAAACATAAAACGTTTGTGAGACTCGTAAAAAGCAGGGTGAGCTAATTGATTCAACTCTGATCAATTTACCAAACTTAAAACGGCGCATTCTGGAAAATCCCAAGAATCTCCTTTTTTTTGGATGTGATTAAAGTTCAATAGATTCTTGCCATGGATCATCTCTGTGCGAATAATTACGTGAGCTTCATAATTTCAAGATTTCAAATGGAACAATATAACCACAATTATATTCAAGAATAGAAAGCCTTTCATGCTAAAGATGCGTTAGTTTTTGTACAGCTAACTTATTGCTTGAAGTTTTCGCGGCATTTTTCTTAAGTAAAGTGCACGTGTGTATTGATTTTGCGACGCTTAAATTACGCGGTTTTGCGGAATTATTTCGCGTTTTGGCGTAAGATACGGCTTATTTTCGTCTAAAAGTGCCCTTTAATCAATAATGTCAAGGAAAGAAACTAAAAATAACGTCACCCTATTTGCCCACTTCCCCCTTTCTTACTTGATGCCTTATGATGCAATGTGTGCGAGAGTCTTATAATTTTGGAGTAATGTTACGTGCAAATTGTTACAAACATTGTTCACGTGATGATTTTTGTGCAGTAAGCAGTAACCATGAAGTCAAATTTTGTTTGTTTCACTCTATTCGGCATAACTGAGACCGATATGCTATTGGTGGATATTGAAGCATAATGGAGTAGTCCATGATCTATGTACTTACCCTGACATGTTTTCCCATCCGCCTCTAATCTGTATCCTTGACGGCAAGTGCAGTAATAACTACCCCATGTGTTAACACAGTCATGCTGGCAATTGGCGGGAAGGTGTAGCACAAATGGTGTACTGGACGTAACAGGCATTACCGTTGTAACCGTTGCTTTTATGTTCAACGAGTCTGAGAGAGGGAGAGAGAAAAGCAGAAGGTGTTGAATTAAGTTTTGTACGCTTGGCCAGCCTCTTCTATTAATTCTGGCAAGTTTGTCACTCTAACTTATAGTGTGTCCATTATGCTGGACTCGCAGAAACTGATCAATTACGACTTTCCTGTGTTTCGCCTCCGACTCTAGATTCAGTGAAATTTGATAGAACAATTTAGACACTCACTGGCACTTGTGTGTGAAGATGTCATCACGTTAGGAGAAGTATGCATCACTGGAGTTGACTGGACGCTTCGTTCTGAAGCAAAAGCAATAATTGAACAATGTTAAAACTACGTCATAAGCAAATCACCATCTCTGCAATGGCTAAATTCGCTTTTTTCGTGGCCAGCTTAAATTTGGTTTGATGTTGGTATACATTTTATTTTCTCTCTCTCTCTTGTTTTCATTTTCCACGTTATTTACACTTGGGAAAATCAAAAAATTCTCTTCAGTCTTATCCTACACATGGTGTGACACCATAGTGTCCTCACAACTTAAAAACCCTCATATTATCAGTTTTTTACATGAGTATTTTGAAAGAGAAGAAAATGGTCGGAAAACTTGCCAAAAACACACTAGAATTTAACCACCCGTGTAAAGAAGAACTGAAAAACTACGAATCGATGACTTAAAGTAAATAAGTTAAGTAATAGTATTCGATCTTTTTCGAGTAAGTAAGATGCTCTAAGGTACGAACTTGCTCCTTTCTTGTTCCCTCACAATATATCTTAAATACGTAGTTCTCACTTTTAAGCTTCATATATATTTTAACAAATAGCAATATTACAATTGACTGAAATTACTAACCACGTGTGGGCGGTGGAGAGGATATGAGGCTGCTTCCATAACACGATCCAAGAAAAGTTGAAGCATAGACTTGGTAGACATTGGAGGCTGAGTTTTAGGAAAGAGTATATGATTTATTAACTCGTAATCTATCAAGGAGGGACATGGTGATTTTGAGAAGGTTCACGAGTTTTTCAGCTGTACGTTTTGGGTGAGGTCCTTGGGAAGGAGGGATGAACGATGACAGGCCTGTGGCAGTATACTATTATTATGCAATCAAAGTTGGAAAAATGGTGACACACGTGCACCTTTGAGGAACACTTAATATTTTCTATCTTCGAATAAATTTTCTCATTGATCAAAATAAATCAAGCGGATACCCATTTCTTTCTGATGAAAAAATACGTTTTATCAAATATGAGGGGATTAGCAGACAGATGTTTCTTTACCACGTGGTACAACCCGGTAAGTAGCTGAAAAGCCTTGACGCGTAGCACTTGAATCTGTTGTGAACTTCACAAAAAGAAACCTTCCACTGCTACACACTCCCCAAGATGGCTGAGAGCCGCTTTCCCTTTTAATTCTTGTACTGTATGCTGAGCTCCCATCAAATATTTCGACCCAGTCGTAGCCACTCTCAAGATTAAATGATCCAAATTGTAGATTTATGTAGTAGCCATATGGGGCCTCAATTGACCAGGTGCAATGCTGATTATTTGAGTATCGGTATGGAAAGCCTGGGCTTGTAAATCGACCATTTCGTTGGTATAGGTAATATGAACAGGCACCTGATAAAAATATGTAAAAGGACATTATTCTTCCACACTACCTGAGGTTCAGATCTGAGGTCAAATGAAGGCGTGGACAAAAATTTAAGAAAAGATAGAAGAGAACTATAAAATGATGATAACTATTGACAGACATTGATAGATGTAATCGAGAAGAGAATTAAAATGAGAGAAACTAGGCAAACTGTGTAATTTCACAAACGCTTATATTACTATGGGCACGTAGCAATTCGAAAAGCTCGTAAATTGAGTTCTCTTCATTAAACTAAACCGCTTTCAGCTACTCGAGTAGCTTGAGGCAAACTGAATTTGCCCATTGTAGAGTTAGAAAGAATAAGTCATTGTTTCACATGCGCACGCACAAGCATAGTCTTGGACAATGGTGCTCTGTATACCACTTGTTTCAAAAATCAAATAGAATGAAATGTTTCTATAATTTACCAATAGCGGAGGATGTCGATGGAATATATGTAGATGACCTCGTTGGGGATACTATAATGAAAAATAAAAGGAAATCATGTTTTACCAAATGCAATCAAAGGAATTCAAACAACGAGGATGGAAATGTTCATAGCAATTCAAACGAAACTGAGCGGAGAGAATCGTTTTCTTTAAATTATATAATGATTTTACTTAGATTGTAGAATGAAGCTTATCAACAATAGAATGCGTTAGTTGATATTCTTTAATACATGCATAAATTGTCAAAAATTTTCGTTAAACTTCTTAATTAACCTCTTTCAGTAACACTTGCATGTCAACTAAGGTTGTGTAAACTAAAGATATCCAAAATACTAAAAGTTAACTTAGCTATAGCGAACACTTTGTAACTCGTATGGAAACTGAAATTGTTTGACAAATATTCTATAGAAAGTACCCAGCTGGTAATCCTTCTTCCTGTATCAACAGATTTGTAATTAATCAGTACAGCCTATGACTAATGAGAGTAAATAGCAAACTAGAATAACTTAATTGACTCACAATTTGTGGATGGTATAGGTGTCTTGAGACTGCTACCATAACACCCTACATGAACAGCTGAAGCAAAAACTTGGCCGACCCCGGAAGCTGTGAGTTAACGGATTAAAATTTGATCATAGTAACTAATTGTATTGCATGATGAGGGAAAACACACAAAAAATTATAAGAGAATGGAAGGAGGGGGGGGGGGTTATCGTTTACAGTTTTTTAGCGGTATGATGAAGGGATAATGGGGAGTATCCAGGAGACTAAAATTGGGGGGGGGCATCATATCATTTCACTTTCTGTCAATTGATCAGTGCCTCTTAAATTACATTTAATTGTAAATTGAAAGCTATACATTAGATGACAACCTTGCATTGATAGTTGCACCCGTGGAAGAATGAAGAGTTACTCTAAACTGATGCAACTACTATATCTGTTGGTCCATCAGTTGTTCATCCCCCGTCCTTATTCACTTAAGTTACTCTTCAAATGATTCATTATAGAAAACGGGCATCCGAAATTAGTAATGTGGAGAACGTTAACATTTACAGCACTTTATTTCAAAATAACAAGTACTTTTCATAACAAGCCCTGCTATTGAGAAAAAGGAAACCTAGAGGTTAACCCTAAATTAAGGATCTCCAAAACATCTAGAGGCTAGATTGAGCATCAATTATTGATTGATGAAAGTATTCTAATTCATAAAGAATTACGTAATTAAAGCATATCTTTACCATGTGATACAACCCGGTAAGTAGCTGAAAAGCCTGATTGCGTATAACTCCCGTCTGAAGTGAACTTCACAAAAAGAAACCTTCCACTGCTACACACTCCCCAAGATGGCTGATAGCCGCTTTCCCTTTTAATTCTTGTACTATATGCTGAGCTCCCATCAAATATTTCGACCCAGTCGTAGTCACTCTCAAGATTAAATGGTCCAAATTGTAGATATATGTAATAGCCATATGGGGCCTCAATTGACCAGGTGCAATGCTGATTATTTGAGTATTGGTATGGAAAGCCTGGGCTTGTAAATCGACCATTTCGTTGGTATAGGTAATATGAACAGGCACCTGGTAAAAATATGCAAAAGGACATTATTCTTCCACACTACCTGAGGTTCAGATCTGAGGTCAAATGAAGGCATCGACAAAAATTTAAGAAAAGAGAGAAGAGAATTATAAAATGATGATAACTATTGACAGACTTTGATAGATGTAAGCGAGAAGACAATTAAAATGAGAGAAACTAGGCAAACTGTGTAATTTCACAAACGCTTATATTACTATGGGCACGTAGCAATTCGAAAAGCTCGTAAATTGAGTTCTCTTCGTTGAACTAAACCGCTTTCAGATACTCTAGTAACTTAAAGCAAACTAAATTTTGCCCATTGTAGAGTTAGAAAGAATAAGTCATTGTTACACATGCGCACACGCACACGTACACGCATAGTCTTGGACAATAGTGCTCTGTTCACCACTAGTTTCAAAAATCACATAGAATGAAATGTTTCTATAACTTAATAAAGTGCCTCGCCCAAGCAGGATGACATTGTTTCCTTGGCCCAAGAGCACAGTATAATCATTGGGCAAGGAGTCGAACACGGACCTCTTTCGAGATTCTTAAGTCTTGTGAACTAACAACCATGCCAACGTTTCAAGCCAAGAGCAAAAGGTTCCCTCCATATAAATTTCTTTTTTCAATTTTCTTTCATTTTGTTTTTTTCTCTTAATACTGAATTCGACATCAAATTTACTCTTACCAGAAATCGACGAAGTAGCAGCAACTGCAAAAGCTAAAGGGAAATAATAAGACAGTTTAATGCCACACACAAGTCTATGTAAGAGTTTGCCTCTTAGGGCCTGTTTACATTGAGGTGGGGGACCCCAGGTAGATGAAGTACCCGCCTAGGCGGGGTAACCCGCCTGTCCATATAATTTCTTATACTATCTTGATCACGTTTACATGATAGGTGGGGCTACCCGCCTAGGCGGGTTGCCTGGTCTACCAGGTAGGGTAACCCGGTCAGCCGGGGTGACAATTTGGCATGTAAACGTCTCAAGGTGGGGTAACCCGCCTAGCCGGGGTCGCGTTCATGGCAAAAAGCTCAAAAGCGAAACATGTATGTTTTAAAACTTTGTACATTTTGTAGCCGTCTCATGGCAGAAATCACCAGAAACTGCAACGGACACACAAGGAGTGTAAAATGTTCACATTTCGGAATATTTAGCGTTGTAAATCGACCATATTTCGTTTCCCAAACTATTCCGCATAACGTATTAAGTCAACGGTACTCGCGTAACCTAACATCGCGTAACACAACGCGTGACGCTTTCATGAATAAATACATATGTGCCCGATAATTAATCTTTCGTCTCTCTCGAGATTTGAGCTTGGGACGCCTCTGCTCAAACTCCTTAGTTGCAAGCGCAACAACAACCTCAAGAAACCGCACCTCAGCACCCTGGGGTTGTAAGATTGTATGTAAACACGTTTTATTTTTCGACCACGGCTAGGCGGGTTACCTCACCTACCTGGGGTCCCCTACCTCAATGTAAACAGGCCCTCAGGGTACAAATAACCGCCAAAAGCAACAATTACTGCTCGTTATTAATTACAACTGAACACCGCTGAATTACCTGGCGTCGGTGAAAAACTAGTAATGGGCATACTTGATGCCATGGCTGTCAAATAAAGTGAGAGAAACTCATTAGTTTTCCTCCGAAAAAAAGAACAACTGAGATATGTCAAATTACATGCGGTAAAACATATACCTACCTTGCGCAGAAGTGTTATAGCGCCAATACCGATACCGATGACTTCTTTTCTTGCGACTCAGAATGGACGGCGCCTTTGAACATTCATTTACGTCTAGAAAAAAAGCAACCCAAGCTAAGGTTTATCTTCTCACCGTGAAATTAGAACATAATAATTCTCACGATTTGTAACAAACTTAATTCTTGTAATCGTAAATGGTATGTAACAAACATATGCTCTGGCGACCTTGTGAGACCCTTTTATCTTAATTGAGACTTTGTCTAGCAAGTTAGAGAACACGTGACCTGCCAAGTAACGTATCCTTAAGGTTTGAGTACCAGAATATTCACGAGGAATAAACCGCTTCACTACGGCACTAATCTCAAGAAGGCTTAACATGGGACCATGGGCATAAACGTTTAAGGTTCGATTTCTCATGGGGGAACTCAAAGTTTTCTTTTGCCCCGCGCTCGTGACAAAATGAATGATTTCTTTTCCTTTTCCCTCTACCGCGCTCAATCATCTTCCTATTCTACGGAAGGCAACACTGATTCAACAAGAGGCAAGAGTGGTTAAAGATGGATACGATTGAAAAGGATCGCAAATAAGTAAGAGCATAGTGTACCCCCGTGGTACTCCACGCAAAACACAATATTCTTACCACTACACTGATTATTCTGACCCATGTAAGTGCCCTTAGAACAAACTCCAACATCAAATGGCCAGTCTTTCAACGAGCTGAAGCCTGGTGAGGGCGGACCATCCGATGTACAACCGAGGCCCACGACAACACCACGGTCCATGGTGATAGAATAATTTCCTCGCATGCTGAGTACAACTTGTGGCAGGCGGAATTTAAGGCTGAATTTATCAACGGTGACTTCACTCGAAGAGCGTGTGTCAAGTTTGTATATCACGTGATCTTCCAAGACGATCCTTATAAACTTGGAATGACGTGGTCTTTTGATCTGTGTTATGGAAACAAACTAGTTAGCCGTTAGCAGTTAAGCTTAAAAAGAGGCTTTCGTGGAATTACGGCCATTGTTTTCTTATTTTGGAAATACTTAACAAAAAATATTTTTACTTTGGAAATACTTTACAAAAAGTATTCTTTGTTACCGAGCGTATGTTCAGTAATAGATTACAGATGACGTCACAACGTGGTAAGAACAAAAAAGTGGCATTTGAGGCGGAGCTGAGTGTCACTGATGTTCTCACCACATTTTGACGTGTTCTGTGATCTTTTACTGTGCAAACCCATGGCAACCAAATTTTTTTGTTGACGTCATCTGTCTGTCTGTCCTTGAATAGATTATAAGTTAGAACCCATCAAAACACGTGTATAATTCAACTCAGTATATAAAATACCTGTTGGTCAAACGTTATGTTAAAGTCCACAAATCCAAACCACCACGGCCATGACAAACGAGGAACCACAGGAACACGGGAGTACAATAACGGATTTGGAGTGCTGTCTGAAAAGAATCACATTGAAAGGACATAAGACCTGTGCATGAGAATTTTTCGCGTATGAATTCGAATCAACTGTTTAATTTCAGACACGGAGTAACCAGCAGAATACTATTTAAAATGCAAGCTCACTTGATCCGACGATAATGGTGATACATCTTTGCTTGCTTTCAATTCTGAAATGCGAATTGTTGCACATAAATAAGATTACATCAAAGTAGACATTAAAGAAAATCATCGAGTCTTATTGAGCCAGCCCGGCAGTAGCAGATCCAGAACCTGAGCTAAGGGAGGGGACCTGTTTTTTTTAGCTTGACCTGCCGGCTTTTCTTGCTTCTGCGATTCTTTTTTTTGTTTTTGTTTTTTTTTTAACCCAAAATAAGGGAGGGGGGGTCGGGTCCCCTGGGCTCCTCCCCTAGATCCATCACTGAGCCGTTATCCAGGAAACATGTGAGAAGTGAGAAAGACCTTGTATAGTCTGCAAATATGCATTAGTACCTTTTTAAATTTATTTTATAATAATTTTGTTGAAGTGACCCACCCGAAGTTGTCAACTGCCTTGAAACAAAAGATATGTCGTCCTTTCTGAGACAATCGCGGATTCCACGACGCGTTCCTGTAGAATACTGTGTCCCCGATCGAATCAGTGTAATTCAGGAGGCCAGAAATAACCATATAAAGTGGTGTGACAGTGATAATCTCTGCAATGCTAAAATAGAGTAGAAAAAATAAAAAATGAAAAGGAACTAAGCTTTCACATTCTTCCTTACTGATCAGGACTACTGTGAAGCTCAGGGCGGAAGGTGATTGGTTTACTTTAAAAAACACATGTTTGTGAGTTAGGCCGCCTTGTAGAGGGCTTGTACAATTTTGGACCCAAGATTTCAGATCAAGATTTTCCGTAATCTGTTTCAGACTGAAATGCATCCAAACGTGCTGGGTAAGTTGAGAATCTTTGTCTATTTCATTGCCTGCTTATAAAACACTGACATTAATTTGACGATGCACAAAGTAGGAGCATTGTTGTCAAAAAATGACCTCTGCCCTATCCTTGTCAGTTACAGAAAAAGAGATTGTTCTTATGCGTTCTGCAATATTTCAACAGAAGAATGCTCTGAAGTCTGATAAGCACATTCCTTTAATTAACCAATCAGGGCTTGCTTCAAACGGCTAAATTGAAAAAAAAGCAGGTGCGGTAAATAATGTTCAACTTAAAGTGTCACTATCATATCCACCTGATTTAGCATGTTAAGGGTACAGCAGTAACACATACCTTCTGGAGGAGTCGATATGTTTTGCTTCAATAACGCTGTTGAATGTGTTTCCATTTGACACTTCCTCACAAGATCCGTCGTTTGGACTTTGGCCTATTAGGACTGGAGCCCTATTACACGGCCCGGAAGATGGACTCACGTGTACAAGAAACTGCAGGCTCACATGACTGTATGGAGTGGCGCTTTGGAAGTTGGTCGTTGAAGCTGGGTAATCTTCTAAGGTAATAGCCACTGCATGCCAACCGAGAGCTATATTGCTAGGGAGACTCAAAGTGCATTTCCCCTTTTCACATCAAATAAAAAAAGTAGCTTTACAACATGTAGAAAGATGCAATGCAACCAAAAAATAACCTTTTTTATTTTAGAAATTCCCGACCAATGAAATTAAAGATGTTTCTTTGTGTTGTCACGATCGTGTGACCAAGATAAAAATTCGATATCATTTTGAAGTTAATGATGCATTGGTATTCTTGTGAGGATATGGTTGATCCGTAGGAGTACTGCAGTTGAACAATCGGCTTCCAAAACTTTATTATTCAAAAAAGCATTTAAACTTCCCTCCCGCAATACCTCTTTGAAAGAACAGGAGTACAACAGAAGCTTATTGAGCTCGGTGCTGGTAAGATCAAAGCATAAAAGAAGCAATGATAACATGTCGAAAAAGAGCAAAGGCAAAAGAAACTATGATTGAAGTGTCCTTAACGTTCTTAACACGTCAGCTAAACTTACTTCGTCCAAAGCGCCGCTTTGAAAGCTTTGACATACACCACCACACTCTCTGTAATAGCCAATTGACCATCGACAGCGAACTTTATCACCATCCGAGTCCTCGGCGGGAATAGTGATTGTTTTTGGGCAGCCTTGCTGGTGTCGAACGATGGGAGCCATTGCTGAGATCGGAGATGAGTTGATTTTTCCGTTATCCTGCCGCCTTGTCAGATTGACAGTGGTCGAGAGAAGCCAACTACTGCCTCCATTCGCTAATGAGATCCAACAGCAACTTGAATAACTGGATGCAGCGAAACACAGTTAGATTTTATCTGTTAACATATGACCTTTCATACTGACACTAATCGACTAACACTAAAAGCGAAGTTTAGCTCCAGTAGGAGACTTTGAAATAACTAGGAAATAGGATCGATTTCAGCTATAGGTATCATTAGAAATTTGTCACGAGTGATTCCCTTAAAAATATATACTATCCAGATTTTTTTTAAAAGACACATATTATGGCTCTGTTTTGGAAATGGAAAAGTAAAGTAGAGTATGAAAATATCGTGCTTTTTTTCCAACCTGTGTAAATGCTTTTCTCATTATTTGTTTGTTTTTTGATGATGATTTCCACAGGAAATCAGGACGGGCTACCGTCATTACCTTGTACCAACGAGGTTTCGTTTCTCGCGTATTTAGAATTAAATGTGTATGGTTAAATGAAGAGGAGTTGCTTAAACGACCACGATAGCTCAAAATTATTGACAAGTAAAAGCCATTTTGCTTGACTCACCTTATCAGCCAGGGTCCTTCATCCGAGAAAGTATACTCAAAACTGTTTTCCCCTTGTGTCCAGTCCTCCTGAACACTGAAATCGGTGCAGTGATATCCCGTGTCTGCCACAGTAAAGCTTAAATAATATCTTTTGTCGTGACTTGCTCTCCAGCTGCCTCCACTTCCTACGATGCTTTGATTTGCGACCATCGAGTTGTCGCAGTAATAAGAATTGGAAAAGGATCTTCGGAAGCCCAGCCGAAAGTTAAAAAGCACCTGAAACAAGTTCAAACTTTCATCCATACTGGACATGTTTCCAATTAAACGCCTCTCATTGGTCCTCTTACTGCAGCTTAAATAAGCTTAAAAGTGATAAGGTTCCAGTCCACGCAAACTTTGTAAACCCGATTACTAGATTAATTTGTAAGAGATGTAGATATGATTGTTGCTGGCTATAGAATCAACTAGGAATTTATTTACTGAGAAAAAGCCGCCAGAAGGTAAATTGAAATTTAATTAAGAGTCTTTTAACTTTTGAATATTTAAACTGAGTAAGTTTTACCGTCGTCAGCCTTTGAATGAATAACAAAACCAATTGTGACAATGATTTTAAAAATATCTTACAATAAGAAATATAATAGATTTTGAGCTCGGCAATGAAAATTTTTTATTATTATTATTTTTTCGCTTAAGCGCAAAAATGGGACAAACAAGGTCCCACAAAGGATCGAACTTCAGACCTTCAGAGCATCGGAACGGATCGGAGCGCGGAATCCGAAGGTCCGAGGTATGATTGCCCATGAGGACTCAGAATTTTCTCTTTTCTCCACGCTCATGAAAATACGAAAAACATCTATCTCTATAAATATATTAGTCCCTAAATAACCGCACAAATAAGTCGAAGTAAGCTTTCAGAGGAACGATATTGCAAATACGAGTTAATATCATACTGGCAAAAGTTAAATCAAGGTTTATAGCTCTTAAAACGTTAGGTAAGGGGAAGAGTTTAAACACAGCTGCGCAGCCAGAAGCATTCAGAACTTTGAACAACACACAAAGTTTTAATATTTCAAAGTTTACTCTCCTTTCGAAATTTAAAATTTACATAGGTGCGTTTACATGATAATATGGTCAATAGAGACTAAAGTGACAAGTGTAATTAGTAAATTTTTAAGGCCTTCAGATATCTTTCCACCCTTAGTAAACTGTGATATAACACAAACTCGTTTGTCGAATTCCGAGAAAACACGGAAGTTACACCCTGAGTTTGAAGAACTCTGAGTGGCCACGCATTTTTCTTAACCATTTACCTATTAACACTTTTTAGCAGATTAAGCAGACTGAAGGAACCAGCGAAGGAAAACTTTTCATCCATCTTACGATGAATACGATGGTAAAATATGAAATTTTTCGACAAATTCTATGCAATAACTTACTGCGCTAAGCATTGTTTTCTTTAACAAAGTACACAAATCATCAAACAGTTTTGCAACGGTTTTATCATCTAATCGAGTAATAAATGAGGCTTAAGTTATAAAAAGGAATTGCGATTTGTAACTGTAATCTTCGCATTTTGTCTACATAATTGTTAATACTTTAAGAAAATTTGAGATATAGCTCTTTCGTATTACATGCGCTACTCTACAATTACTGGCGCTATACATTTACAATCATGCGCTCGGCATTCTTTAAATTCTTGTGAAACTAGTTGTAAATCCAAGAGCAATGTTGGCGAAACTTTTAGACATAAAAGAAGAGTTAAATCTAGGGTGAATAATTACTTGAAAGCAAATTTAGCTCCCCGTTATTCGTTATTTTCAAAGCGACGATTTTCCTTCCTAAAGTTTTGAAAAATGCTTCTTGATCGCAGGGAAAGAAAATCTTTAGTTCAAAGCTACTCAAAGCTCAAATTGAATCTATATGACATAGTTATTTCCCCCCACAAACTGTAGAGAAAAAACTGATACGAAGTGAGATTTCAAAGGAAAAATAATTCAAATGCAGGTTAGTCAGGATGAAATTAAATCATTTTTAAAGTTCTTTAAACGTTGAGAAAAGAGGAAGGAATTAAAACTCTAGCGCAGCCGATAACATTCAGAACTGTTTTCAAAACAACGTTTGAATACTTCAAAATTTTCAGTCACTTTTAGCGATAGAGATTGATAATGTTGCATTTGTGCAATAAATTTTTAATAGAAACCAGAGTGACTAGTGTAATTAGCATATTTCAAAACTTTAAGATACCTTTCCTTAATAAGTAAATCAAAGTCGTAAGGACATTTCCGAGAAAACCCGGAAGTTATTTCCGGAGTATGAGGTAATCTGAGTGGTGAAGCCAATGCCTTAGCTATTCAAATACTAATGATTTTTAACAGATTTAGCAAACTAAAGGTACCAGCGTTTGCAATTTAATTAAATGTGATGAAAGATACGAAATGTCTATACAAATGCCATGCAATGACCTATTGGGCTTAACCTCGTTAGTGTCTCCTAGATACGAGTTTTGTCAATCAGTTAAATCGATAAATGTTTAATAGAAACCAGAGTGACTGGTGTAATTAAAATATTTCAAAGCCTTAAGATACCTTTCCGTAGTGAGCAAACGTTCAAGTACATCAAAGTCGTTGAGACATTTCCGAGAAAACCCGGAGGTCATTTCCGGAGTTTGAAGTAATCTGAATGGTGAAGCCAATGGCTTAGCTATTCAAATACTAATGATTTTTAACAGATTTAGCAAACTAAAGGTACCAGCGTTTGCAATTTAATTAAATGCGATGAAAGATATGAAATTTCTATACAAATGCCATGCAATGACCTATTGGGCTAAACCTCGTTAGTGTCTCCTAGATTCGAGTTTTGTCAATCAGTTTGCCATTGTTTTATCATCTAATCGACTAATCATACGAGCTTGATTAGAAAAATTTAGCGATTTTTGTTGCTGCAAGCTTTGTATCCCGTCTACAAAATCGTTGATATTTTGTAAAATAACGATAAATTGCCCTTCCGGAATAATGCGCTAAGACGGCACACTATTTTCAATTAATCATGCGCTCCACATTCCTCAAATTCTTGCGAAACTAGTTAGCGAAACCATGAACTCTGAGGGGGAAGAAATATTTAGACAAATAAGTTGCACTAAAATCTTGGTTAAATAGGCGAGCCTGAAAAGCCTAACAAATCTTGCAAGGGCAAATTAAACCCCCCCATAATCGTTATTTTAAACACGAGTTTCCTTTTCTCTTATCATGTTTTGTTCTAAGCTATTACACCTTCAAATTTGAGTCTAATAAGTAATAATTTTCCCCACCACGAACTGCACAACCCATTGAGCTACAGTAGAGAATAATCAATCTGCACTAGTGATATCTTTTTGCTGAAACGTATATTGTTTCTAGAATATCACCTAGTACACCCTCGTAATTTCCTTTCTTACCTCGTTCGAATTATTTCCACTTGGCTTCCAAGTGATGATCCCGCCGCGAAAATGCGACGCTGTCGTCTGACGTGAAAACGTCACTACGATAAGGCACGGAATCAAAGAAGAAAGCATTGTGCTAAATGATTCAGCAGCAACCTACAGCTGCAACGAACTGGAGCGCTCTGAAGTTAGGCGTTGGCTGACATTGGGTTCTTGTTTGTTTAGTTTGTTTATATTTTAACAGTCCGGGTCATAACCATTTCTGGATACTTGATGACGTCACCAACATGGATATCGTAGTGCGACCTCGAGGAAACTCAATCATTACTTTATTCGAGCCCTAGTGACTTTGTTCCCTACCCATATCCCGTGAAACGTTGCAAAATTACAGAAGACAAGCAATTACACACAACAAGCAAAGAACTGATGGTGGTCGCGATGACGAGAAGGAAAAATTCAGATGAAAAGTCGGGTGGAGGTCCATGTTGCGAAGGTCTCGATCGAGGAATATACTCTCTTTAGTTGAGGTTTTCAGGTATGCAACTTTTTTTTTGATTCCTAAAAAAAATCTTTTAAAAAACTAGAATAAATTTGCTTCCAATTTGTCAAAATTCCAATCGAGGTTTTTGCTCGAGTGCACGAATGTTGAAAGTCTGTTAGTGTGCAAACTACTAGACGGATTCCTTTGTTCAGATCCATCGGAGTATCGTGTAAACCATAAATTTTAACCATACGTTGTGGCCGGCCAATTTAAAGTAAAAGGACAATTATTTATCGGACCTTTATAAGCCTACATTGTGAATTTCAGATGAAGCCAATAGCATGGATGAACACATTCAGTATCTCGAGACACTGTCGTCTTTGTGGCACAAATCTGCCACGGACTTGGGTCAGTGCCACAAACAAAGAATCTTTTAAATCGGAGCTCTGGATGAAATTTTCGAATCAATGTCGATCTTTACATCAGAGAGATTCATTCAGCCAAGGCGAATGCACACTAAAAAATAATTTCAGGAAATCACGGATCTAACACATAAATGTGATTATCCAGCGAGTAAGTTCTCCTTCGGGCAAACATAAAACAAAGAGGTATTCATTCACTGAGCTCTCACATCTTCAGGTATCGTATCCGGGAAATGTGCGATAAGAGCGGCATGAAGGTGAAAATAAAGAAATCACATTGGTGGAAAGCCTTGCCGAAGTGTCTCTATTACAGCATTCCGGAAACAAAGGTTGGAGTTTAACTACACGAACTGATGAGAGTGAAATTTTCGTCTAAAACCACAAGGGACTTGTCTGTAATTGTGAAACTCGTTTAGAAACACCGCTCGTGCTTTCACATTTTGCAGTGATTACCTAAACAAACTTTCTATACAGTGTGTTCAAATCAAAGGGTAATTGTAAAGGACATATTATTGCTGACTAAAAGCTGTAGGACTGAATTTGTAGTGTTCTGAGACCTAGATTCTCCCGCGAATCGATCAATAGCGCGCAAAATACCTTGTATGATTCTCTTGCATTGAATTCGATGATGTGTATTCGTCTTAATATAGACTGTGACTACTTGCTTTTATTTTATCCCACTCATGTATTTATTGGCATTTATTTTCCAGGTATCATAATTTCAAGATCAAAGCTCCACGTGGAACACCGCTTGTTATTCAAAGGGAAGACGACAACACGTATGACTCGCATGCACTGGCTTGTCTTCTTCCACGAGAAATGGAACGCATTCCAGAGGCTCTACGAGAAGTCTAGATTTTCAGCAAATCGCAGAGAAAGACATACACTTTAGGAGATGTCAAAGGGCAGCAGATCGGCACAGTTTAGCACTTTATAAACATACAGCTGCATGCTTTGCTCCGATGTGGCAAAATAACCAGGAATTGAAGGGTAAGTTACTGTTTTCTTGCTTTGCTGTTACTTTTTCGTAAAGGCTTGATGGACTGAAATTGATAATGTCTATTAAAAAATCGGAGAGAAGCAAGATATTGTCTTTCCTCGACCTATACTGGAGAGAAATGAAATTGTCCCGATTCCGCGATCTCACACCTCACTCGTCCCAATTGTTATCAGTGGGTGTTATTTGGTTAAACCTTATTTAATTGGTTTTCTTGTAACCCAAAATAGGGAAATCAACGGAGAATGGACAGTAACATCGAGGCCAAGCTCTACCCAGAAGTTCTCCATATACAAACGGGCTGGCGGAGGAGCTTTTATTCCTGTGACGCTCTTGGTGGAAGGACCTCAGCGTTACAAAGAATTTGTGCGAGAAAAAATGCGCTTTACTCTTCCAGAATGCGAGAATGTCGAGGAGATGCATGTTGGATGTTTGAAATAAACGAATATTTTTAATGGTATCTTACTAGTCAAGGAGCCAGACCTAACAAAAAATGGTTTCGTTCAACCCACCCGACAGAAAAGGTTTGACAGTTGATTCTGATAGACCAATACCTGCTCTTTAAGATAAGATACTATGTAGTCCCGAATTGTGGTACCCCTGACGAGATAAATGGGGCTTTATACCATGACATGGCACTCAGCATAGAGACGAGGCTCAAACAGAAATTGACCTCAAATTTCATCTTCTTCCGCTAAAGTGCCTCAAACCTTTCTGGAAAAGTGATGAGCATGCACCTGCCTACAATATGAGTGTTCACATGGTACGACAGCATGTCACGTGATTATCACATGACAATTTTTTCGTCAAAAAGCAGCCTCTTTTGTCGATCCTGACATATTTCAAATCCTGCTGAGACTAGGGTAAAGGATTTATTCAGGCTTTTCATCATATGAGGATACAAAGAAGTCGTGTACTTTCGAATTACATTAAAAAAAAACATTTGGAAGCGTAGAACTCTAGAAAATCGACAATGTTAGTGCTGGTCTCTCTTCCGTCACTTTTTACATGGAAACGAGGCTGGAATAGAAGCACCCTCAAAACGGGTCAAATCTTTGAAAAAGTGGTATGAAAAAGATGTAAAAAAATAATATCACAAGAATATAATTTTAATGAACATTTTTCTTATATATATTCAGATTTTATGAATATCAGTAGACTGCAGTGTTATTTCAAAGTTCTTTGAAATATTTAATATTTTTTTCAACAAAACGTTCTATAAAGGCTATATACCGCCTTAAATATCCTTGAGCTCTGTCTGGTGTGGTTTAAAGTAGTGAGCTTTAGTGGTTACGGTTGCTTTAGGAACAATGAATGCCTTGTCTTCTCTGAAAGGTAAGGAATGGTTCAAGCCATGGCAAATTAGTATCCAGGCCTTATTTTCAGACCGCCATTTTGGATCCTCAGAATCAGATTTGTAAACGGAGTTTTGTATCCGACTGTGGATGTAAACGGCCATCAAAGAGTTCAAGATAGATAAGGTTTGATATCTTAACTGTATTACGGCGACTTGTTTGCTCTCGTTTTTCTCAAAATTCATGCGCTGAGACTCTAGAACATCGCTATTGCACCTGCTATTAATATTATCATTTGTATTTCCTTTCCTGCTTGATCATATTCCTTCCTTTAAAAAACATGTTTTAGCAATGTGTTGAGGTTATCAGCAGGATTTTTAGACAGAGCTCTTTTTTATTTTAAAACTCTGTCAGATACCTAATTCTGATGTATCTTTTGTAAAAGCCAATTTAAAAGTGAAAACGTCTGGAAATAAATTATCTGCACAGGTAATAAGTCTCACAAATGCTGTAGACGACATGGAGGAAAAGGATGGTTGGCAGCTTTTTCCCTTGCCGACAAAGAGAGCAAAGAAAACTTCTTTCGATAAGTGCATTTTTTGCCAGAGTAGCAGTGACGTCCTTCGCTCTGGAAAACTGTCTTCAATACAGAAAGTCATATCTGCTCTTGAAGTTCGGCAAGATGAAATCTCGCATCGTTTGTCAGCTGACGATCTCCGTAATGTAGCCGGGAAAGATATTTTGTGGCATTCATCGTGTTACGAAACATATACCAGCAAACAGAATTTACGGTATTATGGAGTACAATCCTCAAGTGACGTTCAAGCAGAATCTAAAGAGCGACGCATGGTGTTTGATTGGTCAAAGTGTCTTTTCTGCAAAAATGCAACAAGAAAAAGGACCGATAGCCAATAAAAATCGCCACCTTTGAAGCATGCAACAGTATAAAGGAATCTGCAGAGGCAAGAGGAGACCATGAACTGTTATCCATACTTCGGTCGGTTAGCTATGATCTTATTGCAGCGGAGGGAAAATACCACAAAGTGTGTCATGCCTGCTATATCAGCAAGGTTAATATCAAGCGGAAACAGAACCTCGCTGCATCCCCAAGAGAGGAAAACACTTTTGATCAAGCCTTCAATCAGTTACTGAAGGTCATAACCCCCGAAATTGAGGAAGGAAAGCCTACGACATGAATGTTTTGCTGGCAATGTTCAAGAAGGAGCTGGAAAAGATAGGAATTGATGCAGGTAGCTACACAAAGCAGAAGCTGAAAGCACGATTGATGGCTCATTTTAAGGAACGTCTTGTTTTCCATCAGTCACCTCAACAATCCAGACCGGAAATTGTTTTCAGCAGATCCATCTCCTTAATTGATGTCATAAATGCAGCAAGCACTTGTCCATTACGTGACGAAACAAACTCTATCAGCATGGATAAGCCAGAGTCAGAAACTTTCAGTTTCCTAGACATCTACACTATAGCTTCCATTATCAGGCGGGAGATGCTGAGATGTGAGGGCATTAACATCAACCCACTTGACATCCGAGATTTACACTTGGATACTGCAAAATCTCTTCTTCCCAAGAGCCTTTATTGGCTTATCAGGTGGATTGTTACTGGAGAACAGTACAGCGACGACTCACCTTCTAGTGCAAGGAGTACAACCGATGAGCGGAAGATTGTTATGGCTGGGCAGGATCTTATTCATTGTGCATCACATGCCAGAGTAAAGCTGCCCAAGCACGTAGGTCTCGCTATGACCGTCAAGCACTTAAATGGTTCCAAACAACTGATAACACTTTTAAACAGAATGGGTTACTGTTCTTCCTATGAAGAGATCGAACAAGTGGAGACCAGCTTGGCAAATGAAAGCTTAGCGAGAGCACATGCCAGTGGTGTTGTGATCCCTACTAACATAAGACCTGGTGCATTCATTCAGTTGGCGGCTGATAACAACGATATTAATGAAGAAACCATCGACGGCAAGAACACAACGCATGCAACAACACTTGCTATATATCAGCCAAAGCAGTACGGTCCTCTGCCAGAACGGATTGTGCTTGCTGACCACTCCAAGAAGAAGCGATCACTGGATTCTGCTCAAAATGTAGTTGCCATGGAGGAAGTTAGTTTCGGAGGCAGACGTCCTACTTTAACTAATTTTGTTGGGAACGATGTTATTACCTGGTTTCAGTGCGACCAACAGTTTCTATCTGTCCGCATGGATGACCTTTGCTGGATGTTACTTCGTCTTTCTGATCCTCTCATGGCATCTAATCAACAGTCTCTAGAGGAACAGACTATACCTGGTTGGAAAGGGTTCAATGCCATCACACACCCCACCATTCCTGTGAAGACCAATATCGGCTATCACCCAATGATCCATGCAGAGTCTAGTAACTTTAGCACTCTTTACACCCTGATGAAACTGGCCCAAAAGATATGCGACACAATGGGACAGCACGATTCTGTAATTACCTTTGATCTTGCCCTCTACGCAAAAGCTAAGCAGCTACAAATGAAATACCCAGAGGAGTTTAAAAACACTCTGATCAGAATGGGGGGTTCCACATTGCCCTTAACTTTCTCTCTCTGCTTGGAAAGAGGTATGCACAGTCAGGCTTGGAAGACTTACTGATTGAGTCAGGGGTTTATGCAGCTGGTACTACCTCAGTTTTGATGCTTGGCAAGTCATATAACAGAGGTATTCGTGCCCAGACAATGTGTTGCTGACCAAAGCAGGGAGTGTCGGAATACAGTGAGACAGGATTGCTTCGTTAACGATGCCTGGAAAGCATTTCAAGGTTGTGTCAATCCTCTCATGACACTGTTTGAGCGGTTCAAATCTGAAGGCAGAGAAAAGTCCAAAGTTTTTAGTTTCTGGGAAGGATACATTAATATAGTGCTGCTGCTTCTGCAGTGCGTTAAAGCTGAACGAACCGGAAACTGGAAACTCCACCTCTCCGCCACAACTGAAATGGTTCCCCATTTTTTCTCTATGGACAGGGTCAACTATTACAGATGGCTTCCAGTCTATCTCTCTGACATGCACATGTTGCAGTTAACTCGCCCCGCAGTTCACCAAGAGTTCATTACTGGAAACCACAGTGTAAGCCGCTCTAACCAACAGTTTGCGCAAGTTTGGCCGGATATGGCCCTGGAACAATCAATTAACCTTGATACAAAGACAAAGGAAGATGCTGTAGACCGATGGTTCTCAACCATTCACGAGCAAGCAGCCATGACACATGCACTAAAGGAGATGTGTGGTCTAGAAAACTGCGACCGCATTGGGACACACAAGGGGGCTGAAGCCACAAGAGTGAGCAGAGATGAGAGAGACGTACAGAAGTTGTTTGAAACCTTCAAGAGTGATCTCCTCAGTGACCCTTTACAGATTCCAGAAGAAATCTCAGAGGAGGAAATACCCTTAACCTTAAGTAATCTTGCCACTGGTGTTGTTCTTCCAGGCGCAGATGGAAGCATTCTTCTCAGCGCAGAAGAGTTAGGCAGAAAAAGCATGGAAACCTTTCTTTCATCGCGAATCCAGAGAAATGAAATCAATTTCTGGGATCCAATCCAGCGGCTGAAGATTAAAACATTCAGTTCTATGGCAAAGAAAGTTGCAGTGAGCGAACAGAAAGATAAGACTGCAACTGTTAATGCTGATCGTGAGCTTTTTGGTCGCCTTCTGGTTGCTGCGAGGAACAGGGATATTGATCTCAAAGAGGTTCTTCCTTATGAGCTTTGTAGTGTACCAGCCGCACTTGTACATCCTGATGGCAGCCTCAGGAAGACGACAAAAAGCACCCTAATGCATGTCCTTGAAAACAATGTTACGTGTAGATCAAGCCTGCCTTCATCACAGCACCCTAAAGCATGTCTAATTGATGCGATGGCTCTCATTCAGATAGTTAAATCAGCAAGGTCTGCGACATTTAGCCAGTTATCGCAGAAATACCAAGACATTGTCACTAGTAAATTCCATCAGAATAGTCACACCAGAGTAGACCTAATTTTCGACCAATATAGGCCTGTCTCAATTAAGGCATAGGGGAACGCAGCAAGAGAGGAGAATCAAGCTCGTTTGAAATCAACATCCACAGTGGATCCACGCCAGTACCGAAGCAGTGGTCAAAATATATCTCAAACCCAAAGAACAAACAAAACTTAGCCGCCTTTCTCTATGAGTCGTTAACAAAGAACTTACCGGCATATTTAGGCCCTCAGCAGAAGGTCGTCCTAGGTGGAGGATTCAAGGATGGATTAAAAGCAGTGTGTCTAACTAGTGGTTCCGCAGTTGTTGAGCCAAATCTACGTTCGGATCATGAAGAGGCAGATACAAGACTTCTGCTTCATGCCAAACACGCTGCAGCCGCGTTTTTTAATTTTTGTCATAAATTAACAGAAATAAACGTAAAATGTTGGCAGATATGCATAGAAACAATTTTTATAGGCTATCATAGAAATGCCGGCATTCATATGCTTTCATATTTTCACAGCATCTTTCATTTTTTCAAAGATTTTCACCCGTTTTGAGGTTGCTTTTATTCCAGCCTCGTTTCCATGTAAAACATTGATGGAGGAGAGACCAGCACTAACATTGTCGATTTTCTGGAGTTCTACGCTTCCAAATGTATTTTTTTAAATGTAATTCAAAAGTGGACGATCTCTTTGTTTCCTGATATGATAAAAGGCCTGAATACGTCCTTTACCCTAGTCTTAGCTGGATATGAAATATGTCAGGATCGTCAAAGGAGGCCGCTTTTTGATGAAAAAATAGTCATGTGACAATCACGTGACATGCTGTCGTACCATGTGAACACTTATATTGTAGGCAGGTACATGCTCATCATTTTTCTTGTAGGGTTTGGGGCACTTTAGTGGAAGAAGATGAAATTTGAGGTCAATTTCTGTTTGAGCCTCGTCTCCATATTGAGTGCCGTGTCATTGTATCTTATCTTAAAGAGCAGGTATTGGTCTATCAGAATCAGCTGTCAAACCTTTTCTGTCGGATGGGTTGAACCAACTCCTTAAATAAGGCTTTTCAGAAAATAGCTCCTTGACTAATGATATTGACTCGATAATCTTGAGTGACTTTCTTAGTCATGGTAATTATATATGGAGTTATTTTAAAAAAAAAGAAACCACAAAATGAACGTTAAACCAGAGATCGATGATTTGGACAAATTTTTTAAACACTCGATAAATTGTGTTATAACTTCCTCAGGTTATAGGGATCAGACCGTAAATGAGAGAATTTGTTTGAACTTTTAGTTCCGGCTTTAGGATTTGCCCTTTTGAATATCTTTTCAAAGTCAAAGAGTTTGTTGTTAACGAATAGCTCATAAGCATTGGAAATATCAGTCAAGGCCCAATAGAATAGAGGGACCATGGCCTGAAAGATCCCCAAAAACTGCATTGATCAATCGTGCTTGGTTGTCTCATTGCAAAGAACAATCAGCGACGTGTGAATTAGCTTTCAATGCTCCGGAAACCACCAATTATTAGTTTAGCAATATAAGCCAAAAAGGATCGCGTTTTACTAATGATCAATGCAGAAAATTGACACGGTTTGCAATCGAAAATCAGAAAAATCTAATTCTAGATGAATTAAATCATTCAAGATAAATAACTCGAGAAGGAGCTATGTACATGATCAATTTCCCGAATTTTGAACTTCTGCCCGACAAATATTAGTTTCAAAGTGTACAAGATTTTAAGAATGTATGAGATTATCTAGATATTATATCCTACAACTGTCAACAAACCTCCACTTTTCGAGCGAAAGAACTCCTTTAGTTGAAATACGGTTTTGTGCTGCTTCAGCTTTAAAAACCGCAGTGAAAAAACATCCACTTTGAGTAACGTCAGACGTTTGCACCTCTGGTCAAATTACCGACAATGCGTTGAAAATTCCGCCCTTTTCTAGAGTTTTCTTTTGTCTGTTCGATAAAAAATAAATTAACAAAATAGATTGCCAACAAATATTACGGCTAAGAATTTAAAACCGCATACTGATGACGTTTAGGTTTTTAATATCTCTACATTCGCCATCTGTAGGTTACCTATCTTTAGATCAGCTCAAGTCTAGGGATGTATGTGTAACATTCTCTGGTTTTCTGAGAAGGGATCACCATGTTTTCTGCCCATTATTCCTAAATCTTTCAAGATTACTGTATTTATATTACTGCTGTAAGCTCTGCATTTGCGTTGCTATGCTGTGTGTCTCGAGGACCATTCACTTTGCCTTCGACGAGTAATTGTGAGTTTTATAATCTCATGATAATTGGCCTTTATCATGAGTAGAGATCCAAGTTCAAACTATTTTTCATTTCTACTCAATAGCTAATATAACAGATCATAGCAAAACGTTATTTACCGATTCTTTTGGTACAAATCAGTCACTTAAATTTTGTAAAGATTAGTGGGACCAGAAACTCAGCCGTAGATTTTCTTGAGGTCTATAGCACGAGCTCGTTCAGTAATTCCCATCAATTTCTTGCTAATTTTAGTAAATTGATTATAAGAACTATGGGAGAACTGTCAAAATTAGAGGGATATTGGGGATGAGGGAGGAAAAGTATTTAACCAAAAAAATTCTTAAAATCTAATTAAATGATAATGAGAATCGTGATTAAGTAAATGGTTTGAACCAAAAAAAAGAACTTTAGTCATCTTCAGAAAGTCGATAATTAAAAGTCTGGTCTGTTGAACGTGATTGGTCTGTTTATAAGACTCGTGTAGAAACAGTCATTGGTCGGTTTCGATCCGTCTGAAAATCGTCAATGAGTCGTTTGTATGCTGGTAATTGTTGACATCTGTTGAGGCGTCTGTTCAGTTAGTGAACCAGCTTTCCAATATAAAATCTTTGTATAAATTTAGACCCAGTCGATTCTGTGATTATTTGTCGGTGATGTTCAAAATCATTTTTATTTTCTAGTTGCTCGTTTGTGTTCAGATAGTCGCGTGTTAAGGTTTCTACCAGTCTCACCAATGGGTTTCGATCTTATTCGCTCCCCAACAGGGACTCCACATCTATCACGACTACAGCTGCTATACCCCTACATCAAAGATGAGGCTATCGCGCGGATCCTACAACCTTACAACATTCGCGTAGCTCACAGGCCTATTACTACTTTACGACATTTGCTGACCAACGTTAAAGACAAAGACGAACCCAACAACAGTCAGGGAGCGATTTATAAGATCGAATGCTCCGACTTGGTAGATGCTCAGTTGGTAGAGCACTGCGCCGGTATCGCAAAGGTTATGGGTGCCAATCCCGAAGAGGCTTGATTTTTTTCCAGGTCTCATTTTCACTACTGCTTAAACAGTGTTCATTATTGCGAAGATCGCTTTTATATTTATAACCGTAAATGGATGTCAAAGGGCGTAGGTCATTTGATCATAAAACAGATCACTGGTTCGCTTGATAATAAAGCTCGCAACTTTTTAACTTAATGTTACCTAAACGGCTAAGATAGAAATTCATCCTGAAATTTTTTTTGTAAGGAATTGTGCAGCTTGAAATGCGTGTTTTCAATGCACTGGAGTCTATGTCTATGATATATTGGTGCTGTTATTATACTATATTGATCCGTGTGTTTTCACGATGACTAGACACTGAGTTATTCGCTGTTATCTCCCACTCATCAAAACGTCTTTTTTCCTTGGTAACATCACGGTACAAAAAGCGAACCCAGCAGATGGAGTGATCATGAGATTGAAATTATCTTTGTGAGCAACTTTTTATCAGCTAAAAATAGTTGTTTCAACAAAACTAAAACTCTGGCAAAACTTTGAGTATCATTAACATTTAAGAGAGACAGAGAAGGAATAAAATAAGAGAACATTCTTCTTGGAGCAAAGAATGAGTTTTTGGAGATTTTTTCAAACTTCCATCCTGTTTGCATTCAATCGGCGTATGAATGACAACTCAAAATGTTAAGCTAAGCACTCTCTTTATTTCAGCCCGTAATATAAGCGGATACATTATGCTAAATATTCAAGAAAACCCGTTAATAATCTTAGCGACGACAACAAAAGAGGCACACTCAGATGATTAATATTCGCCTCAAGTAATAGCACAACTCCACTACACGACATCAATACATTTTTAAAGCTCTTTTTTTTCTGGGGGTTATGTAGTAAAACTCTACGAAAAAGCTACCTAAGTGATGATGGCAAACACTTATGCCTGCCCTATTTTCATCGTCTGACCATCAGTCTGATTAAGAAAAGCACACGCACAATAAAAATACATCGGGCTGTAACACACCATGCCTTTTGCTCTAAAGCAGAATTGTAGCTTTGAGAGAAGCATCTAAATTGTGTGTACAACTGGAAAAGAAAAAAGTGAAAATGTAACCCACCAGCAGCCACAAGTGCAAGTTATATTACCAATGGGAAACAAGCAATCAGTATTCCCTGTGGGTCTCCAACACGATGAGAGAACCTGGAATGCTCGTAATTTAAGGAAGGATGAAGGTGTAGATTTTTGCATCACTGGGAGTATCCCAGCAGAAACACTAAAATAGTTAATTGTCGATGTACCTGCTCTAGATTTCTTCGGAAGGCATTAAACAAACCTGTTGCGCTGTTTTTGTAGTCTCAATCAATAAGAAAAAACATTGCTATGAGATTGCTTAGATTTTTAATTGATATCTTTTAGGGCCAAAAAAACCTGATGCACTAGCTATATCCAGATCAGTCCCCTTTTTGGAGGTGAAATTAACATTTTCCCACGAGCATTCCAGTCCTTAATATACATCCAAGATGAGAGAGACCCTCAGGAAACACTCCATTCTTCGTATCAAGCTCTCTCAGAAGTAACGGCATCAGGAGCACGCGGTTTCATAATGATCGGCTTGTACCCCATCTCGTTCAGTTCGTCATCCTGAACGAAACCCAAGTTGTTGTTGTTGTCTTCCTTGACGTGATTGCCACACTGTTCCATGGCGTAGACTTTGTTGCGATCTGCGAAGGCTCCTTTGAGACGCTTCTTGATTCGAATAACGACGATGGTGAGAATGATAACAAGAAGGAGGCAAAATCCGCCGGATGCCGCCACTACTGTGATGATCTCCATGTTGGTTTGAGTTTCAGCTAAAAGGATGAAAAAAAAATTGAAAGCGACTCGGCTCAGGTACAGTAACTTTACGGTTACTTCAGTAAATCATGTAAGGATCTAGTACATTTAGTTGACGTTTGTTTTGGTGTTTGGTAACTTGTATTGAGTTGGGAAAGTATGGCAATTCTTTCGTGGTGATTCTATGGTCAATCTATGATGAACTATCATAAAGAGTCAAGTAGGCGTTTGAAATATCTATCAGGCATCTAACCTTTCCACATGAGTATTTAGTAAATCGTTACCCACGACTCTCCACTGCCCACTCACCTACTGTCGTGTCCGTTGCACTCGCCCCGTTCTGGTATTTGATTGGTCCTGACGACATTTCGTACACTTGAGTACTCTCAGAACCAGGCACCTCGTCTCTCCGTCCTCGATAGCGGGAGCATCCCTGGAGGCAGCGAGACCGGGCAGTGTTGCGGTGGCACGCCAGGACTTCACAGTGAAGATGCACTACTGGATGGTCTTCAATAAAACGAAACGCTTGGATGCTAAAACGCTGTTTGGAGCTGATGGAGTACGAATAATTGAGGGTAGAATCCAGCTTACATCTGCAGCCAAGCAAAGAGAATTATAATTATGAATTTGTAGATGAGCTAATACGAAAACCACCAGGAAATAAAAAATTAGCACCACGAAAAACTGACCCGAACAAAAATAAAACAAAGTTTAAAAATTTTTTTTAGTGGCTTGATTCACGGCTTATTATTATCTACTCAAATATTCGCCATCAGCTTGCGCGTTTTTGCTCCGTAAAATGGATTTCACAAAAATTTGATTCTATTTTGTACCCTGGTTACCACCGGAATTAGTCTTGGCGTAATCAAAAACGTTCGTTGAGGGAGAAACTGCATAAACCGAAAATTGTTATAGGAAACATTTTTCAGGAATCGTTGTACAGAGCAAGACATATTTACCCTCTCTGTAAGAAGACATACTGAGGAACTGAGTACGGATCAGGAGTGGGAGTCGCCTTGCAGGTGTCGACAAAGAGAACCAGGTTAGATTGGTGTGACTGTACCGTCAACTGAAGAAATAACTGATCCCGAAGATGAACCGTGATTGGATAGTCATGGTAACTGAACGGTGTAAGATATCTGCCCGTCTTGAATAGATCCATAGTGAAGGTGAAGTTGCCATATCCACCTATGAAAAGAAAGTAAAATTGCCGGCTGTTCTTTAAGATCTGTAAACGTCATGGATCACCCAGCCCTGGTGGTTGTTGAGAACAATGAAAGTATCGACAGAAAATCAAATTGAACTTGAGCAAAAACGAAAGGCTCATTGAGTTCTGGAAAGCAATAAAGGTCGTAAAATCGCACCACAGTGTCAGGTGACAGCTAAAGGAGTACCATCGATTTGGCAAGGAGACGAGCTGAAGGGTTTTTTTTTTTTTCAAAAAAGGTTTATTCAATGAATGTTTTCCCTTGAAGGATATTAATTCATTGAACTGTACAATGACTCTTGTAATAATGAAGTCAATGTTATATCTTAAAACGGATGTAATTAAATGAGCATTTCCTTGTAAAAGGTTACCTTCCGAAGCTGTGAAATGGTTCTTCCAGGTTTTGAAACTTGGATTTCGTAGCAGGGCCTTACGTCCATAACTGCAGTAGAAAGGAATTGACACATTTTGCTCCCGAGTGATGATGTTGCCGGAGTAGGACTGGACACTTCGCACTTTGTTGTAGAAAGTTATCGCGTCCTCGCTTTCGTTATGAGTGGTTCCACAGTCATTGAGACTCGTGCGCAAGGAAATGTGGGAATCGTTGTAGGACGCACGGCATGACGGGTAAAGAAGTGTCAGTTTGTTTGGATCAAAGCCTTGGAAAGTTTTTCTCTCCAGAAAGATAAACATTGCTTCAGCTGTACATTTCACTGTAATACCAGGTTCTGAAAAGAACGAACAACATGAGTTCACAAGTGAAGATTCTGCCAGTGAAATCATTTAACCATATATTTTACCCATCCGTTAATACTTATCTCCTTGTTAGTTTCAACATATATAAAAGAATTTTGTTGAAAAACTGTTCTGTACCAAATTTTTATGCATTAAAACGTAGCACAGCAGTGTAGAGGATCGCGCAGTCAGCTGTGAGAGTATAGTTTGCACGCAATTTACCTACCATGGCAAGTCTTGTTATCAAAGCCCATTGTTACACCCTCGGGACATTTGCAATAGTGACCTCCTGGGATATTCACACACTGATGGGTGCAGCCTCCATTTTGAGTTAAGCATTCATTTATATCTATCAGTAAATACAAACATAAAACGTTTGTGAGACTCGTAAAAAGCAGGGTGAGCTAATTGATTCAACTCTGATCAATTTACCAAATTTAAAACGGCGCATTCTGGGAAATCCCAAGAATCTCCTTTTTTTTTGGGATGTGATTAAAGTTCAATAGATTCCTGCAGTGGATCATCTCTGTTACGTGAGCTTCATAATTTCAAGATTTGAAATGGAACAATATAACCACAATTATATTCAAGAATAGAACGCCTTTCATGCTAAAGATGCGTTAGTTTTTGTACAGCTAACTTATTGCTTGGAGTTTTCGCGGTATTTTTTTAAAGTAAAGTGCACTTGTGTATTGATTTTGCGACGCTTAAATTTGGCGGTTTTGCGAAATTATTTCGCGTTTTGGCGTAAGATACAGCTTATTTCCGTCTAAAAGAGCCCTTTTATCAATAATGTCAGGGAAAGAAACTAAAAATAACGTCACCCTATTTGCCCACTTCCCCTCTCTTACTTGATGCCTTATGATACAATGTGTGCGAGAGTCTTATAATTTTGGCGTAATGTTACGTGCAAATTGTTACAAACATTGTTCACGTAATGATATTTGTGCAGTAAGCTGTAACCATGAGGTCAAAATTTGTTTGTTTCACTTTATTCGGCATAACTGAGACCAACATGCTATTGGTGGATATTGAAGGATAATGGAGTAGTCCGTGATCTGTGTTCTTACCCTGACATGTTTTCCCATCCGCCTCTAATCTGTATCCTTGACGGCAAGTGCAGTAATAACTTCCCCATGTGTTAACACAGTCATGCTGGCAATTGGCGGGAAGGTGTAGCACAAATAGTGTACTGGACGCAACAGGCATTACTGTAGCAACCGTTGCTTTTATGTTCAACGAGTCTAAGAGAGGGAGAGAGAAAAGCAGAAGGTGTTGAATTAAGTTTTGTACGCTTAACCAGCCTCTTCTATTAATTCTGGCAAGTTTGTCACTCTAACTTATAGTGTGTCCATTATGCTGGACTCGCAGAAACTGATCAACTACGACTTTCCTGTGTTTCGCCTCCGACTCTGGATTCAGTGAAATTTGACAGAACAATTTAGACACTCACTGGCACTTGTGTGTGAAGAGGTCATCACGCTAGGAGAAGTACGCATCACTGGAGTTGACTGGACGCTACGTTCTGAAGTAAAAGCAATAATTGAATAACGTTTAAACTACATAATAAGCGAATCACCACCTCTGCAATAGCTGAATTCACTTTTTTCGTGGCTAGCCTAAATTTGGTTTGATGTTGGTATACATTTTATTTTATCTCTCTCTTTCTTGTTTTCATTTTCTACTTTATTTATATACACTGGGGAAATCAAAAAATTTTCTTCAGTCTTATCCTACACATGGTCCAACACCTCTTAATAGTGTCCTCACAACTTAAAAAACTTCATATTATCAGTTTTTTACATGAGTAGTTTTAAAGAGAAGAAAATGGTCGGAAAACTTGCCAAAAACACAGTAGAATTTAACCACCCGTGTAAAGAAGAACTGAAAAACTAAGAATCAATGAGTTAAAGTAAACAAGTTTAGTAATAGTATTCGACCTTTTTCGAGTAAGTAAGATGCTCTAAGGTACGAACTTGCTCCTTTCTCGTTCCCTCACAATATATCTTAAATACGTAGTTCTCACTTTTAAGCTTCATATATATTTTAACAAATAGCAATATTACAATTGACTGAAATTACTAACCACGTGTGGGCGGTGGAGAGGATATGAGGTTGCTTCCATAACACGATCCAAGAACAGTTGAAGCATAGACTTGGTGGACATTGGAGGCTGAGTTTTAGGAAAGAGTATGTGATTTATAAACTCGTAATCTATCAAGGAGGGACATGGTGATTTTGAGAAGGGTCATGAGTTTTTCAGCTGTACGATTGGGTGAGGTCCCTGGGAAGGGGGGATGAGCGATGACAGGCCTGTCGCAGTATACTATTATTATGCAATCAAAGTTGGAAAAATGGTGACACACGTGCACCTTTTAGGAACACCTGATATTTTCTATCTTCGAATAAATTTTCTCATTGATCAAAATAAATCAATTGGATACACATTTCTTTCTGATGAAAAAATACGTTTTATCAAATATGAGGGGATAAGCAGACAAATGTTTCTTTACCACGTGGTACAACCCGGTAAGTAGCTGAAAAGCCTGATTGCGTAACACTCCCGTCTGTCGTGAACTTCACAAAAAGAAACCTTCCACTGCTACACACTCTCCAAGATGGCTGATAGCCGCTTTCCCTTTTAATTCTTGTACTGCATGCTGAGCTCCCATCAAATATTTCGACCCAGTCGTAGCCACTCTCAAGATCAAATGATCCAAATTGTAGATATATGTAATAGCCATATGGAGCCTCAATTGACCAGGTGCAATGCTGATTATTTGAGTATCGGTATGGAAAGCCTGGGCTTGTAAATCGACCATTTCGTTGGTATAGGTAATATGAACAGGCACCTGGTAAAAATATGGAAAAGGACGTTATTCTTTCACACTACCTGAGGTTCAGATCTGAGGTCAAATGAAGGCGTCGACAAAAACTTAAGAAAAGAGAGAAGAGAATTATAAAATGATGATAACTATTGACAGACTTTGATAGATGTAAGCGAGAAGACAATTAAAATGAGAGAAACTAGGCAAACTGCGTAATTTCACAAACGCTTATATTACTATGGGCACGTAACAATTCGAAAAGCTCGTAAATTGAGTTCTCTTCATTAAACTAAACCGCTTTCAGCTACTCGAGTAGCTTAAGGCAAACTGAATTTGCCCATTGTAGAGTTTGAAAGAATAAGTCATTGTTTCACATGCGCATGCGCACAAGCACAAGCACACGTACACGCACAGTCCTGGACAATGGTGCTCTGTATATCACTAGTTTCAAAAATCAAATAGAATCAAATGTTTCTATATTTTACCAATAGAGGAGGACGTCGATGGAATACACGTAGATGACCTCGTCGGGGATACTATTATGAAAAATAAAAGGAAATCATATTTTACCAAATGCAATTAAAGGAATTCAAACAGCACGGATGGAAATGTTCATAGCAATTCAAACGATTCTGAGCGGAGAGAATCGTTTTCTTTAAACTATATGATGATTTTACTTAGATTGTAGAATGAAGCTTATCAACAGTAGAATGCGTTAGATGATGTTCTTTAATGCATGCATAAAATGTCAAAAATTTACGTTAAACTTCTTAATTAATCTCTTTCAGTAACACTTGCATGTTGACTATGGTTGTGTCAACTAAAGATCTCTAAAATACCAAAAGTTAAACTTAGCTATAGCGAACATTTTGTAACTCGTGTGGAAACTGAAATTGTTTGACAAATATTCTATAGAAAGTACCCAGCTGGTAATCCTTCTTCCTGTATCAACAGATTTGTAATTAATCAGTACAGCCTATGACTTATGAGAGTAAATAGCAAACTAGAATAATTTAATTGACTCACAATTTGTGGATGGTATAGGTGTCTTGAGACTGCTACCATAACACCCTACGTGAACAGCTGAAGCAAAAACTTGGCCGACCCCGGAAGCTGTGAGTTTAGAGATTAAAATTTGATCATAGTGATTAATTGTATTGCATGATGAAGGAAAACATACAAAAAATTATAAGAGAATGGATAGGGGGGGGTTATCGTTTACAGTTTTTTAGCGGTATGATGAAGGGATAATGGGAAGTATACAGGAGACTAAAATTAGGGGGGGGCATCATATCATTTCACTTTCTGTCAATTGATCAGTGCCTCTTATAAGTATCTCATTGTGCATATTTCAATGTAAATTGAAAGCTATACATTAGATGAAAACCTTGCATTGATAGTCGCAGCCTTGAAAGAATGAAGAGTTACTCTAAACTGATGCAACTACTATATCTGTTGGTCCATCAGTTGTTCATCCCTTGTCTTAATTCATTTTAGTTACTCTTCAAAGTGATTCCTTATAGAAAACGGGCATCCGAAATTAGTAATGTGGAGAACGTTAACATTTACAGCACTTTATTTCAAAATAACAAGTACTTTTCATAACAAGCCCTGCTATTGAGAAAAAGGGAAACCTAGAGGTTAACCCTAAATTAAGGATCTCCAAAACATTTAGAGGCTAGATTGAGCATCAATTATTGAATGATGAAAGTATTCTAATTCATAAAGAATTACGTAATTAAAGCATATCTTTACCATGTGATACAACCCGGTAAGTAGCTGAAAAGCCTTGACGCGTAGCACTTGAATCTGTTGTGAACTTCACAAAAAGAAACCTTCCACTGCTACACACTCCCCAAGATGGCTGATAGCCGCTTTCCCTTTTTATTCTTGTACTGTATGCTGAGCTCCCATCAAATATTTCGACCCAGTCGAAGCCATCCTCAAGATTAAATGATCCAAATTGTAGATATATGTAATAGCCATATGGAGCCTCAATTGACCAGGTGCAATGCTGATTATTTGAGTATCGGTTTGGAAAGCCTGGGCTTGTAAATCGACCATTTCGTTGGTATAGGTAATATGAACAGGCACCTGGTAAAAATATGGAAAAGGACACTATTCTTCCACACTACCTGAGGTTCAGATCTGAGGTCAAATGAAGGCGTCGACAAAAAATTAAGAAAAGAGAGAAGAGAATTATAAAATGATGATAACTATTGACAGACTTTGATAGATGTAATCGAGAAGACAATTAAAATGAGAGAAACTAGGCAAACTGTGTAATTTCACAAACGCTTATATTACTATGGGCACGTAGCAATTCGAAAAGCTCGTAAATTGAGTTCTCTTCATTAAACTAAACCGCTTTCAGCTACTCGAGTAGCTTGAGGCAAACTGAATTTGCCCATTGTAGAGTTAGAAAGAATAAGTCATTGTTTCACATGCGCACGTACACGCATAGTCTTGGACAATGGTGCTCTGTATACCACTAGTTTCAAAAATTAAATAGAATCAAATGTTTCTATAATTTACCAATAGCGGAGGACGTCGATGGAATATATGTAGATGACCTCGTCGGGGATACTATTGTGAAAAATAAAAGGAAATCATATTTTACCAAATGCAATTAAAGGGATTCAAACAGCAAGGATGGAAATGTTCATATCAATTCAAGAGATACTTAGCGGAGAGAATCGTTTTCTTTAAATTATATAATGATTTTACTTAGATTGTAGAATGAAGCTTATCAACAGTAGAATGCGTTAGATAATGTTCTTTAATGCATGCATAAATTGTCTAAAATTTACTTTAAACTTCTTAATTAATCTCCTTCAGTAACACTTGCATGTTGACTATGGTTGTGACAACTAAAGATCTCTAAAATACTAAAAGTTAACTTAGCTATAGCGAACACTTTGTAACTCGTGTGAAACTGAAATTGTTTGACAAATATTCTATAGAAAGTACCCAGCTGGTAATCCTTCTTCCTGCATCAACAGATTTGTAATTAATCAGTACAGCCTATGACTTATGAGAGTAAATAGCAAACTAGAATAATTTAATTGACTCACAATTTGTGGATGGTATAGGTGTCTTGAGACTGCTACCATAACACCCTATATGAACAGCTGAAGCAAAAACTTGGCCGACCCCGGAAGCTGTGAGTTAAGGGATTAAAATTTGATCATAGTGATTAATTGTATTGCATGATGAGGGAAACATACAAAAAATTATAAGAGAATGGAAACGGGGGGGTTATCGTTTACAGTTTTTTAGCGGTATGATGAAGGGATAATGGGGAGTATCCAGGAAACTAAAAATTGGGGGGGGGCATCATATCATTTCACTTTCTGTCAATTGATCAGTGCCTCTTAAATTACATTTAAATGTAAATTGAAAGCTATACATTAGATGACAACCGTGCATTGATAGTTGCAGCCTTGGAAGAATGAAGAGTTACTCTAAACTGATGCAACTACTATATCTGTTGGTCCATCAGTTGTTCATCCTCCGTCTTAATTCACTTACGTTACTCTTCAAAATGATTCATTATAGAAAACGGGCATCCGAAATTAGTAATGTGGAGAACGTTAACATTTACAGCACTTTATTTCAAAATAACGAGTACTTTTCATAACAAGCCCTGCTATTGAGAAAAAGGAAACCTAGAGGTTAATCCTAAATTAAGGATCTCCAAAACATCTAGAGGCTAGATTGAGCATCAATTATTGATTGATGAAAGTATTCTAGTTCATAAAGAATTACGTAATTAAAGCATATCTTTACCATGTGATACAACCCGGTAAGTAGCTGAAAAGCCTTGACGCGTAGCACTTGAATCTGTTGTGAACTTCACAAAAAGAAACCTTCCACTGCTACACACTCCCCAAGATGACTGATAGCCGCTTTCCCTTTTAATTCTTGTACTGTATGCTGAGCTCCCATCAAATATTTCGACCCAGTCGTAACCATTCTCAAGATTAAATGATCCAAATTGTAGATATATGTAGTAACCATATGGGGCCTCAATTGACCAGGTGCAATGCTGATTATTTGAGTAACGGGAAGGATGGCCTGGACTTGTAAATTGACCATTTCGTTGGTTTAAGTAATATGAACAGGCACCTGGTAAAAAAAGAAAGGACATTATTCTTCTATACTACCCGAGGTTCAGATCTGATGTTAAATTAAGACGTTGATGCAAATTAAAGAAAAGAGAGAACAGAGTTATAAAATAATGATAACTATTGACGGACTCTGATAGATGTAAGGGATATGACAATTTTTCGTTGAGGTAATGCGAACAGGCTCCTGCTAACAGGAGGCATAGATCAGATTGGAAGGTTCCTACCCTTAGGGTCTTGCCATCCACCACTGGTAATATGATAATTCATAGCAAAAAGAAGATAGTATATTACATTATACATTTATGCAAAGAGTTTGATTAAAAAATTGAGATATATTAGATTAGGGAAGTCCTTGAGAAGTAATTTGCAGTCACATGAGTGGATCGGTTTAACTTCTCTCGGTTTACGTAGATTGAAGTTACTAGGAGCAGTGTTATCTCTCCTGAAAGATGTAACTGTAAATGTTCCCTCTGAACAGTATTTCGGAAGTTTCCTAGACAAAAACCCTCTTGGCCCAAGAGCACAGTATAATGATTGGGCAAGGAGTCGAACACCGACCTCTTTCGAGATTCTTAAGTCTTGTGAACTAACAACCATGCCAACGTTTCAAGCCAAGAGCAAAAGGTTCCCTCCATATAAATTTCTTTTTTCAATTTTCTTTCATTTTGTTTTTTTCTCTTAATACTGAATTCTACATCAAATTTACTCTTACCAGAAATCGACGAAGTAGCAGCAACTGCAAAAGCTAAAGGGAAATAATAAGACAGTTTAATGCCACACACAAGTCTATGTAAGAGTTTGCCTCTTAGGGCCTGTTTACATTGAGGTGGGGGACCCCAGGTAGATGAGGTAATCCGCCTGTCCATATAATTTCTTATACTATCTTGATCACGTTTACATGATAGGTGGGGTTACCCGCCTAGGCGGGTTGCCCGGTCTACCAGGTAGGGTAACCCGGTCAGCCGGGGTGACAATTTGCCATGTAAACTTCTCAAGGTGGTCTAATCCGCCTAGCCGGGGTCGCGTTCATGGCAAAAAGCTCAAAAGCGAAACATATATGTTTTAAAACTTTGTACATTTGCTAGCCGTCTCATGGCAGAAATCGCCAGAAACCGCAACGGACACACAAGGAGTGTAAAACGTTCACATTTCGGAATATTTAGCGTTGTAAATCGACCATATTTCGTTTCACAAATTATTCCGTATAACGTATTAAGTCAACGGTACTCGCATAACCTAACACCGCGTAAAACAACGCGTGACGCTTTTATGAATAAAGACATGTGCCCGAGAATAAATCTTTCGTCTTTCTCGAGATGTGAGCTTGGGACGCCCCCGCTCAAACTCCTTGAATGCAAGCGCAACAACAACCCCAAGAAACCGCACCCCAGCACCCCAAGGTTGTAAGATTGTATGTAAACGCGTTTTATTTTTCGACCACGGCTAGGCGGGTTACCTCATCTACCTGGGGTCCCCCACCTCAATGTAAACAGGCCCTTAGGGTACGAATAACCACTAAAAGCAACTATTACTGCTCCTTATTAATTACAACTGAACACCGCTGAATTACCTGGCGTCGGTGAAAAACTAGTAGTGGGCATACTTGATGCCATGGCTGTCAAATAAAATGAGAGAAACTCGTTAGTTTTCCTCCGAAAAAAGAACAACTGAGATATATCGAATTACATGCGGTAAAACATATACCTACCTTGCGCAGAAGTGTAATAGTACCAATACCAAGGCCAAGGATTTCTTTTCTTGCGACTCAGAATGGACGGCGCCTTCGAACATTCATTTACGTCTAGTAAAAAAGTAACCTAAGCTAAGGTTTATCTTCTCACCTTGAAATTAGAACATAATAATTCTCACGACTTGTAACAAACTTAATTCTCGTAATCGTAAATGGTATGTAACAAACATATGATCTGGCGACCTTGTGAGACCCTTTTATCTTAATTGAGACTTTTTCTAACAAGTTAGAGAACACGTGACCTGCCAAGTAACGTATCCTTAAGGTTTAAGTACCAGAATATTCACGAGGAATAAACGGCTTCACTACGGCACTAATCTCAAGAGGGCTTAACATGGGACCATAGGCATAAACGTTTAAGGTTCGATTTTTCATGGGGGAACTCAAAGTTTTCTTTTGCCCCGCGCTCGTGACAAAATGAATGATTTCTTTTCCTTTTCCCTCTCCCGCGCTCAATCATCTTCCTATTCTATGGAAGGCAACACTGATTCAACAAGGAGCAAGAGTGGTTAAAGATGGATACGATTCAAAAGGATCGCAAATAAGTAAGAGCATAGTGTACCCCTGTGGTACTCCACGCAAAACGCAATGTTCTTACCACTACACCAATTATTCTGACCCATGTAAGTGCCCTTAGAACAAACTCCAACATCAAATGGCCAGTCTTTCAACGAGCTGAAGCCTGGTGAGGGCGGACCATCCGATGTACAACCGAGGCCCACGACAACACCACGGTCCATGGTGATAGAATAATTTCCTCGCATGCTGAGAACAACTTGCGGCAGGCGGAATTTAAGGCTAAATTTATCAACGGTGACTTCACTCGAAGAGCGAGTGTCAAGTTTGTATATCACGTGATCTTCCAAGACGATCCTTATAAACTTGGAATGACGTGGTCTTTTGATCTGTGTTATGGAAACAAACTAGTTAGCCATTTGCTTAAGATAAGAGACTTTCGTGAAATTACGGTCATTGTTTTCGTTTTAGTTTGGAAATACTTAACGAAAAGATTCTTTGTTGCCAAGCGTCTGTTCAGTAATAGATTACAGACGACGTCACAATGTGGTAAGAACATAAAGTGGTCTTTAAGGCGCAGCCGAGTGTGTCACTGATGTTCTCACCACATTTTGACATCTCCTGTGATCGTTTGTTGTACAAAACCATGGCAACCAAATCTTTTTGTTGACGTCATCTGTCCGGTTGTCCTCGAATAGATCATAAGTTAGGACCAATCAAAATACGCGTATAATTCAGCTCATTATATCAAATACCTGTTGGTCAAACGTTATGTTAAAGTCCACAAATCCAAACCACCACGGCCATGACAAACGAGGAACCACAGGAACACGGGAGTGCAATAACGGATTTGGAGTGTTGTCTGAAAAGTATCACATTAAAAGGACATACGAATCAGGCCTGCAGTGCACGAGAATTTTTCGCGTATGAATTCGAAATCAACTGTCTAATTTGAGATACGGAGTAACCAGCAGAATACTATTTAGAATGCAAGCTTACTTGATCCGACGATAATGGTGATACATCTTTGCTTGCTTTCAATTCTGAAATGCGAATTGTTGCACATAAATAAGATTACATCAAAGTAGACATTAAAGAAAATCATCGAGTCTTATTGAGCCAGCCCGGCAGTGGTGGATGCAGACCCTGAGCTAAGAGAGGGGCCCTGTTTTTTGTAGCTTTCCATGCTGGCTTTTCTTCTTTCTGCGATTCTTTTTTTTTAATTTTTTATTATTTTTAAACCAAAATAGGGGGGGGGGGGTTTGGGGTCCCCTGGGCTCTTCCCTTAGATCCACCACTGAGCAGTTATCCAGGAAACATGTGAGAAGTGAGAAAGACCTTGCGTAGTCTGCAAATATGCATTGGTACCTTCTTTAAAGGAAAGCGAAGGCGATTTTAATAATTTTGTTGAAGTGACCCACCCGAACTTGTCAACTGCCTTGAAACAAAAGATATGTCGTCCTTTCTGAGATAATCGCGGATTCCACGACACGTTCCTGTAGAATACTGTATCCCCGATCGAATCAGTGTAATTCAGGAGGCCAGAAATAACCATATAAAGTGGTGTGACAGTGATAATCTCTGCAATGCTAAATTAGAGTAGAAAAAACAAAAATTAAAAAAAATGAAAAGGAACTAATCTTTCACTTTCTTCCTTACTGATCAGGACTACTGAGAATCTCGGGGCGGAAGGTGATTGACTTACTTCACAAAACATATGTTTGTGAGTTAGGCCGCCTTGTAAAGGGCTTGAACAATTTTGGACCTAAGATTTCAGATCATGATTTTCCATAACTTGTTTCAGACTGAAATGCATCCAAACGTGCTGGGTAAGTTGAGAATCTCTGTCTATTTCATCGCCTGCTTATAAGATACTGGCATTACTTTGACATACATAAAGTAGGAGCATTGTTGTCAAAAAATGACCTCTGCTCTATCCTTGTCAGTTACAGAAAAAGTGATTGTTCTTATGCGTTTTGCAATATTTCAACAGAAGGATTCTCCTAAGTCTGATAAGCACATTTTTTTAATTGACCAATCAAGGCTTGCTTCAAAAAGTTAAATTGAAAAAAGCAGGTGTAGTTAATTAATATTCAACTGAAAGTATCACTATCATATCCACCTGATTTAGCATGTTAAGGGTACAGCAGTAACACATACCTTCTGGAGGAGTCGATATGTTTTGCTTCAATAACGCTGTTGAATGTGTTTCCATTTGACACTTCCTCACAAGATCCGTCGCTTGGACTTTGGCCTATTAGGACTGGAGCCCTATTACACGGCCCGGAAGATGGACTCACGTGTACAAGAAACTGCAGGCTAACGTGACTGTATGGAGTGGCGCTTTGGAAGTTGGTCGTTGAAGCTGGGTAGTCTTCTAAGGTAATAGCCACTGCATGCCAACCGAGAGCTATATTGCTATGGAGACTCAAAGTGCATTTCTCCTGTTTACATCAAATATAAAAAATAACTTTACAATAAGTAGAAAGATGCAATGCAACAAAACAATAATCTTTTTTTCTTTAGAAATTTCTACCAAAGAAATTGAAGATGTTTCTTTGTGTTGTGACGATCGTGTGACCAAGATAAAAATTCATTATAATTTTGAAGTTTATGATGCATTGGTTGTCTTGTGAGGATAAGGTTGATCCGTAGGAGTATTGCAGTCGAATTATCGGCTTCCAAAACTTTGTTATTCAAAACAACATCCAAACTTCCCTCCCGCAAAAGAACAGGAGTACAACAGAAACTTATTGAGCTCGGTATTGGTAAGATAAAAGCATAAAAAAAAAGAGTGGAGGCAAAATATTTTTACGTAGTGCAATCGAAAAAGCTGAAAATTGTGGGCAAAGTTTTTAGAAAGGAAAAAGAAACTTTGATTGAAGTCAGTTTCCCTAACGTTCTTAACACATCAGCTTAACTTACTTCGTCTAAAGTGCCACTTTGAAAGCTATGACATACACCACCACACTCTCTGCAATAGCCAATCGACCATCGACAGCGAACTTTATCACCATCCGAGTCCTCGGCGGGAATAGTAATTGTTTTTGGACAGCCTTGCTGGTGTCGAACGATGGGAGATATTGCTGAGATCGGAGATGAGTTGATTTTTCCGCTATCCTGCCGCCTTGTCAGGTTGACAGTGGTCGAGAGAAGCCAGTCTCCATTGCCTCCATTCGCTAATGAGATCCAGCAGCAACTTGAATAACTGGATGCAGCGAAACACTGTTAGATTTCATCTGTTAATTTCAGATACGATTACCTTTCATATTGACACTAATCGACTAACACTAAAAGCTAAGTTTAGCTCTAGTAAGAGACTGTGAAATAACTAGGAAATAGAATTGATTTCAGCTATTGGCATCTTTAGAAATTTGTCACGAGTGATTCCCTTAAAGAAATTATAGTATCCAGATTTTTTTTAAATATACACACATTATGGTTCTGTTTCGGAAATGGGAAATGAAAGTAGAGCATGAAAGCAACGTGCTCTTTTCCACTCTGCGTATATGCGTTTCTCGTTATTTGTTTATTTCTTGTCAATGATTTCCGCAGGAATTTAGGACGGGCTACCGTCATTATCTTATGCCACCGAGTTTTCGTTTCTCACGTATTTAGAATTAAATGAGTGTGGTTAAATATAGAGGAGTTGCTTAAACGACCGCGATAGCTCAAAATTCTTAACAATTAAAAGCCAATTTGCTTGACCCACCTTATCAGCCAGGGTCCTTCATTCCAGAAAGTATACTCAAAACTGTTTTCCCCTTGTGTCCAGTCCTCCTGAACACTGAAATCGGTGCAGTGATATCCCGTGCTTGCCACTCTAAAGCTTGAATAATATCCTTTATCGTGACTTGCTCTCCAGCTGTCTCCACTTCCTACGATGCTTTGGCTCGCGACCATCGAGTTGTCGCAGTAATATGAATAGGAATAGGATCTTCGGAAACCCAGCCGAAAGTTAAAAAGCACCTGAAATAAGTTAAAACGTTCATCCAGCATCTATACTGGACATGTTTCCATTTAAACGCCTTTCATTGGCTCTCTTACTGCAGCTTAAATCAGCCTAAAAGCGATAAGGTTCCAGTTCCACGCAAACCTTGTAAACCTGATTACTAAATTAATTTGTAAAAGATGTAGATATGAGAACTGCTGGCTATAGAATAAACTAGGAATTTAAATACTGAGAAAAGGCGGCATGAGGCAAATTGCAATTTAAATAGAAGTCTTTTAAATTCAAACCAAGTAAATTTCATCATTGTCAGCGTTTGAATGAATAACAAAAGTAATTGTGGCAATGCTAAAATATCTTACAATAAGAAATATGATAGATTTTCAGCTCGGCAATGAAAAATAATTTATTTTTTCGTTTAGGGACAAAGAATCGACCCTCAGACCTTTAGAGCATCGGAACGGATCGGAGCGCGGAATCCGAAGCTCCGAGGTATGATTGCTCATGAGGACTCAGAATTTTCCCTTTTCTCCACGTACGTGACAAGACAAAAAACATCTATCTCTATAAATATATCAGCGTCTAAATAACGGCGCAAATAAGTCGAAGTAACGATATTGCAAATATAAGTTAATATCAGACGGGCAAAATTTAATTTCAACGTTTATAGCTCTTAAAACGTTGGGTAAGGGGGGAGGTTATAAACACAGTTGCGCAGCCAGAAGTATTCAGAACTTTGAACAACGCAAGTTTTAATATTTCAAAGTTTAGTATCGTCTGGCAATTTAAAATTTGCATAGGTGAGTGTGCATGATAATATGGTCAGTAGCAACCAAAGTGACAGGTGTAATTAGTGAATTTTAAGGCCTTCAGATATCTTTCCACCCTAAGTAAACAATGATATAACACAAACTCGTTCGGACAATTCCGAGAAAACGAGGAAGTTACACTCTGAGTTTTAAGTACTCTGAGTGGCGACGCATTTTTCTAAACTATTTAACTATTAACACTTTTTGGAGGATTAAGCAAACTGAAGGAACCAGTGAAAGCTATTTTCATCCATCTTACGATGAATACAATGGTAAGATATGAAAGTTTTCGACAAATTCTACGCAATAGCTTACTGCGCTAAGCATTGTTTACTTTAACAAAGTATACAAATCAAACAGTTTTGCCAGTGTTTTATCATCTAATCGAGTAACAAATGGGGCTTGGGTGAAAAAAAAAAAAATTGCGATTTGTCACTGTAATCTTTGCATTTTGTCTACATAACTGAGAAAATTTGAGATATAGTTCTTTCGAATTTCACGCGCTACTCTATCAATTACGGTACTATGCATTTTTAATCATGCGCTGAGCATTCTTTAAATTCTTTTGAAACTAGTTGCAAAACCAAGAGCAATGTTGGCGAAACCTTCTGACAGAGAAAAAGAGTTAAATCTAGATTGAATAATTATGTGAAAGCAAATTTAGCTTCCAGTTATTCGTGATTTTCAAAGCGACGATTTTTCCTTCCTTAAGTTTTTAAAAATGCTTCTTGATCGCAGGGAAAGAAAATCTTTAGTTCAAAGCTACTCAAAGTTAAAATTGAATCTAATGAAATAATTATTTCCCCCCACAAACTGTAAAGAAAAAACTAATACGAAGTGAGATTTCAAAGAAATAAATAAAATTTAAACGCAAGTTAGTCGGGATGAAATTATATTACTTTTAAAACTTCTTTAAACGTGGAGAAAAGAGGAAGGAATTAAAACTCTAGCGCAGCCGATAACATTCAGAACTGTTTTCAAAACAAAGTTTGAATACTTCAAAATTTTCAGTCGCTTTTAGCGATAGAGATTGATAGAGTTGCGTTTGTATGATGAATATTTAATAGAAACAAGAGTGACTGGTGTAATTAGCATATTTCAAAGCTAAAGATACCTTTCCATAGTAAGTAAATCAAAGTCGCAAGGACATTTCCGAGAAAACCCGGAAGTTATTTCCGGAGTTTTAAGTGCTCTGGGCGGTGAAACCAATGCCTTAGCTATTCAAATGCTAACGATTTTCAATAGATTTAGCAAACTAAAGGTACCAGCGTTTGCAATTTAAACAAATGCGATAAAAGGTATGACATTTCTATACAAATTCTATGCAATGACCTTTTGGGCTTAACCTCGTTAGCATCTCCTAGATACGAGTTTTATCAATCAGTTTACCAGTGTTTTATCATCTAATCGACTAATCATAGGAGCTTAATCAGAAAAATTTAGCGATTTTTGTGCTGCAAGCTTTGTTTCCCGTCTACACAATCGTTGATATTTTGTAAAACAGCAATAAATTGCCCTTCCGAAATAATGCGCTAAGACGGCACACTATTTTCAATTAATCATACGCTCCGCATTCCTCAAATTCTTGCGGGACTATTTGGCGAAACCATGAACTCCGAGGCGGAAGAAATATTTAGACAAATAAGTTGCACTAAATCTTGGTTAAATAGGCGAGCCTGAAAAGTCTAACAAATCTTGCAAGGGCAAATTAAGCAAATTAAATTTTTAAAAACGAGTTTTCTTTTCTCTAATAATGTTTTGTTCTAAGCTATTAGAACAAAATTGTTATTCAAATTTGAGTCCATTTGAATTACGAACTGTACGACCCATTGAGCTACAGTAAAGAACAACCGACCTGTATATATCTATATACATATACGCTATATCTTTTTGCTGACACGTATAATGTTTCTAGAATATCACCCAATACACCCTTGTAATTTCCTCTTTTACCTTGTTCGAATTATTTCCACCTGGCTTCCAAGTGATGATCCCCCCGCGAAAATGCGACGCTGTCGTCTGACGTGAAAACGTCATTACGATAAGGCACAGAATCAAAGAAGAAAGCATTGTGCTAAATGATTCACCAGCAACCTACAGCTGCAACTAACTGGAGCGCTCTGCAGTTAGGCGTTAGCTGACATTGGGTTCTTGTTTGTTTGGTTTGTTTGTATTTTAACAATCAAAGTGTTCCAAGAAATGGTTCTGTTTACCGACATAGGGTGGACAAACGTCGAGAGACAAAAAGCGATGAGAAAACTGATTAAAGTACAGGAGAAACAATCAGTCATCCAATAACAAACGTTTATTGTTCTGCGGAACAATTGTATAAGAGAATAATAATAACGTTTAATTTCGAGGTTTATCAACATCACACACTGAGCCAAAGTAACGTCAAATGGGACAATTGACCAAAGACAGGCAAGGAACCGTAATTCATCTCAAAGCCATCCAAACCTAATTGCACGTCTCGAATTAAAGGCGGCAAAAAGCCGACAAGAATGATCTGTTTACGTCATTGACAAAGGTCCGGTTATCATATATTATTATTATTGTCCGATCCTTTCCCCCTCTAACTCTCTGTTTTTTGCTAATAACTCCGCCCACTCTCATTGGCAGTTAAGTGAGAGGCGATTTTGTCGATTTTCTATAGTCCCCTCCTAATACTCTTTTCACGAAGACTGATCCCCCCTTCCGTTTCCCTTAAAAACCACGTAATCTGCTCAAACCCCCCCCCCCTCCCCGACCAGGCGATAAATTAGACAACTTACAAGGAAATGAAGTGAGCAATAATTCCTTTAGGAGACTATTCAGTTGATTGAGACCTATATCTTCATTTAGAGGCTAACACAACGTCCGTGTCGAGGGAGGCGAAGCGGCTGTTGTAAAATGGCTGCTCTACTAGGATACAGATTTACTAATTTCTGAAGATATACAGAAAACCTTGGCTCCATCTGCAGTTTAAGGGAACTCGATCTAGTTAAAATGATAAACCTTCGTTATATTGTACGAATGGAATATTTGTTTCATGCTTTACAGTCCATGATATTTGAGCAGATTTCACAATTGCTGATGTCGTGTGGATAGTGAATCCATCGAGATGTCAATGTAGTCATCAGTCTCCTCTCTGCCTTCATATGAGATCATCAGCGGTGTCACCAGATAGAAGCCCAGCCCACGACCAATCACAACAGCGATGAACAGCCACGTGTTGTATGTCATAGTAATCAACATCAGGAAATATGCGAAAGAGAGCTCAGCCATAAAAATACACGTCTTTAAAAACTGAGTGAAAGCTTCCGACCTAAAGGTTAAATTAAAAGAGAGAAAAACAGAAACGTATTTCCGCCATAATTTACCGACTCTATGCAAGTTCAAAAGGCTTAAATAAGCTTTAGTATCATCATCCGGTGGGAAAACATTTTGCGCATCAAAATCATAAAAAGAGCGCTTTCCGTCAGTAGTAACTTTTATGTTCACACAGAAACGCTGTAAGGATAAACTCTTCAGGGCGCATTTATTTAAAGAGAGGATGACGCTATCCAACGGATAAATCGCTATCCAGCGAATACGTTTTGGCAAATCTTTCTGCGCGATCCACCGGATAGAGATTTATCCAGTGAATAGCGTCATCCACCCTTAGGACAACCGGGACCAATTTAAAAGAAATTTAGCATTATCAACTGAGTTGATAACATAAAATGGCTATGGCGAAGGGTAACGCTCGAAACGTCAGCTTGAAAACTCTTTATCGTGGTAATACTAAAATTACCCTGTTATACTCTCCCACCGACGTAGCAACACAGTTTCTTTAGAAACTTACCCCCTTTATTCGTTTCCCCAATTTAAAAATGCTGTGTAAAGCTTTTGAAGCAATGACGCCCACGATGTAGCAAATAAGCTTCGCTCATACGCTCACGTAACCTTATCCTATTCCTTTTTACTCTTTTTGATCCTGTGTTTGTTTTTTTGTTTGTTTGTTTATGTTTTTTTGATGGGCTGTTTTCTCGACGTTCCACATGAAATTTATAATGCTCTTTTAGGTTTATTCACTGTGCGAACATCGGAGAGACACGTTATATCTTATGCAAATGACTTCTAATTTTTGTCATAGGGCACTAAGTCACTGGAAAAGCGCCTCGGAAGTAGAAATAATGAAAACCTTACCTATAAATCCTTCTTTTCGTCACATTCGTTCTTTCATTCTGGTTTTGAAGGCGAGATCGTAAATACACATGTAATCCTTTTGCACATTCGTACAGTACAGCCAGCGCCAGAACTGCCACTATGGAACCACTAACACCTGAAAATATTAATATTCTGCAGTTGTGAAGACTGAAAGTCCTGGATAAAATATGATACGTTGATATTTAACTCTGTTTCAATGTTTTTTTCTCCCGATTCCACTGAGATGCACGCTGTTTTTCTCCGGCTCAAACATTTGGCCCGTTTGAAAAGGTACTTTACATTAAGTCTCCATATAGTAGTTCCCAAATAGCGCGGTTTTCCTCAAATAGAAGTAATTTTCAAACAATTTATGAAGCTTATCAAAATTAAATCACCAATATCGATAAATCATGAGGTACTCTGATGAAATTTTGTAAGGAAAGAAAATTGTGTATATCATGAAAAATGGAGAGTTTTCCGTGATCTTCTCGAACAAGCTTTATAATGTAGAATGCCTTTTTCTCTTTCTTTGTTTGGTTTTCATTCATTTTTTTGTTCATTTGTTTTTTATCGGATATGGCCCAATCTTGTGCGGTGCGTTACAAAACAGAAGTTGAGCTGGCGAGATTCTTTACTTCTTCGGTTCAACTTAAGATAACATAGGTAGGCTGTCTAATGGAAAAGTCATGAATTGGAAATCGTTCGAGAAAACAATATTACCGACTAAAAATACATCCGCTTCTGCTAAACTAAAGGACACATGTCCGGTCCTGATCCAATTTGAAGTATCCGTTTTGCTCAAGAGCTCGTGTCTTCCCACGCAGGCTTATTTAGAATTGCGTGCTGTTGACCATAATCAGTTGTAAAACGAATTAGCGTCGATCTTTCGCCGATTTATTTTTTTTTAATTGCGAGTTCATTTCGGACATTTTTTCCTTTGCTAAGTTATCGATTGCGGACTGAAAACATTTTCCTTGACATACACTCTTGTCTGGACTTAAAGACTTTTTAAACAACAAAACTGATGCGCTTGAATAGATCGCCCGATTTTACTGCTCTGGCATGTGATACGTTGAAACTCAAGCGATTGTGGGCAATTGTAATGGAAACGAATCGATCAATGAAAAAAAGGAGAAAATGAATAATGAACTTTTAGAATGCTATGAATTTTTCTGTTTTCTTATAAGAAAACAGAAAAATTAGAAAAATGTGTGGATCCTTAACACGCGAGATTAAAACATGACGTTTCGGTGACGACCTGTCATCATTACCAAATGTAAAATTATTATAATTATAAGTTAGTGACGTTAAGTTCAAAATGCAGGTTATTACCTGAAAGATTTCAAAGGTGGAAAGTATCTTGACCAAAATTAGCTTGGCCTTTTAACGACATACAGATCGGCTTTGGGGGAGCAATAGAGTCAGTTTTTTGAAGAGAATCACCTGAAACTTTTCTCCGATTTCGAGCTAGAAAACTTAGAGGTTTTACTGTTTGTGGAAATCTTAACTAAAAAGACTGCACCAAAAGGCTCTACAAACCTTGCAGACCATTTCTCCTCAAGATATGGTCAGAAATAAACTTTCATTATTTATTCTACAATCCCTAAACCACATCTATTGCACAGCTCTTTAATTAAAAAGAATCATGGATAAAAAGATTTATTATAAGAACTGGAATAAAATGGGAATGTTAGATGTGAATTATTTAGTTCAAGAGTAACCAACTGTCCATGTTACATGCACGTCGCCATCAGGACCAGAAAATGGATATCACTCTAAAATCTGTCCAGTAACGTACACCGAAGTAATACAATATCTTATATCTGTTATCAAAAATCTTTTGAAATGCAATTCAGCGACTAGCGTAATACTTGACCAATTTCTTTCATACAGTGTCTTACCGTAATTTATTTAATACGTATTGAACAAACGACCGTGAAAATACATCGTTCGTTCAATCAGAGACACGAATGATAATACTTTACAATGGAGGGCAACCAATTGTTTCCAATCTCTGAGATGAGTCGGTCAGTAACAAACAAATCTCAGTGCGTATGAAATAAAAACATCATTCCATGGAAATTGCGCACGAACCATTTTTATTCACGAGTTGCGATGCTTCAAAGGACTCACTCCTCTGCTGCGCTCACTCGATCGTTTTTCTGATGCATCGCAACTCGTGAATAAAAATCGTTCGCACGCGTTTTCAATGGAGTCATTTCTGTTCAAGTCTCACAGTCGCAATTTGTGTACGATTTACACGTGCGATAAGATTTATTGTAGTCGACGGAAATTTTAAAACTGTCATCAAGGTAACCGTGTTGAAACTTCGCCACCGATGACGTCAGCGATTGTTGGTGTTAAAAGCTCGGATACGGATAATTGGCTAAACCAGTATGCCTACTGCATAACTCAGCATTTGGATGTCAATTACGACTTGAGTGATAGACATAACGGCGTTGCATAACGCTTTTTTGATGGCAACGCTTTCAGTGCGATATATTGTATAATTGTCACTTATTGTCGTGAGTGAGTTTTGTGAAAACGATACAAAAAATACGCTTTTGCGGGTCCATTTGGCAAGACGAAAGCGTAGAGGAATTCCATAAGCCTACCAATATCCGTTCTGTTCTTAGTCCGCTGACCCTACAAATTTATGTCAGAATAGTTTGCGCATCTTTAAAATCAGAACATAAATCAGTGACTACGCAAAAACGGCAAAAGCCAAAAAGGAAAAAATGATACAAACGCATCGTTTAAAAAAAACACCAATATTTTGACAGACTCCATTACAGATTGCCCTTTTTTAGAAAATAATCTTAAATAATGGAACTAACGATAATTATTTGACTGAGTTTACAAACCTTTCATTGTAGTAACTCTCCATTGTTTAATAAGTATGGATATTTGGCGAAGCTCAGTTGTGAAATACATCTGAAAAGTCAGAAGCAGGCAGCTTAACTATAATAATCAAACTTGATACCACGCACGCAGATGTGTTTTTCTGCGGTCAGCGCATGAAGATGCTATGTTACGTTATACAACATTCTCAAGTTTTCAGACTGGTCATTTTCATTACGTGTTGATTCGAATTCCATCTTGAACTATTTCTCACTACTTTTCTTAACCCGTTCTTACCTCTTCGGGATTGTTTTGTACTCTGAGAAGTAATGGTCTTAAAAGCTTCCCCTCGGCCTAAACGCGAGTGCCCAAGGTTAGTGTATCGCGACTTACGTCAATCAGGGTTTTGGAAATTTGCCAAAGTTGTCTGTTATGTTTACAGCTCACACACCAGTGGTAAACGAGATGCACCGGTTACAAGTTTATTAATTTCCGATGATATCCTATGGGAATATAAATATATATGTAACAATCATTGGATTGCGAGTTCAAGATTTATATTTTGTGATAGCTGTCGAGGGCGAAGCCTTAATCAATTATCCCTCATGGAAGTCGCGAGTGAATTATCTACTTGTTAAGTGTAAATCTACCAGTCGTTCAGAACTTTCCAGATCGACAGGTTTATTTGACTTAGTTTACGACCACACACAGATTACAGCATTTCTGATAGTCGTTATTTATACTAAACAAGTTTAGTTTTCCTGTCTGTTATCACAATGAACGTTGTCACGAAAACACTCGGCATGAGACTGGATAAGTTCGAAAATGCGAACTCATTTCCGTTACAGGAACAAGGGGTTTTTGTTGTACGTTGAAAGTAATTCTGAATTGGGCTTACTCCACGCGATTGATGATTCCTTGTGTTGCTTACTCGACCTTTTCCTGTGTTCAAGACCGACCAGAAAATGTGTTCTTATTTTGACTTTTCGCTGGATCCAAGTGTAACTTAACTTTTTCTAATCAGTCGTTGGAATTAATTTGGTTTTTGCTTTGATTTAAAAGGAGAGCTGCGTTTCGGATACGTTAAAAAACTTTGTTTTGTGTTCAGCAGCCTTGATTACTTCGAGTCAAACTCGATAATATTTGCTTGACGCAGTCATTCGTAACCTTCCTAAGCCAATTACGAGAGGTAACGTTATTAGGATGCATTTAGAAGCGTGTCAGAAATGAATGAGTCGCCAATAATCGGATTCTTGTGTTTGCACAAAGATTTCTGGGATCACCACGGGGCAAACATTGCAACTCGCTAGAGAAAAATGTATAGCGAAAGGCGGTTTCGACGTCCAAAAAACGATTTTGGCGAGAGATCATTGCGTTTTTGCCACTATTTAATCAGGAATGGGTGTGGAAAATATTGATACAAGGGTAGAGCAAGGTTTAGTTTGAACAAACGTGAAATATGCAATGAAATCTAGCGATTAACTTTTCTTCGTGCGCCAAGGTTTAGTGAAACTGCGGACGGCACGTAATGATCTCACACTGTAGAAATATTCGTTTTAGATCGCTAAGAAATAACTTAATAAAGCCTTTCCAGCTTTATTTACTTGTGTTAAGTCTACATCTAGCTTTTTCTTGGCTTGGCAAAATAAAAAAAAGATTCTACAACGGCTACCCCCAGGCAGCAGAAGTTTGAAATTATGTGCTTGAGCATGAAATATTATCGCGATTTATTAAATGATTAAACACCTAAATTGCCTCTTTGTTGCGATCAATGAGAACGAACGAGCGTTGATAATCGGCTCAAAACTGAAACTTTCTTATGCGACGATGAGTAGGTACAAATGGGTCGCTCAAGAAGCGATGCACAACTGAATATATAAACGTCCATATTTTCCGCCGGAGTTCCCGTGATCTTGATTTCCCTGACATAATCCTTCAAAGAGTTCGAGGAGATAAGTGGCGGCTCAAAAACTTTCGGACTTTCTCAACAAATTATCACTTGACCAAGGGATTTCCTTTTGTTTTTATTGCTTATTTCATCCTTCCATAGATCGAGTAACAGCTCGGTAAAAACAATTTCCATCTCCGCTGATGACGACTTCTCCTTTGAGAAGGTATATTTTCAGACATCATAATATGTTTATTTAATACATTAACAAGTATAAAAACAGGCTGTACAAACAAAAATACAACTGAAAAGACTTAAATGAGTTATATCCGTGTGATTTAAGGCTAATTTTGGAATATGGCGAGACCATTACAGGATTAACGATTATAGACCTTACGCAAGGAAAGAAGTGAATCGGTATATTTC